TGATCTTGGAATCGGCTAGTTGTATCACATCGCATAGTTCTTGTAGCTCAGGACGTTCGAGGATACGAAATGGGAGTCGGGCGATAGATATCAGCTGGAGAAGTTTCTGGGAAAGAACGTCTTGAGAAAATCCTCGGTTTGATACAGCTTGTGGCTTTATTATAAAGTGGTTAGCTAAGAAAGAAGGCCGATATAGAGTGCTTTGGCTTGCTGAGTTTTGTATAAGCTTATCAATACCTCGCTTTGGTAGACCTGCGTGGCAAGTACTACCTTTAAGATGTGTTCTCATCGGAGAAGTCCCTCCACGACGGAAATGGGGATGAACAAGAAGCGTATTACATCGCTGACATATGATCCTAGGCTCTCCAGTCTTCTGATGGGCGAATTGACTAAAGTTATCCCAAATACTAGACTTCTTCTTACCGCTCCAGTTAATTGAGTCTTGTGTATCTTTCTTTGATCCAAAATCAGTTAATAGCCACCATTCCACAAACTTCGAGCGAGAGTGATCCATATCAGGCTCAGTATCATAGATCACCCAGAACTGCTGCAGTCGAGGTCCGACACGTTGAAGTGATGCTGGTGCTAATGTAGGATGCGAAGGTGGGTGATTCTTAGACTGAGCGATCGAGGTGATCGTTCCGCGGGTACTTGTGAGGATAGGTAGGTCGTCTGACTGAAGGAAGTCAGTTTCAGAGAATTGGTCCGTGAAGTAAGATGCTTAGGAAAAAGCCATTTTAGGCAACGTCTTGTGGAGTAAATGTAAAGAGAGTGTGTCGGAACTGAGAACTTACAGAGAATGGCATCTAGGGGAAGCGAGCAATCAAGTCGCGACTGGGGTTGGACGCTGTAGCAAAAGGAATTATAGATTACCTAAAATACTACGTGTTGATTGGGTATACACGTATGGTAGTGCGGTTATCTATGGTTACCTTACCATTAACCACTAAAGACCACCAAAAACCGCGAGGTAACCACACAACACCCGCAAATAACCGCAAAGTAACCGCTGAAGACCATACAATCATTTATTCAGATAGCAAATTCTTTATTATTTTACGAAGGAACTTGTTTTCTAAATTTATCTATATAATTAGATATCTCAACTGCATATTTTAGTGTTATAATGGGATTGTAAACTACGTAATTGATATAGTCAAGTTCTGTAAGTGAGTTTCGTAGGAAGGTGCATTGACTCTTCTATGCAAGAATATATATTTCTTAAGATATATCCGAGCCTTACGCTGACAATAAATTTACTGGCCGCATATATTTCGCATCCCTTATCCCAAGGTAAAAACACTATTAGCACTGGTCCTTGCAACTGAATACAGTTACATTTCTCAAAGTTTCGGTGGATTACGGGCATTGCGAGCATAGTCTCCCTACGATCGCAGGCTTCATTGCGACCATCAGAACTCGAGTTTTCACCAGCCAAGATTGCGTGCTTCTCGTCAGCTGGCCATAATTGCGCGACATGACCGCTCTCGACCTTAGTCTTGTCGTGATTGCACTGTCAAGCTTATATACCATGGCTACCCTGCCGACCAGCCGCATACGTTCCTCTGCGATCGGGTGTACCCTTCACCGATTATACATCACGTTCTGGCACCAGTCACCGTCTCGAGCTCCCCTGCAACCTGATGGGAGCACCGGAGACGTTTCTTCCCAAGGGGGAACTGGACATCGAGTCTAATGTCCGATACGAGTACGACCCCTGGCTACTGGATGATCATCCGCTTCGCTCTCATCCCACCGAGTGTATTCCGGGGTTGGGCTCGTTCGTTACCGAATGGATGTTATCGGTTCAGAAGCGCTGGAAGGCGACATTAATTCGTGCTCCTTGCTTTATTCTGGCATGTTTGTGAGTCGAAATCAGTATTCAATTTTAATAAGCCGCGTTATCTGACCTTGACCTGGTAGTGCTGCGTTTCAATGCCTTCGCGCAGTCTTGTCTCTTACGAGGACATTCCAGACAGAACAGAAGCAACCCAACTTACCCGTACCCCTCCGCGGGTCAAAACAAATCCGTTTCGACGGCCCGTCCATTTCTTTTTCCCCAATTTATGAGAATCGACCCCCGGCTGACCTCATCGTCTGCAACTTCTCCCCTTTCCACCCACTCCTCCCCTCTCGCGCCCTGAAACCGTGTCGCGTCTTAGTGCCCCCGACTGGCAAAATGCCTGCACCTTTCCCCACTTGGACCCCGACGAAACGCCCTTGCGCGGTCCGTTGCTGCCGGATGCGAAGACTTCCGCGCCGGCATTTGGATGCACGACTACGAGCTGCAGATAGGCGCGTCCAGCCATGATCCTACTAATGCCTTGCACATTCGTCTTGATTCTCTCCTCACACGCCAGAACCTGTAATTACAGTAATTTTGCTGATCTACTGAAAAGACATCATGGAAGAATGGTACAAACGGCCGAAATTCAATGGAGTTTACAGTGGATCCAAGGCGCGCGACCGTGACTCGTGCAAGTGAGGGCGCGTTGACCCAGGTCCTAGACCCACAATGCGAGACGAACAAAAGCCCACAGGTGTCTATGATCAGTGCCGAAAGTAAAATGAGGACGATGACAGCCAATGACGCATGCCATTGATTCGGTAATCATGCCGTACCTCGTTTCTCGGTGTACGTGACCTGGAAGATGCCTATGAGGCAGTGTGGGCGCAATGGATGAATGGCGAAGAAGGCGATATCTGGTTATGATGTGCACAGCGATAGATACCCTCAGAGCGATTCTATCTCTTTTGGTTTGCTTTTGGAATTGGAACCTTGAATGTGATGGATCTTTTCGTTCTTCGGAGTGTTGTTCTTTGATCTGAATACTCGTACAAACCGGTTCTCCTGGGGTAACACTTCGGAAGCGATCGGCTTCCGGAGTACAGGGTGGATTAGTCACCTTGCCACCCAGAGCCGTCCCTTTGAGCAACTATGAGCGCTCCCGGAGTGCTTCACCACTGACCATCCCTTCCAGTCTGCCATCTTGCCTCTAGACTTTTCCCAGATTTGATGCAAGCCATGCTGCTGCTTCCTGGCGTTCCTGAGAAGTCAGAGACATGACATATGTTGGCTCCCGCCTTACTCCTTGGCTTCTTCCCTCAGGCAAAGGAAAGACGCAAACAGGCCGAAGATGAAGGGAGACGGTCTACCTGGAGAATGAATATAGGTCTCGCCTGTGAGTTTGGCTCCATTCTGCCCTTTTGCCTCCTTTAGCTAGAAGGGTTTAATGTTTCCTCCCCTCGCCATATTCCTCGCTCCCTCACATAAGTACCCACAAAATGCACGAACTTCTCGAAAGGTCTTCCAAAACATCGATATCATGCAGCAAAGGGTGCCAAAGGCCAGAAGACGTGAAATGTGAGACTCACAAGTGGCCGCATCACAGAAATTGTGACAGGCGAAGAAATACCCAACGAAAGATATGAATGAGCATAGAAAGCGTGAGCCTATATCGCGCGAGGTAAGCATTCTGAATCAAATACCCAGAGAAATAATAATAGGCATACATTGTGCATACCCAAGCTTTCTCTACCCTACATGCGCTCTAATTCATCATCCACGGCATGTTTTTGTTGAGCGGATGCCGGCGCAGAGTCGGAAGGGTATTTCGCATCCATGGTGATAGAAAATTCTAAGGTATTGATTGCTTGACTACTGACGGTCTGTTGGTCGATGCATTCCTGATTACATATCTGGTTCGAAACTTGGAATGGACTCCACCGGGTTTCCATAGCGTGGATCCAGGTTAACAATTTCTCCAACAGAGTTACTAGAAATGGTAGTCGATAGTGGCCATGTGGTTCTATCACAAAATTCCATCGTTACTGCCCAGCCTTCGACAGGCCGCAGTCGTCCCACTTCGAAAACTTCTCGACCTTTCTCGTCTAAATGCGGATACCATCTAAAAGGCCTTCGAACCTCTAATTGCCTCGGCGTGAATACATAGTCGCTCACGCTCTTCCATTTGACATCTAATTCTACAAATCCTGTAGGAGTACTCCGTAGATGCAGAGACATGTCCACCTGTTCTGACTAGCCAGTGGCTGGTAGACTTTGGGCGCACGGACGGCGTTTAAAAGAAGCGGATGCAGTTCCAGTTCTGCTGGGGCTGAATTAAGTTAATCACGACGGGCCCCACAAAGATGGCGCAATCCGAGTCTATCAAGTAATCTGCGACTCGGGCATATGCACCAGGGCATGGATGGCCCCCCCAAAAAAGAAAGGAAGAAAGAAAGAAAAAGAAAAGAAAACGTACACGCGGTTCCAGCGGTAACTGCTTTGCTAATAAGCCATCTGGTCGCTAGTCGAGTGACTCATGTCCTCAGAAGAGGTTATTTTCGGCGCCAGGTTCAATGGACCACACTTTGCCTAATATTTCTTATATTTGACGTGCTCAAACGTTGTCCAAAGAGATGGGCGATAATTAGGCACTATCCGGTATCTTCGATGTGTATTCTCACTTTTCTGGTGCAAATTGCATCATCTGCGCCCAGATTGGATCTTCATCTAGAGGACACAAAATCTGGGCACTGATTGGAATCATGCAATGAGAGGATAGTTTTTTTGACATTATTTTGGAATTTCAACCACTTCCAGAAATGTTTACCTGTCGGTTTCTATCTCCATCCGATCTGTCTAGTTGTGGTATGGATAACCTGGACTGCCTTAAATGAGGTTTCTCGTGAGGAGGAGGAGGTGTAAGCTATCGATCCAAGGACAGCGATAGCTGTCAACCGTTTTGAGAAAATCAATAGTAACAGGTGAGACAAACACACCTTTTTGCGGTTAAGGATGTTGATAACCACCTTCTGCTTTTGGAACCAGGGCTGCTGTTGTGATATTACACCATATCCACTAGCTTCGTGCCATAGCTTGCACCATCTTCTCACCAAGTTCAACAGATTAACCAATACTTGCCGCCAAGGAACATGCACGTATATATATTATGGCAGCTGCGAAACAATTCCCCCCACCACCGAGTTCCTATGACAGTATGGACTTCAAGGAGTGCATGGCGACGTCGAATTCTCTTCACCCTTCTCCCCCACCAGAGCGACCTCAAGTTGCCGACGATCCCGCATTCGACCAGACAGAGGGTCCGGAATTCTATAAGCCCATTGATGAATATGAGGGACTGCACCGCTGGGACCCGGACTTTGTGTGGGACGAACACGAGGAGAGGAGGATTGTTCGAAAGGTGCTTGCATGTCCATTCTCTGTATGACCCGGTTCTGACCATGGTAGCTCGACCTTCGCATCCACACCTTTGCCTGCGTGACCTTCTTTGCACTGCAGTTGGACCGAGGGAACATCGTTCAGGCCCTGTCAGATAATATGCTGGACGATCTCAAAATGAATACCAACGACTATAACACAGGCCAAAGTATTTTCTACTTGACCTTTCTCTTTGCAGAGCTACCCTCACAGTTGATCTCTAAGAAGTTCGGGTCTGACCGCTGGATCCCCGCCCAGATGGTGATATGGAGTGTGGTGGCTTCCTGCCAAGCGTTTCTTAAAGGACGGGCCTCGTTCTTCGCATGCCGTGCCCTACTGGGGTTGATCGAGGGTGGCTTGTAAGTAGTGTCTGTCGGGCCTAACGAGATGAATTCTGACTTTTCTAGCATTGCCGACACAATCCTTTTTCTGTCGTACTGGTATAAATCGAAAGAGCTCCCCCTTCGACTGGGATTCTTTTGGATGACCTACGAACTCACCGCCATCGTCGGGGCCTTTTTGGCTTTTGGGTTCTTGCACATCAAAAACGGCGACGGAAGCTGGCGCTACCTCTTCGCTCTGGAGGGCCTGTTAACTGGTCTTATTGGTATATTCGCTGCGTTTTATATGCCTCCGTCGCCCACGCAAACGGCTGGCTTCTTTCGTGGCAAACATGGGTGGTTCTCGGAACACGAAGAGAAGATCATGGTAAATCGCGTTCTACATGATGACCCCAGCAAAGGAGGCATGCATAACCGGCAAGCAGTGACCCCGAAGTTGCTGTGGGACTCACTCTTTGACTACGATATGTGGCCCATTTACCTGTTGGGCCTGACCTGGTTGATCCCGCCTCACCCAGCCAGCAGCTACATCACCCTGGAGCTGAAGTCTATGGGGTTCGGAACCTTCCAGGCAAACTTGCTGACTATCCCAGCCTACGTACTGTTCATTGTCAATTGTTACTTCTTCTCTTGGGTGTCTGAGAAAATAAACCAGCGCTTACTACTCGGGGCGTTTGCAGAAATCTGGAATTTGGCTCTAGTACTTACATTGGAGCTACTTCCAAAGGAAACCAATGCCTGGGCCAGATATGCCGTGCTCGTGCTTCTCATTGGCAGCCCGTACATTCATGCCGTGATCGTGGCCATGACCTCGCGGAATGCGGGATCTGTTCGGACGCGGACTGTCGCTTCGGCCATGTATAACATGACTGTGCAGGCCAGTTCGATTATCGCAAGTAATGTAAGTAAAGCTGCCGTACCTCATTGCGCATGAACTCAATAGTTATGTGCATCGCTTACTTAATGCGGGAAGATCTATCGCGAGAAAGACAAGCCATATTATCGCACCGGCAACAAAGCACTGATCGGGATATCGATTTATACCTTTTTAGTCTTTGTATGCGCCAAAGTGTACTATGCGTGGAAGAATAGGTGTGCTTTATGTTTCCCCTTCTGCCTCGTGATCTCTAGCTAAGTGTCGAAAAGGACTCGAACGGCCAAATGGGATAGGATGACTAGCGAAGAGCGCCAAACATATCTGGTCGCCAACCAGGCGGCTGGAAACAAGAGGTATGGCTTCGATAACAGGTTAAGGGCCTGTGCTAACATCTCCCAGGCTGGACTTTAGATTTGCAAGCTGATATTAACGAGTGAGAATACTTGGGGTTGCTTAGAGCCTTTGTATATAGGCCATCTGTCCGGCCCGTGATTATTGAAGACCTTTTCTATAGAACAGAAGGTTATTATGGCGGATGGAATGAACTCAATGTTACTTACAGCGCCGGGATCATTTGGGCTGCTCCAACACGCCATGCTCGCTTGCCGATAGGGGCTACATTAGACATATTGCTATATTGCTGAAAAGACCAGCGCTCTTCTTTCTTTACGGAGTGTCCCAAGTACCACTCGAAACGGACATTGATTGTTTCGGTCATGAGGTTTCTGGTGTGACGCGATGTATTATGATTCACCAGTGCCACTCGCGTCCCTGCCTCTTGAGGACGATAAGACAAACAAGCGAGTGATTTCATTTTGCTTGGGGGATTTATCTCCAACTGAGTTCCTTCACGATCGATACGTAACCAGTCTCATCGCCCCCCGTCACCCTTGACTGCGATTAACAAGACAGTGTGCAAAAGTAATGACGTCACCATATATTATTTACATGGAGAGAGCACGGCGAAGCAATACGATCGCGAACCGATTCCTCCTCTCCCAGATTGGTATCACATGATGAGATATGGGGACAGGGAAAGACTATCTGGCGGTTAACGGGTACCAATACCCCATAGTGTATATTAACGTATACTTCTTTCCAGGCAGAAGGCTCTCCAAAAGCTGCTTCCTCGACCTAAATCTCTTGGTCTCACTCTTTAAGTATCCGCTGGGTAGCAGATGAGGTGCCTTGTTCATCAATCGTCCTTAAACTTACGTTTGAACTCACAGCCTTGTCAATGTAATTGTATTAGATACCTAGCGTCAGTCTTTTGCCGGTAAGAAAGAGGTATCCCCTATTCAAAAGCCGTTTGTTGTCTGTTAATTATGTACGTCATTTACCCACAACCCATCAACACAGAACCATCAAATTTTGCTAGCCAAGCAGGTACCCAAAAACGATAATGACAGCTTCCCTTCAGTCCCCGCACCACAGCCACGAACCTTGGCTATATACTGACGGTCTGTTGGTTCACGGATCCCCTGTTATTTGGTTCAAATCTTGGAACGGGCTCCACCGTGTTTGCCGCCGCGTGGATCCAGGTTACCTTTTTTTTCTCCAACAGAGTTACTAGAAATTATAGACGATAGTGGGCATGTGGTTCTATTACAAGATTTGATCTTATTGCCTAGCTTTTGACAGGTTGTAGTCGTCTCTCTTCAAAAGCTTCTTGACCTTTCTCATTTACATGTGGATACCATCGGAAAAGCCTTCACATTTCTAAACGCCTCTGCGTGAATACCTAGGTAGCCGCTCACACTTTCCCATTTGACATCTATCCCTACAAACCTTGTAGAAGTAGAGACGTGTCCACCAGTTCCGACTAGCCAGTGGCTGGTAGACTTTAGGCATGCTGCTCCTAAGCACAGACGGCGTTGAGCGAAAAGAAGCGGATGCGGTTCTAGCTCTGCTAGTGCTGAATTAGGTTTAATCACGACAGGCCCCACAAAGATGGCGCAATCAGAGTTAATAAAGTAATTTGCGGAGCGCCCCACCCCACCGCCCATACACAGAAAAAAGAGAGAAGGGGATGCGGCTTCCGCGGCAACTGCTTTGCTAGTGATAAATTAAATGAATCACGGCGTTTCCCACAAATATGGTGCAATCTGAACCTAAGGAATGAAACAGGAACCAACACTCGCTGAATGGGAATGTTTGATTGGTTAACTCAATCCAACCGACTATATTCTGAATGTAGGAACAAGCGTATCGTTTCAATAAGCCACACAATTGCGTGCTCCCAATGCTCCACTGTGCAGGATATTGCCTATCAAGCATCGTGGATGTCAATATCAAGTTTTTATAAGCCGTTTCGTCCATAAGGACATAAGATACTTTAGTTATTTTCCCTTCTCTTACCACCACGGACTGTCACCCATATCACCAATCGGTACGATGGCTCCCCTTCCTACCACGCGTCGAAAACTTAAGAAAGCTTTCGGATTCGAAGATTCGCCGCCAAACGCGCTTGAGGAACAAGTTCAAAGCCAACCTGGTGCTTGCATCTATCATGAACGAGACCCTACAGTGCAGGAGTGGCTACAGAATTTATGGCCGTCGTGGCGTGGCGTTGGCCTCTACTTTCTCAGCTTATTTCCGTTTCTAAACTGGATTCCTTGCTATAACTGGCAGTGGCTTATTGGTGACTTGATCTCCGGTATACACTCCCCCACATCCACTAGATGGACTTACCGAATAGTAGCTAATAGCCAAATAGGTACCACCGTCGGCGCTGTGGTTATCCCTCAGAGCATGGGATATGCCAAGCTCGCCGATTTACCTGTCCAATATGGTCTCTACACATCGTTCATGGGAGTTTTTGTTTATTGGTTTTTTGCGACATCAAAAGATATTACCATTGGCGTAAGCCTCATCATTTCAGTTATGTCTCGGAGGCAAAACTAACGCTCCTGTCTCTTAGCCAGTGGCCGTGATGTCGACTCTTGTGGGCACGATCATTATCGAGGTCCAAGCTGACCACCCGGAGATTCATGGGGTGGAGATTGCCCTGGCCATCGCTATCATATGTGGCGCTATCGTGACTTTCATGGGACTAGCCCGCTTAGGCTTCGTCGTCGACTTCATTCCTTTACCCTCAATCGTCGCGTTTATGACTGGGTCAGCTGTCAGCATCTGCTCGGGTCAGGTCAAACACCTACTGGGTGAACAAGCCGACTTCAATACCCGAGCCGCAGCCTACAGGGTGATCATTGATACCCTGAAGTATTTGCCGACAGCCCGGGGTTATGATGCCGCAATGGGTCTTACGGCACTTGCTCTGCTATACGCTATCCGCACTGCCTGTAACTATGCAGCGCGGAAGTATCCTCATCGGGCTAAGCTTTTCTTTTTCTTGTCGACGTTACGCACCGCGTTCGTCCTTCTCTTTTATACCATGATTAGCGCAGCCGTCAATCTGCATCGGCGTGACAATCCGGCATTCACTATCGTGGGTCATGTCCCTCGTGGCTTCCAGCATGCCGGTGCGCCTAAGATCACTGGTGATCTTATAAAGACCTTCGCCCCGAAGCTACCTGCTTGTGTTATTGTGTTGTTGATTGAGCATATTGCCATTTCCAAGTCTTTTGGCCGTGTGAATCACTATACAATCGATCCATCTCAAGAGCTAATCGCTATTGGCGTTACCAACCTTTTAGGGCCTTTTGTTGGAGCCTATCCGGCTACAGGCTCTTTCTCCCGTACGGCCATCAAGTCAAAATCTGGCGTGAGGACTCCTTTCGCTGGCGTGATAACGGCGGTTATTGTGCTCGTCGCGCTATATGCCTTAACAGCGGTATTCTTTTATATTCCTAAATCATCTTTATCGGGAGTGATCATTCATGCTGTGGGCGATCTCATTACGGCGCCGAATACTCCTTATCGATTTTGGATCGTTTCGCCCCTGGACTTCGTGATATTCGCTATTGGTCTGCTCGTGACGATATTCAATAGCATTCCCAATGGCATCTACGTGACGATTTGCCTGTCAATTGCCGTGCTACTGTTCCGGCACGCTAAAGCCCGTGGTCACTTTCTGGGCTACACGACAATATCTCACTCTGGAGGCCCACGCGAGTTATACTTTCCTTTGGATCATTCACACGGCTCTGACACGGCTCTTGTTTTACAACAGCCCCGTCCGGGTGTATTTGTCTACCGCTTCGATGAAGGTTTCAATTACCCCAATGCGAACCATTACACGGACGATCTGGTGAAAGCGATTTTCCGCCATACCCGTTCAACTCGCACCAATGTGTACGCCACTCGTGGCGATCGTCCATGGAATGATCCGGGCCCACGGAGAGGTCAAAAAGAGCCTGATTTGTCCCATTTGCCTCCCCTCCACGCCATTGTTCTGGATTTCGCAGCCGTCAATCAAGTTGACGTGACTTGCATACAGAACCTTGTGGATGTACGAAATCAATTAGACCGGTATACGGCTCCATCGACGGTACAATGGCATTTTGCGAATGTCAAAAGTCGATGGACTAAGCGCGCTCTTGCCTCTGTTGGATTCGGGTATCCACAAAAGCTGGGCCCTTCTCCGTCAATACCAGTGGAAAATATTGGCAATGAGTCGAGCGTGGGGTCGTCTTCCCCTGATGACATTGAGACTGGCACAAAGAGAGCACAAGATGAATCTTTTTACTCAGAGCAAAAGACGAGTGATCCTCAGATCCGTGGCGTACAAAATGGCGGGCTAAAATCCAGTCGGCCTTTCTTCCATGCTGATTTGACGAGTGCTTTGTGCAGCATTGATGCAATCCTGGACGCTGGCGATGAGGAGAAAGCAGCCGTTTAATGTATTGAGTATAGTTGTGTAAATTGATATATGGAATGAAGATTCGGGTGATGATTTTCCCGAGGTGCCTCCACAGGTGTCGTCACACGAGGGTGGGGAGGTGTTGGATCCCCTGTACTGATGGTATTGTCCTGTCACCCTGATACGCACTACTCATGCATTAGGGTTAGACCTGTATCTATAACACTGGGTCGTGACCCACAGAACCCCATAACAATACAACAACCATACACATGCTACAACAGGATGTTTCCGCTTATGCACTAACGTCATTTAGTATTAGGATGTTTCCATGCAACAATGAAATGATCGGGAAAGCTTCCATTGCATGTCCTGGGGAGGAGATTGGCCCGGCTGGAAAATCTGACGCAAATGGAGAGCTAGATTGGAACACTGCAGCTTTACCTTTGTCATTGATCATTCCAACATTTCCCCTTCCGTCTCTTGGCGCACCTGTCGTCACTACTGCATCTTCTGTCAGTGTAGCTGGTGTTCCAACACCCTTCGCGTCTAATATGACAATGGAGGGATCTGCCAGTAGGGCGATTCCCTATGCTGCGCGATTTTGGGCGTTCCTCGTGGTGTTACTTCTCATGAAGAATTTTCTCCTACGCAGTCGGTGATACTCTCAGTTATGATTTGATTCATGTGACTATTGTCTGGAACAGCTGCACTTTATGTACAATAAAAGAAGCGTCTTCTCAATTGTACGGCACTTTCTTTCAATAGGCTAAGGTGCAACTTCTGTTAATATCACTTACTTTCGAAAAAATGTGCGAAGCTTTCCAACCCCTCACATTTTCGAATTCACAGCTTTTCCAGAAACATCATATTCAGGCGTTCACTATTGTTCGAGACAAGAAAATACATGTTATCCGTGAGCCTTAACCGAAGTCGTCTTCATTTTGAATCAAATGCACGGCCAGGATGTTCTTGCTCTCTGCTACGTTTTGGAATGCAGTTGTAACCCTAACGCTGTCCGGGTTCATACCACGTGGATTGGGGTGAATACCACTCTGGGTTAGAAGCAGATTTCTGACCTTATATGAACCCCCGACTCTGTGCGGGGGGCGATTCAGAGCAAGATCGATGATCTCGACACTCGTCACGTATCAGGATCAGGGTGCCAGCGCAGTCATCGCGGCGAAGGATTGGTGCTTGTTTTTATGGCCAACATTAGGTGGGCGACTCGGAACGCTGAAGTGGTGGAGTCGGCCAAGTTTAGTCGCGACTAACGCTTCGTCCAGATTCCTGAGGTCGGTCCACAAATTGAAACTCAACATAGATATCATAAAAAGAATCATTAATAGAATCGATGACATGATAGATAGCTCGTCACCAGAAAGTCATACTCGTTCTTGATGTTCCGAATGGCCGCAACTTGTCGCTTTTTGGCAGCGTTCGTATCGTCAGGATGAACGAACAGGTGAGCAGCGTCAACGGTCAGCAACCAACATGACCTGCTGAAAAACATGGGACGCTTCAGTGACGGTTGGATCAATGAGATTAAACATAAGAGCATTTGTGAGGCTTTGCTAGTCTCTAAATCTTCTCCTGCGCGGAAATCTCCAATTCACGCAAGAAACCAAGCCACATGGATCACCCTACTTCTCTTTCTTTCTCCAGCAGGCCGGCTAGTCAAGAGGCACCGCCGGCTATCCGAACAGCCAGACAACGATGTGTATGTGCAAGATCAAAAGCCAGAGACAGATCTCACAGTAATCATCCAAAGGTCAGTCTCTTCCCGACACTTGACAAACGAAACTAAGTAGTCTCATTCAGACTCCCGTTAACCCGACTGGTCTCCTTACAACACAGTTCATACAGATTCTTCGCAACGCAGCTGTCATTGCCATTCCCACCCTCAACCTTCTCGGCCTGTACATCATCTGCCTGTGGGACTGCTACGTTATGAAATCAGCCGAGCAGATCCATCTGGATGAAGAACAGCAGAAACTTCGAGAAGCAAATGAGTGGCTAGAAGTCGAGAACGATTCTCTCGTGCAGCGCTGCAATGAACAATTATTGATGCTGTGGGGCCGAGAACGTGAGCTTTGTGACCTTTATACCGGGGTCGCTTCAGTCCTGAAAGCGAACCGTGGCTAGACCTTTCTCGTCAGCAGGTCCCAAGGCTCGGAGTAGCTTGGGATCAAGCGCAGGAGACGTTCTGGGTACTTACGCATGGTTTTCGTTTCCTGCGACTATGGGCTCTTAACGTCTCGGCCAATGTTGATGGGTGGTAAGATGTGGTGAAACACGGTTGACCCCGGTGACGAAACGGTGTTTTCGCACCAACACTTATCCATTTCCTTCCTTGACTCTCGAATAAAAGCCTAGTCTTTTTCGGTCTTACTTCTTTCTGTCAATAAATTTGAGCCATGCCGGCCCCTGCACAATTCTTAGCTCCAACCACATTTGCATCTCCAGTCTACAAACATCTGTCTGTTCTCCAAGACGCCTATATCAGTAAAATTAGGATAAGCATGAACATGGACGGTCCGGTCCAGGAGGGTAAGTACGCGTGGAGTTTATTACCAATACATGCTGACGAAAATGTAGATTCTGACTTCGATCTCGACACCCGGGTGATGATCGAGATGTTTCCGAAGTTGATCATGTGATGGTTACAGGCCTCTATCAGACAAACGGCGAAGGTACTTAAGCAGACAGTTCCCCTAGATCACGGCACATGCCTTCTACGTCTACTCTGCCGAGCGTCCGTCTGAATACGCCTTCGTTCGCATCCTTCCATCGTTGAAACACGCTCCAGCAGGAGAATTCGGGGTCTTCGCAGCATTCGACAAAGTCCATGTTGCAAACTGACAGGTTGGTGCAGAGGTTCACAGCCATTTCGGCGTCTAGTCGGCTGTAGGCGTAACCGGGCGACCAAGAACCATAGCAATAGCCATTATCGTCACATATGTCTGCACGGAGAGCCAGCCGGTCTGCGACGACGACCAGATCCATGGTTTCTCCGTCTGCCACTCCGGTGAGAGTCCTGTCATCGATCGCGAGGAAAAACTGGGGCAGTTCATCCTGGCCCGATTTCACATACTGGTCAGATTCAAAGTACGCCATCAGACCCGGAATATCTGGCGTCCCGACGAGGTTGGCTACGTCTATAAACTGCATTGTATCCTCGACCTCGCTGAAGAGCTCTTGGCGGACGTGCCGGAACTGCGTTTCCGTCATCTGGGAGAGGACAAAGCAGCAGTAGTCGGTATGGGCAGTGAAGAAATTGAAATGGTCTGGACATGGCACAACTTCGAATGGCCATTTTCTCGCCTGCAGAGGACCATCGAAAAGTGTCGTGTTAACCCTGGCATTGTTGAGCCGAGTGCCGCGCCTACCGTGCTCGAAGGGATTCCAGATAGCATGCCAGAAGCCCAGAGCATCTCCTATGTCGCACAGAGTGTGTAGGAGAATTGGCCTACGGCCCGAGAAAGTCTTTTGTGCAAGAATGATGCAGTACTCTCCATCACGCGTCTCGTCTTGGTCGATGAACATGGAAAACATCTCATCCACGGCTTCCTGGTAAGGGGGCTTTATGGCTTGGAAAATCCGATACAACTCCGCTCTGGAGCAAGGCTCACGGTCCGCGGGCCAGTTGTAAATGACGACATTAGAAATGCCATCGGAGCTGCCAATTGCAGCCTTGATTTCACCCCTCTTCTCGTCGGTCAGGTGAACGAGGGAGATCAGGTCTAAGCTTGACGGCTCGGGTTTCAGATCGGAGGGTAAATGAGGGGGGAGCCAGCAGCTCGTCCCAGCCTTGTCGCCCTGCCCCTATTAGATATGATAAGTTGGTGTCAGCACGGATCGATCAGGTGGCAATATAGGATTTCTCCAAAGTTCACTCACCTCCACGGTGTTTGAAGGGGACCCCCCAAGCACAATTTTAACGCTCTCAAAATCTGGCAAGACTTGAGCCAGTGATTTTTCGGATTCCAGAGCCAGAACAGCTCTGTTCATCGGCACCCGCGCAGCCTCTCCACCCTGGTGTTCACCCCTGAGGACAATGGCGGTGCCATCCGTGACGGATTGTCTGTCTACAAATATCAACGAAAGCCAGTGGCTCGTCATCCTATAGATCTGGAATATGGTGGACGGTATCGACGCTGGCGACGGCTCGGAGTCGCGAAGCCAGGCTACTTCAGTGAGGCGTCGCACCAGCCTGTGACAATCAGGAGCTGGTCGGTCCTCCGTCCATGTCTCGTCAACAGCGCACAGCTCGTCGAGTATCTCCCGTCTCTGGCTCTCTTCCAGTAAACAGAGGAAGACGACGTTGAATGTAGGTGAAGCACCATAGCCGGGCGACTGAACACGGGGCAATTGCCACGAAGGGAACTCTCCAGTGTGAGAAACCATGGCGGATGCGGATCTAATATGTTCGATGCTGCTTTGAGAACTCGTCCTTTGCTAACATGCGCGGGGGACTGACTACACACGAGAAGGGTGAGAGAGGTCTGCTGACACGTGGAAACAGACAAATCAGGCAGGCGATCATGCCAGATTGCCAGAACTGCTAATCGATTCTACGAGATTCCATGGGGCATTACGGTATTATAACGATTACTCATTTCATTGTTACAGTTGGGTACTGCCATTACAGCTAGCATTCTGCCAGATTTAGAAAACGGTAGCCTAAAGTGGGGTTAGCGCATCTCAGAATTATTTTCCGGGAAAGAAATAGGTATAACTATGTATCCTACAGGCAGCCATAAAACCACTGGGGGTCGCGTGCTGCTGCACGCGGTAAGCCCTGAAGCGACGTGGCAACTGTGGCCAAAAACGTCGAAAGTCGGGGCAATTGTCCATGACGGTGAAGACCAAGAAGAAGACAGATCAGGTTGGAAGTGCCCAGGTCGCAAGGGTTTTCCCTTCTAGATCGCGCAATCTTTCCATCTCCACGATGAGGTCCGGGTCGAGAGAAAAGCGGAGGTCATCTATCGTGATTTTTTGGAGTAAATGGAGACCCTGAAAAGTCCGCAGTCTGGACAGCTGAACATTAAGGGAGCAATACTTTCGATGAGAATCTTGGCCACGTCGGGTTGTATCATTTTTCAGGTCTAGAATCGCGGCAGAATGCGTTGAGCCTTGCACTTTGTAATCGGTGAGGCAAAATGCTGGGCAGATTGGTATCTGTTTCCGTCTCACAGATAAGCCTTTCACGGTGATGGAACGTTCTATCGGAAATATTGGCATTGTGGAAGGTGGGAGTTGGTCAAAATTGGTTGACAGTGGTCTATCTGGTTTGAATAGAACTGAAGCAGGTGGCTTAGTGCAGAGCGTGTAGAGATCATCTCCATCAAAGAGTTCAACTGTTAAAACGGGTTAATTAAGTCTTTTAAATTCAAACTGGAACTTTCCAGCTGGGTCCAAAACAACGCCTACTGCGGTACCTATGGCACCATTGACCTGACCGAGAGGCGTATAGGCGTTGGTCAGTATCACGGTCGGCATATCTCTAGTGTAAAAAAGAAGACCCGGGAATAGAATCTAAGCACTTTGGTCTGGCTGGAGCAGTAAATCATGAGCTCGGAGTCGAAGGTTCGTGGGACCAGTTGATTTGGTTCTAGAGTGAGTAGCGGCGAAAACATAGATTCTCTAGGATCTTCTTTGAGAAAATCTCTCGATACGGATACGATTCATTAGATGTCGAATTGCGTTCAACTTAACTATGACAGTAGCATCCTCTAAAATTAAATCTGTAAGTGAGTGGATGGATCTGTCATTCAGTCAGGTAACATCGTCTTCGGTCAATGCTGCATGCCTCGTGCGCATCAAGAATTCACGAAATGAAGGATCTTCCGACTGTCTTATCTGTTCATTGAGAATGACGACGCTTTGAAATCGATGTTAGATTAGCCGCCCGGCGGCATTATCTTCGTTACTATATCTAGGATTTTTCCAAGAAATTGCCCATAAGAATCACAATCGGAAGGCCGCCAAAAAGGTCGGGAGAAGACCTAGGCAGTGACCGAGCGATTTTGAATTGATTGTTAATGACGCTTAACATTTTCAAATCAACCATGCTCATTTCGTCGATCACTAAGATAGTCTTTCGTGCCCATAGTTTTCTAATGCGGGGGCTGACGGCTGCTTTATAGGAGAGATTGATGCCAAGAGAAGTATGATATATATTGCCCGCCAAATTTTCCGCTGCGGCACCTATAGGAGCGGTGAGGATGATCTCATGTTTCCGACCAAGAATATACAGAGCGGCTACGATGGCTCTAGGTATCTGGGGTTTACCAGTGCCACCTTCGCCGGTAATGCAGAGAAGGGGTTGCTTGCGGCGTGACGAGTAGTACGGATGATCAGCCTAGGTCAAAATTTCAGCTAGTAACTTCCGCACTACAAGCATTTACTTCGTATTCAACGGAATATCTTGACTAACCAATGTGATAAGCGAGTCCGGCGTTGGATTGTCTTCGAGTTGAGCATATCGTGTTAGCGTATCGCCTGACATACTTTCATTGGTCAATACAGGTTGCAGGATGCCATCTCCATTAGCTAGGTCAAAGTCTTATAGTTACACGTAGACTGCGGCATGGTCTTGGTCTTGGTCTTCATTTGCTAACCAAGACCGCAACTGCGGTTATTACATAAGACAATACATAAATTACTAGTATTAGAGCCGTTATAATTATTTTTTCTCTTCACTCCTAGGGTATTTCTTGTTTCAATATAATTTTGTATATAAGAATAGGCTATTTATATTTATATTTTGAATATCTAAGCATAATAATCAACTTTTTGGTGGTAATTTATTTTTGATGTTCTCTAGTTAAAGGTGGTGAAGCCACCTTAAGCGTAAATATATATCTTCACAATTAATCTTAAGAACTGAAGTTACTTTATGAGAGCTTATGCTATGATATTAATTTAATAGAAAAACACTTTAACTAGTTATTCAAAATAGAATTTTCAATAGCAAACCTAATATTACTAACGATTGTAAGGGGATTTACACTCTAATACTTAGATAAAATACATTACCATTGTAATCTATTTTTTGCTTTTGCGGTTAACCACAACTAACCGCGGGTGAATTTGGGGGCCAAATTTGCGGTCTTTGCCGCAGTCTAGTTACGCGGCTACAGATTGAGATGGACTGTCATCCTAAAAGGGTTTCTTATGACCAGTGAGGCGATTCTCCCAACCCTCCAGGACTATGGGCGCGAGAACTTTTAAATCCAGAGAATGACCAGCTTGCGAGGTGTGCATTCTCATCGGGATCGGGTTTGTCTATGGAGGATTGTGTGCTCGACAGAGAGTGGCCAATATTGGGGTTCGTTTTGCAGCCATGAAACAATCTCGGCCCCAGGTTTTGTTAATAGTGTAATAGGCGACTACCAAAGTCTCCGGTGTGAACCTCTCATCTTCAGGTGCGATGAAACCACCTTCATTCTGCTCGTCATCGGAACCAAAAGCGGCATGATCTAGATGATCGACATGGCGGTCCAAAAGCTCGGTATTGTGATGTGTAGATCGCCGCAATCTAGCGTCGACCTGGCAGTCTTTCTTCGAATTCCGGGGAAGCTCGATATTGGCAGCAAATTGTTTAATATGAGGAGTAAGAGTTGGTTCGACTGATGACCATATATGTGAGAAGATAATCGACTCATCTAGTTGACGAAGAAAGATATCGCGTAATTCCTCCTAGGGAATAAACAAGCCAAGAAATACCTCCGCGAGATCGTTCATGATGGCAGCACTTATCGGATGACCTCCACGAATGGAATCTTCCGCCGCTTGATATTGAGTGAGTTGTCCATTAAATATGACGGTGGCTACCTAGGACTGTGAGCGGGCGACACGCTGGACACACACGTCACTTCTAGGATGGGACGCACCGAATTCAAAGTGGTGGGAGCGATTCCTTTCTTTGTTCCTTGTTTGCACTAGCATGCAGTATTCGAAGAATGAAAAAGAGTCAAGGGCGATTCCGCGCCATTTATAGTTGTCAAACAGGCTCACTGGCACCGTGTCACTAGGTTGGAACGTACAAGGCTCGTCTGCAATGGCAGCCGGACCAGCAGGGTCTGCGGTGGTCGAATGTCGAAGAGCGCGCACATAATGTCTTAGCCACCACAGATTCACACGTACGAATTTAGAGCTAACAGTGTAGTAGCTTGGAAGATGGAGCAGAGTGCTGGCGACCTGGACGCCACTCACCTCTCGGTCGTGTGCGAGGCTGTTGAAGCAGCGAAGCGCAAAGTTATCTATGCCTCTTTCCCGAAGCCGCAGATCAGTAGCCGTTGGGGGATCGGCAATTTTTGCCTTTTCAATGGCTTGTTTTAAGAGAGCCCCCTTTGCTATTATCTGCCACGGAGATACATCATCTTTAGTGGCGTATTTGGTGATGTAGTAGACCAGAGCCAACGATTTTGAGACGGTTGGGATCCAAGAGATATCATGGTTCGAACGAAGACAGCTGGCAATAGAGGGATTCCACGGGTTAACACAGGGGTGATTCCGAACTAGATGGATGACACCAAGGTCGTCAATCTTAGAGCAGGAAACAATTTCACGGGGCATGCCAAAACGACAAGTATTTTTGGACTGGTTTGTCGGGCGGTATTTGAAACACGTAGCGAATTGGTTTTTGGAGTGTTGTTGTTTGGACCAAGCGACTACGTTGCTGTCATTGGCTAGTCTGAGGTGGAAATCGTGATCCGACTCCGGATCAGAAGCAAAGGGGCAGGTTGGCGGAAGATTGGCTTCTGGATCAAGGGGAATACTCTCGTCTACGCATTGGATGATGACACTTTCGAGGTAACAGAGAACGCGGGTAGCAAAGTCGATGTCGGCGAGAACGTGGCTTCGTAGATCCGCGAATGCAAGATTGCCTTTCAGCCACACCATTGCATGCAAATGTAACATTCCTCTGCCGTTGGTTTCCACGACGCCGTAATGATTCGAAATATCTCCGAGGATTCCAATGTGGTCGGATCCGCTGGCGAACAGCCCTTCTAAGACAGCGGTGCAAACGTGATGGAAAAATGAGGCCACCGCTACAGGGTTCGACGTGGCGGTCGCACCTCGGATAGCTGAATTCGAAGCAGATAGGATGCCCCCGGAATACTCGACCCCGGCCAAGATAATTACAAGTGGGCTTCGTAAATCGGAGGGGTTGATGGTAATCCAAGACGCAGGCATTCCGAAGCGAATGATGAGACCTCAAGATCTCAGAGCGCATATCATTCATTTTTTACATTATTCACTTATAACATACGTTTTTGCTAGGATGGAGGGCTATGCAATAACCAGAAGTTGACTGTACAAGGAGAAGAACAAGTTGATTGGAAATCAACTTGGTTCTTCGTATAGATACCTCGGGATTAATCCCGATGGTTCGGCTTGGTTCCTGATCTGCACCAGCCTCATATCACAACACTGTGTATTGAATAGATCGGCGCGTGCCAGGGCTACTTAGCAAATGATATTGTTCAAGCATACTGTACTAAAATTGTGTTTTGTGACAACCGAGCTGCGAATTTTAAGTTCTCCATGGATTGCGCGTGGAGACCGATAGACCGATGAGGTGAATAGTGTGTACGAATACACCGCAGTTCCTTGCGAAGTTCAGGGCATCCGACACCCGCTGCATATGGTGCTCATAAGTCTTTCCCTTCACCGTCATTTCCAACGTCAGGTAAGGTTCCATCAAGTCCTCTTTCGCCAGTGTCCATTTAACTTTCAAAGAGATCCCCATCCAACACAGAACCCAGAAACAACGAGCAGAGTTGTAGCGACCTTCTTCAAGCTGAGCGCGTTACCACTCGACGTGCTGGTCGGAGTCGTAGACGTCGTCACTGCCGCTGTTCTGTCCATCGACGATGATGCAGGGGAGCTTATTGACGGGGATACCAACGTCGAAGCCAACATCATCCCCAAGAGCCCTCTAGTGGAGGCCAGAGTAGCAGAGCTGTCGAGGCTGGTCATAGCAGTGTCCGACGCGACATTGGAGAGGACAGGCATCGTCGAAGGTTCAGGGAAACCCAAACTATCGAGAGCGTAGCTCTTGGTCATCCAGCTCCCCATCGGGGTGTGGCTGAATGAAGTGGGCGCCGCCTCCCCTTTCGCGGTGAGATTGTCGCAGACAACGTCCCAATTTGAGGGTTCGGTGCCGCCATTAGTCAGACACATGAAGTGGTCGCTCCAATAGTACGGGTATTTGTCATTGGCTTTGTCGAGAACAGGGTCGATCTGGCAGAGCATGGCACAAGTGACGGGGTAAGCTGGATTGCCGGGGCTCGTCGGTGAAGTAATGTTGTACACCGGGCCAGAGCAGCACTGCGCGAATCTGGGAGCGCTGTAGATGCCGGAAGGCGGCGTCTTACAGACCAGCCCCGGGAGGTTCTCGGGCCATTCCGAGAAGGCCCCGGCTGAGACCTCGTTGAAGCTAGGGTTATTGGTACACTGGTTGGCAGTCATTGATGCGCGTTCGGGGCATCGGCGAAAACACGACTTGGAAGGTTCTGTCGATTATCGGGAATGGCAATTTATGAACGACATTTTGACCGCCTTCCTAAACAGCTCTAGTACGTCTTACGTAAGCAACGGGCTGACCGTCGTGACCATCTTCACTAACGTAATTCCCGGCCGATCTGGACCACCCTGGACGGTCCAAAACACCATATTACAGTGGTGTAACGTAAGTATTTGACCTCGAGTACTTCGGCCTAGGACCCACTTTTCTAATACTGCCAGGCAGAAACCTCTGAAATTCAATTCAGTCTAATAGCTAGTATGCCACCCCTCATACTTAATAACATCAGCTACCCTGTGAGGCATAGTTTCTGATAGATGCTTGAATAATTCAATATCTAGGCCTTCCCAGGCTTCCTGTGCAGCTTTTAGCAATAGATCTAACGTAGATTCGTTGTTCGGTAGGCGCATTAGCTCAGGATAACGCTTAAGAATTTCGGCTTTTAGCAGCGCCCAGAGGTTCTCGATCGGGTTTAAATCAGGTGAATAAGGAGGCCATTCCATAATCTCGCAGTTAAGCTCATTAAGAGCTTCCCGTACAATATATGCAGTATGAACGGGCGCGTTATCTTGCTGAAAAATAGCATTATTATCAATACTATTAAGTAGCGTAGGTAAGATACGCCGATAGAGCTCTTCAATCGTACGTGAAGAAACACCACCTCTTCTAGACGTAGGATCTCCGAATAATGGAATTAGGCCTGATCGACGCGGTAAGCCAGAGAAAGCAGCCCAAAACATCTGCTTAATTTGCTTCCCTCGCGCCGGAACCATCTGAACCTGAGAGCCTTCTTTTGAATGCTGAAAAAGCTGGTCTTTTGGACGTGTAAACGTCCATTCTTGCCGCTGGCCTATTCCACGTTCAACTGTACATTCGTCTGACCAGTAGACGCGGGCCCAGTCTTCAGGAGTGAAGTGTTGGTATTCGAGTGCCCATTGAAGCCGTTTCGTAGCATGTTCAGGCGTAAGTGCCGGACGCTGCATTTTCCTCCATTTTCGAAGACCCATTTCGTGGGTTAGACGCCAAATTGACTGGCGATAGACCTTAAAATCGACCTCTCTAAGTAGATCTTTAATCAATATCGATGGCTTTTCTTGTATAGTGTCGTAGATATAGTCACGATCCTCTTCAGTAAGCTTCCTTGGAGCGCCTAAGCGTGGAAGGCTTTCTTGTTTTTGACGCTTTGCCTCTTGGGTAAGGGTATATTGAATTGTTGAGCGTGGAATATCGGGAAAGCGCATCTTCTTAATGGTTGTTGCACCCCAGCCATTTGTAGCGTGTAATTCGCAGATCTTGGCCCTAGTAAGGCAGTCAAGCTCTGGGCCTCTCTTCCCACGTATAGGAGGCATAATAAGGTAAGAAAGACTGCTATAACGCGTTAACTGTAGCGTATATGTTAGCAAGCGCGTTGAAACGCGAGGTGTGGTGTACTAATAAAGTAGGCGGTATAATAAAGCGGTCAGGCTAAAAGTGGATCCTAAAGTACTCGAGGTCAAATACTTTTGTTACACCACTGTAAAAGCGATAAATTACCACTTCAGATCCCAACAACCGTATTCAGTTTGAATATGATATTAAGTTTGTGCAATTTAAACAGTATTTATAACCTACGGAGGGAATTTTAAAGGCTCAGTTTAAGTGGCTATTGAAATATATATATTTATAACTCAAATGTCAAAACTACCTGGTAATTTATGGTAACGTGTGAATCAATAGATTTTAATCCACTATTCTCTAGTATCGGGATTGGTAGTATAGACGATAAGAGAGATAAATAAATGCCTAGGGGTCCCTATGCGGCAGGGCAGTCCTCAGGACAAATATTTGCAGAGAGAAATACTACCTCCCGTAGAGGTCAGCTACTACTGCAGCGTAGTAGCTTACCCCAGGAAGATGGATGAAGATAAAAATAAAGGTAGAGATAAAGGGTCTCTCTGGCCTGCCCTAATAGAGAGGAAGGGTAGTGAGAGGAGAATTGAGATGAAAGCTCTTTTTCAATTCAGTCTGGGTTTTGAGCCATATTTATAGACAAAAATATTCAGTTTCACATGAAATGAATGGCCTGATTGCTTAAGGTTATAGACGTCATGAAGTGAGGGGTAGACCTTATGACCTTGTCTTATGACTAGGTCTCATGACCTAGGCTGATGTAAAGGGAAAGCATAGTAAAGGCCGAAGTGAGAGCAAAGTGAGAGATAAACGAGAGATAATTGGAAGATCAGAAAAAGGCGGTGAGAAATGGCAGAACGGAAACATCAACGGGAACTTCCATGTTGAATTGGAAGCTCTGGAAATCTGCAGTTATAAATGCAGACACCTAAAATCCTGACATCTAGATATGTTGTTCTTCGTGCCTAGGACACGAGTATGCTCAACTTTTAACGCAAATAAGCACCTGGTGGTTGATATAGTGTGACCTGAAAATCGCATTTAATATGATGTTTTGGGATGTCCAGGACGGCCGGATGTCTAGAAGGGAACAGGCTAGATCTATCGTGGACTTCGGCTCGTCTCGTGAACCAACTCTCCGTTTACCAGGACGTTTAACTGCACCGTTTAACCACACCGCTTAAACACACCGTTTATTGGTGACCTCACGCAGTCAAGAGGAGCAGGAAGAGTGTAGTTTGGCCGCAACGGGTCACCTGTCGCTGCGGTCGTAGACCGTAGCGTCAGATAGGCCCCGTCCGCGCTCCCTTGTAGGGAGGCAATGTGTCTGTATTGTAGTGGATTCTATATACAGAGGGAAGGTGGGAGGGACAAAATGACACTTGACTGCGTGAGAGATGACGAGCTACCCGCAGAGGCAAGCAACTGACTCTCGTGAGGCAGTTGTAGGAGGAAGAGGCCCTCAGAAATGTCGGTGTATGTATCACGTGAGGCTACAGACATGGTGAGGCTACAGGATTGTGAGGCAACCCCAATAAAACCACTCCCTTTAAACACCACCACCGTTTAAACACCACCTCCGTTTAAACGCCTTTCGGTTTAAACATCTCTCCCGTTGAAACACCGTTTAACCACACCGCTTAGGCACACCGCCTAAACACACCGTAAAAACACCTCTCCATCAACAAAGGCTTTGTTCCCGGTCTCTGGAAAGGATGGATGGATGGGTTGCCCGTGGCAAAGCCTTAACGAAGCCCGTCAAATACTAAGTCTTGACTATTGGTGATGGAAGACGTGATCAGTAGTGGATCTATATGATAGGCCCATGATAGGAGATCACCACGGTGCTTCGCGCCCGCTATATTTAGCCGCTGGTCCAGGGCACTGTTTCAAGGGGTGCCATTATTCTCAGCTTGTCTTAGTCGCTTCTGCGGCTCCTTCGCCGACAGATTTTGGACTGCGTCACTCAAGAGAAAGTTTTCAATACCGGATCAAACAGTGTTGATGGCCACAACGTATCGCGTCCGCAGCATAAGCAAACCAGGTTGTTTGAGGACCCCAAATGTGAAAAGTGAAGTGGTATCACATGACAGGCACGAAGCGAGGCAGGTTTAGCCGAGTGGCCACGTCATCGGCTCCGGGGCTTCAGGGTGTTCATTCAGAGGTCTGAAGGGGCTGAAATGGTTAGGGAGCAAGGGGTAGTTTCCCCGACGAAAAAAAAAAAAAAAAAAACAACAGCAGAAAGTGTGGCCGAGCTCACCTAGCGCCCACGGATTGGTCGTGGGCGACCCGCCGCCTTCGGTGGGCTTCAGGCGGCATTTCACCTACCTGAATATTCTTCACCTGAAGCCTGCCTGAAGATGTAGGGCGCGCAGACAAAAAGCACATTTGCGCATTCTGGCATAGGGAAAGATTTTCGCGACCCCTAAATTCAGACCGACGGTGGATAGGTTAAACGGAGCCGTCGGATAGGAATAATGAAGGTTCTCAGCCGTTTATCTTCCTGTCTTCGCCCCAGAATATAATCACTCTTCACGCCTCGAATGGGGAAAGTAAAAGACAAAACGGCGAACTTTTTATTTGTCGTAGATTTTAGTGAACATGACAACTCGGAAATCCTCCATGCCGTCCTCCCGAGGACCAAGGACGTTTATAAACGTGCACTCTGCATCTTTGATAAGTGAGCGAACGCCTCTACCCTTGTTTCCTATCTTATAAATCTAGATAAACTATTTCATGATCTCTTCATTCAGATTTGTTTCATTACACCCAAAAGCATTGAACCCTCCAGACATTCAAACCTACAAGCCTTTATAGAGTTTGCTGCACGCGGAATGAATCACGAGCAAGCCGACACTTCTAACGGTTGACGGTTTTCTAGGGGATTTTGAAGCGGGTATGGCATTTTATCGACAGCACAACTTCCTGGAGGAGGTGTCTACAACGATAAGAGAGATGCGGAAATAATATATCAACAGTAAGCTCTTTTGAGAATAGTCCTAACTACAATATCTAGTGGCTTAGGCAAGACCTGAAGTGAAAACTCAAACTGCCTATTATTGAGATGGACAAGGACGGATTGTCGCCAAATCACCTTCTAGTGTTCATGACGTAGCTATGGTGCAGAGACTTTCACGAGTACTGGGGGCGGCCTGCAGATTGACCGCGAGTACATTTCAGCGCAACGATGCTACTATACTGTTTCACGTCCGCTAGGACAGGAGAGGTCCATGAATCAACCGCGCGACGAGCTAGCGCTAGAGAGAAAACGGCAAAGGAGTCTGACGAGGACCTAGAAGCTCGTGTGATGGCAGCCTGTTATAAGGTTCGCATGAAAGCTTTTATTACGTAGGACAATTAATATGCTGAATTTTCTCTAGCATTTTAGCCTCACTATAGAAAGCGTGGAGGGATTACCTATGCTTGTACTCGCCTATTAGCGCGACTTTATTAAAGGACACTGGAGAAAAAACCAATATTAACTTCCGATCTATGCATTTTACGAGGTTTATAAAGAAGATGTGCCACTTTTTTTTTTTAATATTTTCACGTTCTTTCTACCACTGGCATCCGCCGATTATGCCTTCCGAGATTACTCCTCTGCACATAAGATCCTTGATGCAGCGGAAGCCTATAATATTGATCCCTTAGAAAACAATATCCTAGAGGTAATTCACTTTGAGGATTCTATCCGAGATGTTCCTTTATTCCGTCCATTAAGTGAGCTTCAGGTCACGAAGAGCACTGGAAGATCTCGAGGAGCAGATGTATTTAGGAAAGAGTTCGCTAGCCTTGGCCACCGCAGCGGATACACTCGTAATGTGACCATCCGTAGCTGCCGGCGATGGGCGCTAATGCAAGTAGGTAAGATATTTTCGCGGAGACCTAGGTACCGTAAACTAACGATAAGTAGACAAAAACTACTCTAAGACTGCTAGGATGAAATTTGCGAGTTATGTGAGTCGTGATACACACAGCAAACATTACGCGCACCCTCTTAGCGAGGTAGAGGGACTAGCCAATTACCTCGGAATTGAAAGCCGCAACGACCATATCCAAAATCGTCGCGGAATGGGAATGCATCATAATCCATAGCTCTGGCAGTCTCTTCCTGCGAAGGCCGAATTTGAATTCCAAGACAGGAAAGATGTTCAAGACCTCGACTAGGCCATGGGGTCGCTTAGCTCGCAGCTGCTTTCCACGGAAGATAGTGGTCTAAAGCATGAACTGCAACATTAACAGCGACAAATCTATGCTGAGAGGCACCGGCTTTATAGAAAAGAGCTAAAGAAAGTACAGATGTCCCAACCTAATAGGCTAATAGATCCTGATGAGAACCAAGGAGGCGTATATGAACAAACTCTTCTCTGCTATCGACGAAGGGTTATGCCACAGAGAGATATCCTAGCCGAATTGCTTCTAAGGAAAGTTGACCTGCGGCACCCTAACGGCCGGAGAGCTCTAGCAGTATTAGAGTCTCTGCAAAGACAATGGCCCTAGTCACGAAGCTAAGTTGTAGCGGATTAGGTGTCTGATTCTTTGGACATAATAGGCCGCTAGCATAAGTAGGGCCTCGTCTTCCCACTAGCGATACGGGAAATGAAACGAAGTTACCTCCACGCCAGATTGGAACACGGATATATATGAATGCCTCAGTAGACATTTCATTAGGGAGACAGAACTTTTTTAGGGGCGATCGGGCTTTATAGCAGAGTCTCAAGAAGTGAATTTCTTGCCTTTTCTATATAGCGCATGGTTCAGAATGTATGTACCTCGCTGATTCAATAGTCCTTAGTTTTATTGAGCGTTTAGCTACGCATATCGAGGTTCATATCTATTTCTATTATGCTGAAGGAGACCATATTACTGACTTCCGTTGTAATTGACGGTTAATACCCTTGCCGTGCGACACTTAATGCAGCCCCTTAAGCCAGGCGACCGGCTAATCGATCATGCGGTGTCTATTAGCAAGGTCATGCAACAACTTCAAACCTGACTTGCCGAGTACAAGGCTTGCCCTTAACGACCTCCTAGCTAAAAGTGCAGAGGCCACCACGGCTACAGCCGTAAACTTCGGACCTATGGCCTAAGTCGATGCCGGTGGGAGTAATCCAAGTTCCTCATCCTCGTTGTTGGCGCCGAACTCTAGGGAATATCCAATGTTCATTATCGATATAATATATTTATCCGTTTGTCTTAACCTCAGTTCGGCCCTCTGCAAGTGAATGGCGTCTTTTAGATATGGTTTGCCCAGGCTATATTGACTCATGGGATGGAGCTATAGACTGAGGGTTGGGGTTTTATATCTTATTGACTTATACAGTATATGGAAGACGGCCATGGATTAGTATATTAGGATCAGAAATACTCAAAGTGAACAGTGTTCATCCAGCTTCCTGGCCAGACTCCATAGGGCTTGTACGCTGTATGTAGGTAAGCTTAATTAGTGTGGTTGCTAACTATGGCATATCGTATTGATTCCCTAAAAAGTCCAGCAGCGCTCTAAGCAAGGACATCCTACACGCATGTATCAACAACTATAACCAGACTGCTAATATATTAAGAGCCAGACCATCCGTCACACACTGTTCTTGCCGTTGGGTTCATATAGCAGGGTTATGGCCAACATGCTGGCAGAGAGCAACATAGCACCGCTAACCCACATAGGCGCGCTAGACCTTAGGTCTATGAATGCTGGGAAAGTAATATAAGCAAGTGTTTTACGGCTGTTGAGACGGAATCAGGACTTACAAGCAATAATCGGGACCATTATATTATAGATGCGGCAAAAAGCGCTTGCAATGCCGATACCGGTCCCTCGATGAGGAGCCGGGAATACCTCTAGAGTGTAGGCGTAAAGCACACCGTACATCAAGCTATGTGTCCAATTAGAAAGGTTAAATTGTGGTTTGGGGGATGGGGTTAGGGTTTGACAGCAAGCATACTTCTAAGTGACGGAGATACCACATAAAAAGCCTAGGACGCCGGAAGTAGTGGTGGCCTAGGTATAGCAAAATAAGAAGATGCTGGTTATCAAGGTGGACCCAACCAGGGTGCCCTTTCGACCGACCCATTTCTGCTCAACGAGCCAGCCACCGATGATTGAGCCGGGGATCCCACAGACAGAAGTGATCGCGTAGTGTTTGTAGGTTATACTTAGCGAGTTATTCCCGCCCGAGCTGCCCGTGCCGTGCGTTTCGAGATAGACCGGCAGAAAGACGTTAAAGAGATTATAGCCAATTCCGATCAGTCCCTAGATAAGAACGATGACTGTGGTCGAGTAGGTTATCTTCCGATTGTTGAAAAGCGCCTTGAGATAGTTGCCTCTGAGTTCCCGAAGGTTGTGTGCTATCAGTTGTCTTCTACTTAGCCGACGAGTCTGGTCCACTTTAGGTGACCCTTGCAGGCCGAGGCGCCCTAGGGTTTCGTTTTCGATGCGCTGGAGTTTCTCCAGAGAAATGCCGGGAGCTGGGACGCCGTTATATTTTGCCAGGGAGAAGACAACATCTAGCGCTTTCTCGTCCTGACCGTGGGCTAGGTAAAATTTGGGTGACTCGTAAAGCTTGAAGACGAAAGTTCGGACAATGAACATAGCGATCGTGACAAAGCCTAATCTGGGGAGAATTGAGTATAGTTCATAAAATAGGGGTCGACGGCATAGAGTCTATGCGTACACGATGATTGTATAGCGCCAACCTATATTCTCTGACCGAGGATAGTGTCCCGGTTCCGTTGATGTAGGGCAAGAGAAGTTCACAATCAACGGCCATCCAATTAGGGAGGCGAAAACTTGTCCGAAGCACCACCTACACCGAAACCATAAGTGAGAATAGTCAAGCAGGGCACGCCGTACACTTACTATATAGACATAACGGTGAGCAGCCATTGATGGGAAGCAGGGCAGAATTCGATGAAGATAGAGCTGTTAACAGGGACTAAAGAATTTATTAGCGCATAGATAAGCAAGCCAGACTGGAACAAATACGGTTGCCACCGATGCCAATACCAGCAACACCTATAAGCGCGTCTATTGCGATGAAATTTAGAGCTCCTGCTGATGCCGTACCAAAGATGGACGCAATTGCAAGGGTTATATTAAACGTAATTCTCCGTCCGATGGTGTCCGAACTTAGACCCCATACGGTAGCACCTTTATAAGTTCAGCGATTAGTCAATCAAGGAAAATGTCGGGTATCATAGTCAGACCTATAATAAGACCAATTTGCTGGCCTATACCTAGCATAGCAGAGTATTTAGGGTTGAATTCCAGGATGATTACTAGGAGAATAACAGTAATACACTGCTCCCACATCTAGCAAAAAAAATCAGCTATAGCGATATAAATTGGGCACTAATATACTTATATTGTCCACCATCCACCCGAATCCAGTCAGGAACCACAGGCACCACTAGTAGCGTCCCATACTAATGTCTCTTAAAGCCTGGTTCAGGCAATGCACCTTTGCAGCGTAGATAGGATCTAGACTATTAAGCTACAGGTCTTGGACAGTATCTATACGCTCTAGCGAGCCCTTCTCTACTCTATTATCTTACTGCGTGGCCGAGATTGCATCGTGGCTGTTGAAGGAGGAAATGGGAGAGTCCTCCTCCTTGGCTGGAACGGGCTTCTCTATAGTATCGTCGAGGGGAAGAGTTGCCTCTAGTTAGAGTAAGAGGCTTGTCTAACGTGTAGAGTAGACGACTTACTGATTGCCAATTGTGGAAGGAACCAAGTTTAAATCTACGATTTGCGGAGGATAGACCGGTCTAACCTTAGTATAGGAGGAGGAGAAAAGCCAAATTTTTTCCCGATTAGGCGATAGCGCTAGACTGAAAAGCGTTGAATTTATAGTTGAATCCATGGTTGGAATATAGGAAACTTTGCTGTATCCTAGATATATTGGATTTTCTGATAAGGCAGTATAGATTTAACTAATTAAAGCTTATAGATAGCTAAAAGTGGCACCAGTCGTTAACGATTTTGGGTATAAAAATCCGGGATATAGAGACCGTAGGGTAAACTCGAAACCCATTACTAAGTGGTAGAACCCCGTAGTTCCACACCTCTTCTACACCCCTCGCTACGATCGCCCGAGTACGTTCCCCCGCGTGAAAGTCGAATTGCCCGTCAAGCGACATCACAGAGTCTATGTGGCCCGGACAAGGAAATTAATCCTCGCAAAGTTTAAGCGTCGTCGGATAAAGAGGCCTATTCCTAGTCGAGCGCGCCGCCAACTTCAATCAACACACTCAACACGATTAGATTTCAATTAATTGCCTATATGCCTCTCAACCCAAATAGGAGTCGACCAGGATGCTGGACGTGTAAAAGGTGGCATCGGAAGGTTTGCTGGACACTCGTTAGTGTCTTGTCTAGTGACTGGCTAATATAATCTTAATAAGTGCGACGAGTCACTGCCATCGTGTCAGAAATGCGCGTTCTATAGTGAAGAATGCGAAGGATATAGAGTATAGCGACTTGCCTTCCGGGACTGCACCGTCACCGGTAGCTCCAGAAAGAACAGAAATTAATGTTAGCGCCAACTTCAACCCTAGCGCAGAAAACCGGTCTCCCCGACAATATAGCTCAGTTCATTCTTCTCACTGGACTTGATGGCTTCAAGCCTAGGTGATATGCCCGTACTGAAAGAGTTCATCGAGTCGGTAGCCCAAACGCTTGCGCTATCTGAGTCTCACAATCTCTGGCGCGAAGATATAGCGCCATTGATTTCTAATGGCGGAGGCCAGAAATATTTACGGCACTCAATGATTGCGGTAACTCTTATGTATCGGACTTATCTGGAGTACAAAATTACATCTCGTGTAGCCCTACACTACGATTATGCGCTGTGCGATCTTAGACAAGCCCTTAGCATAATAGAGAATGAGCGGAATTCACGGTAGTTAGACTCGATTCTTGCTTCGTTATTCATGCTCATATGGTTTGAAGTAAGTGTGTTAAACTTCGTAGATCTTATCTAATGCTGACGAGGGCTCCGTCTAGATTTTGGCCCGCGACTAGCATAAGTGGAATGTGTATCTTCAAATTCTCACGTATTTAATTACTAGTCTTGATGGTGCCCGAGCATTCGACTCCCGCTTTCGGAGACGCTTGATCTTAGCCACAGCCAGGCTTGAGGTACCTAATATACTATGGACGCTGCATCCCCCGCTTTTAGGTTCTCAACTGTATGAACAAATGCTGTTTTTAAATTAACCGTACCCTGAGGACGACATAGAGGATGCTGCCGTCCTGGCCTTCCATCGTCTCTATGTGATTATAGCTCGGTTTGCGATTCCTTACGCAGATTGGATGCGTGGCGGTTTAACTACATCGGCTGTTCGGGCTTGTATGGCGGATATCCTGGAGCAACTCAAGGAGTGGCATTACAACCTACCTTTTCCCCTATAGCGACTCGGTAACCCTTCTTCACTTACTACGCATCCCAGAACCCCACTCTAGACGACCCTCTTCATCCATTATCTCTCAACAAAGCTTTTTGTCATATATATCCTCGACCCTACTTGCTCGGTACTAGGTGACTCTACCTACTAGTTTTGCCGTGAAGCATTATGGGATATCTGTCGGTTTATTGCAGACCTAGGACCTCCGGAGAAGCGCAGTATTGCCTCGTTCCGAGGTGACGTTGGTGTCATACTTCCCTTGGCTGTAGTGAGCATATTTTTACGTGAGGAGGCTAAGCGCGCGTGGATTTGTCAGTGGGCGCGCTGCGTGGACCAAGAGGGTATGTGGTGTGGAAGACGGAGGAGCATGATTATTAAGGCATAGGCTATATGCACTTAGGAACACGGCCTTGCTCTTCCGTTTTATACCATGGTTGGCCAGAACAATATCCACTGGAAACCGGGACAAAGGCTCAAAGTCTCTATCATGACCTACGATGCCTCCCAGGACTGGCGATCATCTGTTGAAGTTTACATAGATAATGAAGATCCACCAGCGGCGTCTATATAAGGGAGACAAAATATCGACTCTCAACGACTATCTATTGTGATTCAGAGGAAGATTACTTGTTTTCTTTAGACAGAAAACTTAAGGGTTTATATATAGCATCTAGATTGATTCCTAATCAATCTTGGTAATTTGTCGGTTAAAGTGGAGAGGAACCTTACTAGCGTCCTTTGTTTCATTCAATACCCACTGCTTCCTGATTACTAAGGCATCAACTGCTGAATTAGCATAGAGCCTCTTTATTTTGCTCTTAGAATTATATAGAAAAACACATCTTAAGTACCGTGCAAGAACCTCATTAGCTCATTCTAGTACTAATGCGTACTGATTTCCTTGGAACCGACATAATTCCGTAGAGAGGAATATATTACGGTATGTTTGATAGATCACAATACTACCAACTATATTTACGACACTGCCTCTGGGAAACTGGAGGATAAGTTCACCCTAAGTAGAGGAGAGAAGATATCTAAGTAGTAAGGTTACATATCTCTACTTCCTGCTGCCCAACATTGCCATTTGTCTTTAATGCGATCAAATATCTTAAACACCGTTTGGCGTAGGTGATATACCTATTCTTCCATAGGCCCCTCCAGCGGTCGGAATAAGCATATTCCGAAGTTAACGCCGCGTTTGCCTCCCATAAACCTATTCGGAGATACCCACCCACGCTACCCTTACTCTCCCCGCCTAATTTGTCTACTCTAAGCTTTTCATCAATCACCGTTCAATTACTGCAATTGAAATTGAATACTGGCCGGCCTAGCCACAAAATATAAGTAATTATGTTTATAAAGGGATCTCGGTCCCTAGTAACGGCTTGTCAGCACCGCGTGACCACCGAACGAGATCCGGATGCTAGACGTGCCGCAAACGGTAAGTTACTTATAGTCCTCAATCGCCTTTCAAAGTATATATAGGTTAAGATTAATCCGCCTACAGGAAAAAGAAATGCGACGGCGGCGCTTTTCCATGCTAGAGCTGTGTCCGACTTGGACTAGAATGTGACATAGGCACAAGACTAGTGTAGGAAGATGACGCGAGGAGGGAGGGGATGAGGAGAAGAGGACCATTTAAAGCTATAAAGAAGCAATTCTCTAGTGCTCCGTTCATCATTAGGGTTAGCAACGAACCGATACTAGATACTTCCGAGATCTACTGCCGGGGAGGTTCTCAACTGCTGCCAAACGGAAGTCTTATCTGTGACGCACCAACTGCCATTTCGCAGCTCATACCCACAATCCCAAGGTAGAACTTTACGTGTGTGAATTTATTACCCACAAAACTTATAGCCAACGAGTCTATGCTATTGGATCACTATATCTAGCGCTTCGCACGCACCTACCCGACCTGCTCGGAACCCGCGAATCCTTTCCTCTCGATTTTATTGCCTTTGGCTATGAAAAGTGGTATGGTTCTTGATGCTCTCCTGGCGCTGAGTGGTGCTTAGTCCTGGAACGAGCGTAGTTGGATCATGGAAAAAACTACTCTTAATCTAAGGCACCGTGCACTGAGAGGCTGTCGAAGGCTATTGACCTAGTCTAGCCTAATGGCCTCTAAGAGGCTCGAGGAGACAAGCTAGTTTTTGATGAGTAATATGGCCGAGAATGATATCCTCTTTTCTCTCGCAAGCTGCAACCTTATGCTTCTATATGAGAAACTTGTCGGCGACGGAAAGGCAAATTAGATGCCTCATCTGAAGTTTTTGGCAGGGATTTTTGATCATCCATTATGCCCCAGAACTAACATAATGTCGAATCTGACTGCATAGCAGTCCCATCAACACATAGCGTTTCGGTTCCTGCATACTCTCTTTTTGTATAATGACCTTGTCTAGTCCACGGCAAGGGGAATGCCGACACTTTCTGGCTTTTATCTACAAGTTGGACAACGCAATCTGTTCAGGAGTGATGATTTGGTGACTGAATGTGTTTCTTTACCACTCACCTGGCCCGAAGAGACACATCAAGGCGGACGTTTCCATTATCCTTATCTTATTGCCTAGATTAGTGCAGGCGATGAGGTGATTACTAACGCTAAAATTATGGTATGGGATGGGTGGGTTGATTGGCTTCTAAGCTTTTCTCTGACAACAAGCCCGGGCTTAGCTCCAAACTCTTCTACCGGACTGACCTTTGCAATGGCAGCCTTAAATGAAATTTACGATCACCCTGCGAAACCATCCACTCCTGAACTAGAACAATGCCTAATATCACAACTTTACCGCACCTCAGCGAGAGTTTATCTTATCCAAGCCACTCGCTAAAGGTGTAGCCAAGATGTAGATACGAGGCATATATTTGACATCGCTTACCTCTCCTCCCAAGCAATCTATTAAATCTCTCAACTTCGTGAAGGTTCTGTCTTCGAGAATGCGCTCCTCTAGCCGATTTCCATAGTTTCCAGGGAACTCACAAACGATCACATTACCGAAAGGGAGTACATATTGCATCGGCTGCAAGCGCTGGAAAAGCGGTTCCACATAAAATATTTCGCGAGGATGTAGGAGGTTCTTAAGTCTAAGTGGATTCGGAAAGATGGAAGGCACATAAATGAGAAAACAAGAACTAAAGACGACGTATTTTTGTTTGGATAATCCCTGCTTCACGAAAATACCCTACCTTTCCCTTGAAGCGCTAGAGGCTTCATTTCATACTATATCTCCTAGAGATACTTTATCTGCTCCTCCGCCCAGACTTCAACTGCCTTCACGTTTATTGTTTCCACACAACAAATTTCTTTTATACTGTCTTTGTCTCTCTCGCATTCTTTTCGTGTCTCTATATTAGCTACTAGACCTCGATCAGCGGACATCGATTAGCGCACGCTCTAGTAAGACTTCTAGCTTATTCGTGGTCTACTGGTAGCTTATCTCCTATAGATATGGCTTATTTCTAACGCCCGCATTAGTGGTTTCGTCGAGAACTAGGAGATTTTGGGAGGGAAAGAAGTGATTATAGTGATGCGCTCGGACATATGCGCGGTGGGTAAACCGGTGTTTATTTACGTACCGGCCTTAGATACTAACGACGTAGTCCTACGTAAGGGACCTCTTCTTGAGAATGAAGAGGGCAAGAAAAGGATTGAATGGCTGGGATGAACGATTACCACCGACAGCATAAGGAGGAATACAGTGGTATGATTGGCAGTGAATATATTATTTAGATAAGGCATAAGACAGAAGTCTATATCGATGGCTAAGTGATAGATTTCGCTCCAAATTTCACTCCACTTCGGGGATATAGTTCTTGTTGATGTTGTCCTTAGCTGTAATAGGTCGCATCTCAAAGAGTGTCTAGCGTATATAGCGCATCTGCTCTTTCATCCAGCACGTTAGCGCTTCGACGTCAATCGTTTCGATAGTGCAATGACCTAGTCTACCCTCTAGATCGCACTTCTGAACGGCACGACTGTAAGAATCCTCTAAGGACTTCGCCTCGTGCTTGAACCGTTCACTTAGGAGACGTAGTCGATAATGCGACCATTGGTAATAGAGTTCCGGTAGAAGGGACTTAGTCCGAACATTTATAAGGCTCGAATCATCGACCAGAAGGGGAGACCGGGGCCGGAACGACGTCACAAGAGTGATGCGCTCGGGCATGTTTCCTGCGGGGATAGCGATATGGCTTATATATCGCCCCTGTAGAATAACCGCTCCGCCCTGTGACAGGCCATTAGCATCTAGTTATTAAGTATATATTGGAAGTTGGGAAAACAAGGGACCGCATACTGTTTCCGGGGATCTAACTTTGACGGTCGATCCGTCGCCCTTTTGCATCTCCGTTTCACCGTCCGTCATCGTACTCGTGTCTGACAACATCACAACACAAATAAACGGATATGAGTCTCTGTGCTATGGGACGACAGCCGAAGGCTTCTCTCCGTTATCCCCATTTAACCTTTCTTTGTATCTAGGGGGGCGCTTGGAGGATCAATAGGTGTATGTCTAACACCTTCAAGCCCTTCCGGTCCTAGCTGCATATTGGTATGACAGATCTCCTGGTCCAGAACCGGTATGAGATCCACGCCGGCCAGATTGCTTACAATTTCTAGAGCTTTAGGTGAAGTCCAGAACTGGTAGGTGAACGGCGCGAAACGCGGGGCTATGCCACGTATTTATACTGACCCAGGACGAGTCTTGTAGCTGTAATTATCTAATATATCCTTAGAGAAGAGCTCGCGTCGGAAGGCCCGCATACCTTCGGCGGAAAGGAAGGGAAATGGGTTAGTTGAGGCAATCTCTGAAATTGGAGAATTCTCCAACTTAATATCAGAAAGCGTGTGGATTTTCTTTGGCTTCTGATAGGCTAGGTGAATTGAAGGATCAAAATCCTACTATTATTGGCTTTAGCATGGGACGGTATAGCGGCAAGGGACTAGGGTCTTGAGAATGTACCTACCGATGTTGATGGCATTTTGAAATGCAGTCACTTTACTGACAGGTGCGAAATTGATTTATAAAAGGTGTAGTAATATAGTGGAACAGCCGGTCTAGTTATATGTTAGTTATCCGCTACACGTGGATATGTGTTGAAAGTAGATATTGTACCCGCCGGGTCACGCGAATATTAATTTTCTACTACTTATTGCCCAATAATGTTAATCTGGAAAACATATACGTCCTTTTAGGATAACCAACCTTCCACTGAGCAGGTCTCGGGTATTGCTGTATATGCCGATCTTATCTAAATGTGCTACTACGAGTACCTAATACTCCACCCGTGGGTGGGTCTGGTGGGTCCTATGTACCTATCCATTCCTCCGCCTATGTTCTTGCGGACTAAGACGCGATCGACCCCTCGGTCGGGTTATTACCGCTTCGCACCATAAAGGAGCGCGGGGCCTCTATGCTATTCTAAAGATGGGAATTGATGCCGCTGGCCTAATGACTGAATTTTCGTGACCCAATGCTTAATATATGGAATTTAATACGGAGAAATCCAACGCACCAAAGCAAGCAGCGAGTAGTTTTATCTATTAAATCACTTCTAAGGAGGCTGGTGGTCTAGTGGTAGACTATCTGGCCAGCACCGAAGAGACGTCTAGTGGATTGGGACCCTACTCACATCTATAACAACGTGTGGTGTATTCGATTCTTACAGCCACTAAGGATCCTATAGGTGGCAATGCTACCTCTGTTGACAGTCACCTAGGCAACCTAATGACTATCCTCCGTGCCATATATATCGATTTTTAACGCGCTACTTGTGCTACTATCAAGGAAACTTGGGAGCTTGTCAGTCACAATAGTCTCAACGACTGTGGTATGATAATTAGTTGAGCAGTCGACCTTCCCAGTTAGTTCTGCGAAGGGGGCTAAGTGGCCTATATAGCTATAGTTACTCGTAGATTGCACCAGACATTTGGCCATCATTATTAAAGATGATGGAGATTCCAAATGCAACATTGGTAGGGGAAAGTACGTAGAATAGGTACGTAGTACATTATGGGTAAAATTTGGCTTTATGATTCAGGATAATTAGAATTGAAGTTAATGAGGCCCATAAAGGAGCATCCTCGAGATTTATAGTTTTATGGGTTACCTTAAGAAGCCTAGATACTTCTTAAGCCCAGTGTTTTTTGCGAGTGATCCTTTACTAGGATAATTATTTTAGTAATGCCTATAATCATTGTATGCGAGGAGCGCAGGCGAAATTCATCTCGACGCATTTTGAACCGTGTCATAGTTCCAGCTCGTTACTCTCGCTAATTTCAGATGGCTGACCGTCTCGATTATAGATGAACTATGATCTTAATTTGGAGCTTAGAATTTTACTAAGATCTTATTTCATCAACTCTGCTTTCACGCACTGATCTCACAATCCACGGTTCGATAGATATCAAGTAAGCCAAAAACTCACATCCTCCGTACTGTAGAGTTACAGGGCTCCCCTTTATCTTCCGCGTGATAAATATAGCACTTTTCGTGGCTTTCATAGAGGCTCTGGGCTGGTCGCCTTGTAAAGTGTTTCAGTTTCAGAATCTGCCGCCCAGCGTACAGTATTGATTCGCGATCGTAAGACTGGCGAAAGCTTCTTTAGAAACGTGCCAGGAGACTTAGCCTTCCCAAAGGTCTGGTGGGGCGACTCTTCGTTCTGAGTCTTCAGAACATAAATCGTCATAGGGACGCGCAGGGAGGGAGGTTGATTAGCAGGCTCGGCTCCGTCCATTGGATCCCCGCGAGACGTGGAATGTCGTCCAGACTCAACGGGTATGCAAGGTACGTCGCTCTGGCTGAAGCCAGAATTTGACTAGATTAGGCCACAAAGTCCAATAGGTGGGTGCTGAGATAAGCGAAAAGAGGTTAGGGGGGTTTCCATGAAGTGATTAAAGACCGAGTAGCCTAATTATGGTCACCTATTCTAATTTTATGCAACTAAGTGGGGAAGACCCACCGAAGCCAGATATTGGCCCAAATCGGAACGGGACAGCGCCAGCGAACCCTAAATACGAACTCAAAGCCATATAACTGGCCAAGACACTATTGAATACACAGGAACAAAAAATGATTATGTGCTCTCTTGTCCAACCAAAGCTAGAAATATACGGCATTAGGGAAAACTATCCCGGTCCATTAGGGCAACATAGAAACGACTATTGGGGAACCAAAGCATACACAGCACATCGAAATGTGTTAATAGAACCCAAGGCCGGCTATCTAGAAAATCCACTGCATTATCAACGAAAAATCCTTATCGGGCATTTAGATCCGGCCCTACGGTCTATCGTTGGCATAAAAGATGCAGTTTCTTCTTTGCCATTTAACTTATCCGTAGCGTTCGATTCCGTCTTTTAGCAGCTGGCCATTTTTCTCTCTCTTTTTTATTCACTATCTTCCTCTTAGAGTCTTAGGTTGTCGCAGCGCTCTAAGTAATCTATGGCGCCAAACACGGTCCATATTGCCGTCCTAGACGCTGATACGCCCTGTCTGCCCGTCTATAAAATACGCGGTCTTTATAGTTCGCAATTTCGTGCTCTTCTCCAGAGTGCTGCCGAGCGTTTAAACAAGGACCCAGACTGCCAGCTAAGGAATGGGCCGCTTGCCGTCCACGTCACGGCCTTTGATGCTATGGGAAGGTCATTACCACCTCTCGAGTCTTTGCGAGCCAGTCCACGATCACCCAACAAACCGCACACGGGCGGGCCCTTAGGCTTCTTGGGCGTGATCGACGCGATAGTGATCACCGGCTCGATAGTGGCCTTAGTGTACGAAGATCAGCCCTAGATTCATGACCTAAAGCTTTTCATCCAGACGGTGCATACGAATTTCCCGCACGTTAAGGTCTTCGGATCTTGCTTCGGCCACTAGATCATCGCCCAGGCCTTACTCTCAATTAATTTAGCAGCCCCATCCTCTACGTTCCACGTAGAGTACGCGCAGTCTAGGTACGAAATAGGCATTGAACCGATCACCCTAGACCCGTCATTCACGATGCACTTTCCCCCTCTTACGCGCGCGTCATCGTCGCAGAACACATTCCGCATCTAGCTTATCCACTGCGACCAGGTGGTGCCTAAACCCGAGGCACTAGCCGCTGCAGGAACAAATTGCGAAGTACCTCTGCCGGCACCATGGATTAAAATCGGTAGCAGTGCGCAATGCCCGATCTAGGGTCTCTATAGCCCTGGGCGCGTCCTTACTTACTAGGGCCATTTCGAGTTCGATACATTCGTCAATAGCAAGCTATATGAGGAGGTTGGCCGACGGGCTAACTGGCCAGCGCCGCTAGTCAAGTCTTATGTAGAGCGGATCTCGCGCTCCCTTGTCCCTGGCAAAGACGATGATAATGACTCTAAGGCTGCGGCAGAGGCGGTGCTGTTATTCTTTGCGGGCGAGAATTTCCCAAAGACTGAGGGGGCTTTGCGAGCAGTGGTCTGATTACGCCTCCGCTTGAAGGGCATATAGTAGGTTGAGGAAGTATAGACTTCAAGAACTCTAGATATAGATGGCATGCCTGATCTACTCTATTATCCGGTTGACTGAAAGAAAATACTCTTTCTTGGCAAAAAAAACTTTCCTAAAATGCCTCGCCAATCAGAGGCCATACGGCCTCGTGAATTAGTTCCTCTTAGTCGTAACCCAAGCCAGCTTGCTTCACTAGCTAGGTTTGTTCTGGCGCAAAAGGAAACAATGGTGGCATGTCTACTGGATGATTGATTAAATAGATTGGTGTAGTCCCTAGAGTATAAAATTAAATTGGCTTAGGCAACCATCCACAAGCATATTCGACGAAGAGGTGAATAGTAGTAGGTGTATAGCATCCTATATCTCTGCAAACGAGATAAAATATACCGACTCTTTACTTACTCGCCAGATCTAACTAATAATATAACGTCGCTGACACTTATCAACCGGTAGCGTGCTTTTTATAAAATAGAGGAATGATTGGAGCGCAGCCTCGCTATGCAGCTCGTACTCACGAACGTGAGCGACTAGAAATAGTATACCGCCGTTTATACTATAATACCGCCCAAGATATTGAGCGTAGTTATCTATAGGATCTATGATAGAATAAAGACTAGATAGAAGTAGATGACTAGGTCGCCCGGCGGATAGACTATATGCACGAAGTCCATCTAGGATAGCCGTTATAGAGTGATAATTTCTAGTGATACGGAGAACCTACCAAAGCGGTTAGAGCCTTATGTTGAGTGAGCTAAGAGTCAGAACTTACCAGAGCGCATTCCCGAACATATAGGTTTAGATCGGGTAAGCCAGAGCAACACTCCTATATAGAGATACTTAGGGTATTCCACTTTGCAAGGAGCCTCTTCACTGAAACTTTCCAACCAACGACGATCTATCTCGATAGGGTCGCGAACTCAATTGAATCCATTCTTGTTAGAGTGTGAGCGTGATCCTTAGCGGAAATAAAGATAAAGTAATGTTCTAAGAATAGGACTGTGGTATCGAAAAGAAGCTGCTAGTTTATACCCCTTGCATTGTTGTATTGTTGATAAAAACGAACAGCTAGCACGCTCAAACGCGTAAAGGTCGTGGTCAGGCTCTAATTGTAATCCTTAAAGAGGCGTTGGATAGGTCCCGCGATATATTTAAAACTTAAACTAGTTGATGTAGATACGGGATTTACGCTGTATCCGACCTCAAGTAGACACTGGACCAAGGCTCGATGCGCAAATAGACTCTGTCTTCGAAGGTCCTATCTGAATATGTCAACAAAGTCCTAAGAGTAGTTTCCGAAGCCTTAAATCTTGCTTACGAACCTCTTCCACCTCTTCCACCTCTATATATAGAGGAGTTTTGTTTTTGTTAACACTTAGGTACTCTTTAAGAAGGGAGTAGAGTGCTCGATGTTGTTGTAGAAACCACTCTACTGAAGGTGCAGGATACCTAAGCGAGGCATGAACTATGTCTTTAAACGCAATGCGGTTAAAGCAAAAATGACTCCCAACTTCAATTTCTGCGGCAAGTTCTCTAGCAGTCAGATTATGGCCTGAAGGCTGTGAGAACCAACGCTAGGAAGCCGGCTAGAAAGGAGGTTTGCTTGATCGCTGTATGATCACTTCCACCTTTTGCCAGACGGGCAGATTCCCGAGATGTCGTATCTTATGGATTTCCGATAAGCTCTTGACGCAGTCATTAATTATATCCATGTCGCGTGAGAGGTTCGTGTGAGAGGTGCGCGTTTCGTAGAAGCTCTTGGTCGCAAAGTTCGTAACGTATCGATTGACTGATATCATGGATATTGTAGGCTGCGAGCATGAGCCTGACATCCTCCTCCCACCAGCGATAAGGGACATGAAATGGAGGTATCTCCGTACTGGATTGAAACACCGGCATAATGAATGCCTCAATAGACTTAGATTAAGAGACTGAGGACGTTGCGGGGGTGTATGAGCTTTATAGCCTTCTCTCGAATAGTGATTTTCCCGTATTTTCCATATATAGTATGATTCAGAATACATGTGCGTAAGTCTACAGAAGCAGGGCGTTGCTGAGTCTTCCATGATTTATTGTCATCCGTACGACAGAGTTCAGGGGAATGCCGTTCCCAAGATATTATTCGCCATTAATGTTACATGTTACAGGAAATGCGGGTAAAACTCCTTAATAGCACCCTCTCCTCCTGGTAGCTGGGTCAACTGGGAATATTCAAACCACTCGCTCGTGGTCGTAATTCCATGGCGGACTTCGGCTCGTATTTTCGCATGTCGAACAGATTTCCGTTTCGCCGTATTCAACTCCGCTCACACGTATGACCTCCACTTCATTGGACTTGTTGAGTATTAACCACAAGTCGATTGAAGTTCGATTTACTGACCTCGTGGATCCTTATGCACCCAGCTAGGAAGCTAACAGGTAGTTCCCAGAGAGCCATTGTTGGCAGATATCTAAGCTTCAGAGTTCGGTCGCGAAGTTCTTGACTTTTTAGCCGCTGCTTCAGTACGTGAAAAAAAACTGAGTAGTGATAAGAGAGAGTGGAATAGAGAGGTCGAGGGGATAAATAAATATTATCAGGGAAGATTGCAATACGCTCATGGGAGCTTCGCGCAGTCATGTATGTGATGTTATGTATTCGCCAATGACCGCCCAGCTTATGCGACTACGCTAGACCTATTGTTCACGTTCTAAGAATGCGCATCCTGTCTAGACCATAGGTAGGTGCAGATGCATTCTGAATCTTTCCATTTAGGACTAGTACTTGTGACCATTGCATTTATTTATAACACACCCGAATCTTTCCGCTTTTCCACCACCATGTCGACTCGCAAGAACTCCCCTATCACGGCGGAATCTTTACTCAATGGCATTTTTACCCACTTATCAGACATTCGAGTTTTTTTAGAAGAGGTCTAACAGCCCTGGTTTCCACAATCCAACTCAGAGCTGGAGAAGACCCAAGACTGATAGGTTTGAATTGAGCGGAGATGGACAGAGGCTCCTGGGAAAGACAGCTCAAAACCGTTCTCTCCTGGACATCCCTGGCTTGAAGGGAGCCCCAATCATACTCCAATGAGCGGGCAGCATGATGTGACTCAAACGCAAAGGTTGCATAGAGGGTGGCAAATTATTTGCTGCCTCTCCCATGCTTGTTGCCATATTTAGCTTCCACTAACGGGGCGCTCCAGGTGAATGTCAGGATCACTTGGGCATGGCCAGAGCCAGAGCACAACGCAAATACAGGCAGCCTAGGTCTCATTTTGGGAGGCAACCTAGCACTTCAGAAGTTCAAAGCGCCAAGATTACTCGTCTCTTCCCTCCCCAGAGTGGTTCTGGTAAGTTGACAGTAAAGTGATTGGTAATCAAAATTATACTGACAGTGATTCCTTTAGTTTTTACCATGTCCGACAAACGCGAGGCTGACCACCCGAAAATTGAGGAGGCTATTGTTGGGGTAAAGGCGGACGTTAAGTCTCTCCAGCAGATCAGTTCCTCAGGCAGAGCGGCGCAACGCAAGAGAGAAGAAAACCATGCCCAGAAGGCGTTCAGTGCACTAGACGCAGCGTTGGAAAAGCATCTTAAAGAGGAGGACGGAGGTGGGCCTCCAAGCAAATCTGGACAATAAATCATTGTCACACGTCAGCGCAAGGACATAAAAAGCGTGGAGAACCGACATCTACTGCGCAATTATTACTAGGATGAACTGAATAGTTTATTTATCAGTCTATCAAATCAAGCATAATCAGAGGCATTGTTCACCATCAACACTGCTCTCTGAGAAGGCTAGCAGAAGTTCTTTGTCATATTTCCTTTTATCAGCAAGCTTGGTCGCCACAAATTTTCCCACGTTGTTACCCCAGTAAAAGGGCATGGTTTCACCGATATCATCTGAGCCATGCTCGGACAACAGGGGCTGAATATGCTCGTAAAATAATCTGAATAGACCGGTGGGGCTGGAGAGTGCCAGGGAATACCAAAAGGTCCCAGTCGCCCATGCCTGTTCCATAGTCTCGGACAGGCGGAACGGCGTGCTCCCTGCATCCTTCGGAAGGAATTCGCTGAAGTTTGCTGCTTCCTCGGCCTTCATTATAGTCATCAATTCTCGCCGACGTTTGTCATATTCCTCGACATGAATCTCGTCCACACCTTTATTAGACAACCAGTAAGGAGGCTCGGCCATTTGAACAGGGCGTGAGCAGGCCCATTCAAGATCGACCAGGCAAGTGATACGCCATTTATCATCAACGAAGATGTTGCTTTGGTGGAGATCAGTCAACATGAAAACAAAGGGCCCACGTCGCAAATTTCGGGAGAAAAACAACGGAATTGTTGTCCGCATTATCGCCAGTGCTGACATTTGGTAGCCACAATCTTGTATATTATTCACCGCATTGGGCTGATTTCGTAGGCGGTTGTCATGAACCCCCAAGATATCCGTCACGTAGGACTCAACAGTCGAGTAGGTATAGTCGCGGGGTAAGTCGGTCGGAATTTTCTCGTTTTCCAATTCCTGGAGCTCCATTGAAAGCGGACGATTACTTAGGGTTAAAAACCCTTTTTTGTTGATGATGAATGAGCCAATGCGGGGCAATGGCGTTCTGCTGATACTGAGTAAGATCCGAGATAAGTCTCGGAAGAAAGTGTGCCGCAATTCGACATCATATTGTTTTTCAGACCAGGTGTTCGAGAGCATCGTCCCCTGGGTTTCCTCAATGCACTCTATCAACAAGTATCCCGCTTTGCTAACTCGGTCAGGAAGCGTCGTTGATTGATTTTGATGACGAATATAGTTTGAAGGTATCGGGAAGCGAAATAAATAACGTAGCCAACGACGTAGGGACTCAAAGCAACGACTCAGAAAAGGCAGGTGGTCAACCCGTGTGAACTATATTCCGAGAGTTAGTTACCATTTTCCTATAACGAATGTGTTTTTCAGGTTCCTACAGTTTCGCCTGTTGATAAGGCAAAGCCATACAGTCGTGGAATTGGAACATCCGGACAATTTTGTTGGAGCCATGCGTAGGAGCCAGCTTCACATTGGATCTTTTCGTCCCCGTTCCCGGGTCTGAAATCCTCCCCGACTCGATATGGAAGCGGAAATCGGAGTATGACACGGTTTCCAGGTTGCCGCTGGCGTTCCCAATCAATAATAGTAATGGGAACACAGACATTAAAGCTGCCGCGGAACCAGTCTTCAATCTTTGCAACATGACACACACTGGTCGAGCTCAAGTTCAGGTGATGAACCACAACAGCTTTCATCCACTCGTGTCTAGCATAGAGATAGGAGAAAAAGCGACACTGTTGGTTGAAATATCCCAGTTGATGAAGTATGTTTACCTCCCGCTCTTTGGCAAGAGAATATGTGATTTCTTCTCGGAGAAGGCGACGTGTCCGAATCATGATAATCAAAAAGGCCGGAATATTGCTGCTCAACCAGCATCTGTCATCTAACACTTCAGGATTGTGCCCCTGACATCGGGCGGAGAAGATGAGTCAGACTTAAGGCGGACGACCAACGATCTTCGGACGGATAAATATTTTCCCGACACTTCCATTCTTGTGAGACTGGTAAATAGAGGGAGGATGGAAAAGTGAAAGAGGCGAGATCAAGCAGGGCGAGGTCGGCATCATTTCTGTCAGGTGGCCAACTAGAAGCGGAAAAACTAACCACAACGGGAATTTCACAGGCAACACGCGCTTCGCACGCTGTGGCCTTGAGACGGAATTGGCAAAATATCCCGCAATCACTAAAAAGGGTGCAATTATGGTCAAGGTCTTGATTCAGTTGGACACAAAATTCTTCGCTGATAGGATGTCGAGCATCGTTCTCACGTTCGATACAAGTCTATATCGGGGCAATTGGTATCTAGCTTAAGCCTAGCCTACTCGTCCACTTCATCCAGTAGCCACGCCGCAAAGCACGGTCGCTAAAATTGCATGTGCACTAGCGGGCCAACTAAGCTCTCTCTGTCAGTCTTTCTATTGCCAAAGAGAAGCACTCCCTCCATTCTCATCTCCCGTCCGCATGATGCTGTCGTTGCAGGAGTAAAATATGGCTTCTCAGTCGTCCCAATTTATCTTCCATGTTTATCGATCATGAAGCCAACAGGGCTAGAGATGACGAGGACGCTTGGCAGAGGTAGCGGAGCGACGTCGATATGAATGCGAATGGCTGCAGGAAGATAGTGTATGAGGGGAATGGAGGCTTGCCTGCAGGCAGGCTAACAAGGTCGCTTGGGGGTTGTTCAGAGATCGTCGTGAAGTTTTACAATCATCGCGAAAGGCATAATGACCAGCAGCTAGTAATGAGGGAGGTTTGTGACTAGATGTCCATACCCTAAGAGAGTAGGCAGCGGAACCAGAAAAGGGTTGGTTATAGCTCGTAGGGATTACTGGGCCAGGGCTTCGAAACTAGCCGTTCAAGAAAATCTGTAAATGAAAAAGAAAAATGGCCGGCGAGTTCGATCTGAAGGCACGGCTGTTTCTGTCAAAGCAGGTGACCAGTCTCAGTAAGCGAGAATAATTGGATTGAATGCGAAGTATTGGATACAAGAGCATCCACTTTATTTAAATGCACGTGGCACACCAGGATATTTATTTCCTTAATCATTTAACAAGAGCGATCAAGCTTCCATCTTGGCCATATATTCTAGGGTATACGGATCTGGGTCCCAAGAGAGAAGCCTTGTCTCATTCTCCTGAAGCTTCAAATCCACATATTTATCCATGATTTCCTTTTCTTCAGGTTCCAAGAGACGAAGTCTTTTCTTCCAAACATCGTATATATTGTCGTCAGATTTATTGGACCCGAAGAATCGCTGATCGATCTTATTCCAATAGATGGCGTCAAAGGCAAAATTGTTCCTTGCAGCATACATGATCCAAAAGTCTCCGCTCTCCCAGCTATGTCGCATCCAACTAGAGAGTCGCTGGCTTTCTTCGAGTGGTTCGTTCCGAGTCTGGTACGCGTCTTCTTCGCAATCCATCATTGCCTGAAGAAAGATCTGAAGCCGTCTCTCATAATGTGCACACCAGTCATCAAGGCCTTTGGTCCAATATTCCGGCTTTTCGAGAAGAAGCCACCAGGGTGGAGCATGAGTAAATTCAATTGGGGCGGTATACGTAAACTCCCAATCCACCACCCCAACGACTCTTTCAGCTTTATCGACCATAACATTCTGTGGTCGAAAGTCGTCGCACCAAACTGGAAATGGGCCATGCTCATAAGATATCCATTTGTCCCTAAGCTCCCGATCTCGAACAAGTTTCCGAAATAAGAATCTAGCAACAAACTTGCGCCGGCAGTCGTCGGCCGAGTCTATAGCATTGTTCCTTTGGTGTTGGAGGTGTGAAATATGTAGCTCTGCTAGGGCTTCAAAGTATGAAGACGCTCTATCGTATATCGCGGTGGGGATTTTCCAACGAGGTAGCGTCCCTAGGCGCACAATTTCGTTCATAGAAATGGAGAGTGGTCGATATCCCACTTCCCACGCTGATTTGCCGGTCTGTTTTAGAGACCCAATCTGGTTCGCAGATAGTGTGGATAGAGAAAAGACAATATTGGCTAGTTCTCTATAGAGAGCTTTTAGCTTTGTTGTGCTAATATCTGGATTTAGTTCTGGACGCTGTTTTGGTTGGCGTCCCGGCGTCTCGAGAAGATCAGACATGCTTCTCTCGTGGTCAATATAGGCCATGATTATGAAGGGACCCAATTTTGAGGGGCTCTCGTTCCTCTCTCCCCAGCGGAAGATTAAAGGAACTGTAATCGACATTGTCTGTGAAGTTCTTTCCGTGATGAATTGCATAATAGAGACCTCATTACGCACTTTCTCCTCGGGGAACATATGAACACCAGGTATTGGGAATCTTAAAATAGCGCCGCTAGCATCGGTATCGGTGAACGTCATAAGGAAGCTAGCATTGAAACCGCCTGTCTTGAATAATTTGAAATCGGCCCATTGACGAGGGGAACAATGCTCGGCGAGAAAAAGTCCAATCTCATTGTAGATGTCTTCATCGAGGAGAAAATCTAGCCAGGACTCTTCGATGTCGTCGCTTTTTTCCCAGGCAACATCATCGAAGGACAAACGTGATTCCATCTTACGAGGGTGATAGAATGAGTTTAGGAATGTCAAAGAAACAAGCAGAGTGTCGCGATGAATATCTGGATGAAGTAACGACGTTGATAAGGTACCAAGAAAAGAGGGGGAAACAGCTGATTAGGTAGCAAGAAATAAGATCGGAACAATGTAGACCCGAGCGAATGTCTTTTTGAAATTGACGATGATGTCATGGTACCAATATGAGGGGCAAAAAGGCGTCGATCACGCAACTTGTAATGTTGGCGGCGATTCGCCCTCTAATCATAGACCAAAATTACTCGGATACCGGTGGAAACTGGTGAGATCTAATTGACTGCCTGGAGGATCCAGGCTTTTGATTAGTTTATAGAAGCCTAGCTCTACAGGTATATTCCCAAACTGACCAATAACAGGCCACTATTTCGGATCACGCGTGTTTGACTACGCGCCGGTAAGACTTGTGTTACTATTGGGACCAAAAGAAGAAGGCTTCTGGTCAGGGGTTTCAGAGCAAACATCGTCCTATCCTAAATTGGGTTAGTATACTTCCCTTGGCGCCCATGTAGGTGCTGTCAGCCATTCCGGGTCTTGATGGCTTAATAGTATGTGCATGGTGCCCAATCGCTCCTACATTCCAACATTGGCGGCGATTCGCCCTCTAAATAGTGTTTACTACTGAGACCAATAGTTGGCGTTAATTGGGCGAATCGCCCTAGTAGACGGCGCATCGCTTCTGTCCAGTATCATTACCTCTACAGTATCTACCTCTAATTTCTGTTTTTTTTTGTGACCATAAATACTACCGCATCATCTGCCAATTTCGATTTTTGCAGAGATTAAATATCAACTCTTCTCTCTTTCCTTACGGTGATTCTTCCAAACCACGCTTTTCTAAAAGCATCCAGTCTTGATCCATCTATAGCTACCTCATTAATTTACTCATCGGTACGTCTTCTATCAATGATACAAGCTTTGACTAGAAATAACTAAGAGCTTAGCCGGCTCACAATCCCGTTATTACCATGCCGGACAAGCCAAAAACGTTCTTTACGCCTGGCCAAAGAGACCAGATGACCAAACAAGGCAACAGCTCCAAGGAGGAGCGGGAAAAGAAGGCGGCAGAAAGGAAGGAGAAGGCCAATACAGAGATAAGGACAGCAGCCGGCAATGACTCGAGGGAGAGGCGCGGCAAAGACAAAACGGAGATCATTGACCTATATGCGAACAGCAAGGGAGGGAAGAAATAGAAACCAAAGGCGATGTCTTTAGGCTTTGCGGCCCAATCCCTCCCCAAAGAGTGGATCAAACATTATGTGTTGCTTGGCTCTGTCATCCGAGTGTGAAGAGAACAGAGCAAGTAGCCTCAGTGGGGAACATGCCCGAAAGCATGCTGGTTGATTGCTCGATGGGTATAAGGATACTGTCGCCAGCGATGTACTGTAGCCGTTACATCCAGAAAGCCAAAATTACACACTTTTTATTTTCTTGGGTTTTTGATTGATGAGCAACAGTGCTCGCATTGCTCCTGAATCCGTACGTTGTGAAAGCACTAGGTGCATGGGTGGAATAAAAGAAATCAAGAGCAACCAAAAGGAATTTTGAGTGGGTATGTCAGTGCGTTAGGAAATTCACGTGATCGTGAGGCCTAGCGAGAACGGCGGGATTAAAGATCCGACCATAATCATTAGCCCACCCCTACTCCTTAAATAGACGAGCACTCTCCATCGATGGACTAATAGTTTTAGACATGAATAGAGTCTAGAATCAGCTTCTAATACGCGCCCTATAATTAAGGTCTCGGTTTTGAATGAATAAACTCGGGCCTTATGTGCATTGTGACCAATATACAGAATAGTAGCGACCAGAAAAAGCTCCTAGCCAAGCTCTATGATTATGTGATGTTAGCCGGAGATAAGAGACCGCGAGGTGTCGCGACCAAGAAAGCGGGTCACAATCTATTAAAGCCAATCCTAACCTTCCATTTTGCGCCCGTAACGTACCTAGCACCAGCCCGTGATGGTTTAAGGTAAGCAAGATGAGGCGGGCGTGGCAATAAGCTGGTGACCAAGTCACCTTCATTACTCTCCCGGTGAATGGTGTTTCGGGCCAGCAGACCGTTATCTTTTGGTTTCGGTACGGCGGGAAGGGCCGTGGCAACAATTTTACGACATTTTTTGGTCCACCCACCATCTAGGGCGTCGGTATCAGGATTATAGATATTCCGATAGTACATGACAAATTGCATTCATAGCAAAGTGCTGCACAATGAATATCCCGATAGGCGTTAAATCCCTGACCAGTGGTTAGGCTGGAGTAGATTGGAAACCGGCATATTAGCACCTGCCAGGTACTAGCAGAGGGCAACGGCGAGACTTACGGTCATAGTTTTCAGAGCACGGGGTCTACTCTCGATAGACGTGAAGGCCCGGGCTGGTTCTGGAGATGGACCACCCAAGAGTAGTAGATTGTCAAGTCATTTCCACGGTTAATCTATTTTCCGAGGTCAGTTCCGATCAGGATCAGATCCCTCTCCACTGCCATAATACGTCGCATATTCCTAAACATAGACGCCGCGCAGATACGCCTGTGACGATTCAACATACGCTGGCTGGTTAAGGTGTTATCTAAGTAACTGGGTGACCGCCTCTTTCCTGTGCTCGATGGCCTGGTGCACCGGCGTCTGGCCATCCGAGCCTTTAGCTTCCTTGTCGTCGCACCGCCTCAAGCAGTATCCGCACAACCTCCCCGTGTCCGTGCTCTGTCTGATCCTTGGTGATACCCACCGATGGGTATACGGTCGATTGTTCTGAACTTTAGACGGAATCTATGTAGGTGGCAATCGATACCATTTCTTAAACTGGAACGTGCTGGCTGAGTTTAGCAATGCTCTAATGTAAGAATCGGAAATCAACTCTGCGAAGACAAGTTAGTCGCTGTAGAATGTTCAAAATAGCAGAGTCGAGGCCTACCTCTTGTTACCAAGATCCTTGTTCTCGGCGACATATCGCTCGCGCTCCTCGCTGTTCATATTGTCCCAAACCGCAGCGTTCTGCTTGTTCCTCCATACATAGTAGTACTTGCACACAACAAACATAAACATACTCCATACGGCAAGCCCAATCAGCACCTTGTTCCCGGTGCGATACAAAGGCTTATCGGGGGTTCGATATACCTAAGCACATTCATTAGTTGAGTGTCATACAAAAAGGGTATTGACCTACGTTGTTTCCAATGATGTTGCTCACTTGCACCATCATGTTGTACAAGGCTGTCGCAACAGTGCGCGTCCGAACAGTGCCTGCATTTCGGGATGTGATAGCCACCAGAATCGCGTGAACGTAGGGCATTCCAATGAGTAAAATCAGTAGAACCCAGCGTGCCCATGCACTAGCATCAGCCGGAAGGCATTCAAGGGCGATCAGAAGTATAAGAGCCCATGCCTCAGCGGCAACGCCAAGCATGAAGCGGATATTGAACCGTTCAGAGATCCACGTCCATAACAGCAGATTCAAAATGAAGACCACGTATGCGGGAATACTGAGCAGGTTGGTATGAAAGGTGCTGAAGCCGAGCGACTTCAACTCCAGGCTGAGATAACTCGTGGCGGGTATGGTGGGGATCAGCCATGACAACCCAAGAATATAGATCACCCACATATCGTAGTCCTTCAGTGCTTCCCAGAGTAGCTTGGGGGTGACTGGCTGGCGGTTATGCATGCCACCTTTACTGGGATCGTCGCGGAGTACGCGGTTGACCATGATCTTCTCTTCGCGCTCGTCGAACCAGCCATTTTTACCCCGGAACCGGCCAGCTGTCTGGGTTGGTGATGGTGGCATCCAAAATGCAGCAATGATGCCGATGACACCCGTAATCAGTCCCTCGAAGGCGAACAAGTATCGCCAGCCTCCAGTGCCATCGGAGTTGTGGATGTGAAGGAAGCCAAAGGCTAAAAATGCGCTGACAATGGCGGTTGCTTCAAAGGCGACCCAGAAGTAGCCCAGGCGGATAGGAAGCTCTTTTGATTTATACCAGAATGAGAGAAAGAGGATTGTGTCGGGGATGCTATACCGGGTTAGTTTCGAACGAAAGTGTAAATAGTGATCTGAGGGAACACACAATCCACCTTCGAGCAGACCCAACAGAGCTCTTGTAGTAAAATAAGTTCCGCGATTCTTCACGAATGCTTGACAAGCGGCGATTAAACTCCACGAGACCATCTGAACAGGGATCCATCGATCAGGTCCAAACCACTTGGACAAGAGTTGGGATGGAAGCTCCGCGAATAGGAACGTCAAAAAGAAGATAGTTTGACCTGTGTTGTAATCATTGGTGGTCATGCCCAAATCCTCCAGCATATTGTCAGAAGTGGCCTGCACAACATTTCCTCGGTCCAGCTGCAGTGCAAAGAAAGTGACACAAGCAAATGTACAGACGCGCCAGTCAATCTGCTTCGATTTAATTCTATGAAATGAGTATAGAATACCCGCTACATACCTTTCTTATAACAGCCTTCTCCTCCTCCTCCGTCCACTCAAAGTCGGGGTCCCAGCGATGAATACCCTCATATTCCGGGATTGGTTTGTAGTACCGCGGGTCCTCAGTCGTGTCAAATGCACACTCAACTTTCTTTACTTGTCCTCGAAGCTCTTCAAAAGACGAAGATTCGCTGGATGAGACAGCGTGAGGCGCAACCTTTGCATCATAGTCCTTGGCACCATGGCCGACATTTTTCATCTTCTCACTCGTCATTTTGGCGCGAGTGCGAGAGAGATCTAGAACAGCAAATAACGGCTAGAATGACACGAGAGATGCCAGCTATAAAGGTAAGAAAAGGCTCTAAAGAAGTCATCACGGCCTTCTATCACGCCATAATGTGGCCGATTCACCTGGTCGGCCGCTCTCTGCGCGATTACCCACGTTGGTCGGATCTGATGCGAATCGGCTAAAACTAAGCACGGGGTCATAGCCCCTGGCGCAAAGGGGAAGTGATTGAATGCCAATTGGCAGCTACGTAATCGTTGTTTCCATTGGCGTTGTTTCTTGGTTCCGCGTGGAAACATGGAAGTGGAGTCCCACTGGCAAGAACTCGCGGACACTCACAGACCAGCTCGGACTAATGCCGCGGCTTCAGCGAATGGGTGGGTGCTGATTCCAAGGAAAGCGAAATTCTACCAGCGTAAAATGCCTAATGCGGGTGGATCTTGCCAGTGGAGGTCCGGCTCGGCCAGATCACGCAAAACGGGATAAAGTGACGTTAGGCTGGACGAGTGGCAGTTTCCCCAGCTCGCATGAATATCGAGGTGGCACTGAATTTCGGGGTGTATACCAGAGCTACAATCAACCCTCCCTATCTCCCGTTATTTAGGGGGTTGACTTTCCTGAGTTATACTATCGCTCATTGGCCAGGATAGCTACACAGAGCTTGAGACTCCCAAGTCAAAGAACCTCAAAATCTATTACAGAACAGGACATATTTAACCCTCTACTAAGAGTATTTTGTCTGTCAATAAGCCCATTAACCTCTCAATATTGTTGAGTTCGAAAGATCTCGCGATGAACAAGACCGGGGTTGCGCAAAGCAAGTTGTTTATCACGCCATCACAGGCAAATTGACACCAACGTTGAGGGGCCAAACGAAGCTGAACGCCAGATCACCACTTACTACTGCAGTTTTAAGTGCATGTAATCAGATAACGCACGAGCAAATAGTGACTGTCATCAGTAGACCCACACGATGGCAGCACGCCATTTCACTCAACCATAACGAAGACATACGTCAAGCGCTACACATTCCAACGACCCCGCAGCAACGAAATACTACATGCGGCAATTCGCACTGATCACCAACATTCAGACTTTCACACGCAATTGTAAACCGGGCGAGACAGCATCCCCGCAGTCATTGCGCAATTAATTTCCTTCGTCCGGGATGAGAGTGCCGAGACGTGTATATAGTCGTGCTGGTCGCTTCATTTAGGGCCTAATCAAGCACAACGGACATACCCAGAGTCCTTAGACAGCGTTTGAATCATTGATATTCATAATACAAACGCACTATGGCCCCCCTCTACTACCGAGACTGTTAGTCTCCGCGCCCCAACTTTCATGGTGCCCCTGAAGACCGACTCCGGGCAGAACAAGGAGAACTTGATCGGATACAAGTATGAAAAGGAGGCCGAATTGAAAGGCACAGATAAAATTGCACCTGCTACATACCCTAACTATCTTCCAGTCTGGGACAATGAGACTCAGAGGTAAGCCACTAGGGTCGATGTATTCTGTAGAAAGCAGGTCTAACGGTGTCACTAGATACCCTCCTCTAGAACATTTCGAGCACTACGATCACGGCAAAGATGCCGATCCCAACTTTCCTGACCTATTCTCCAAAGGCCAGGCCGAAGTAGATGAAATTACCCCCTTCATCGGCTCCGAGGTCCACGGCGTACAATTGAGCAAGCTTTCCAACGCTGGGAAGGACCAACTCGCTCTCTATGTTGCTCAACGACGAGTCGTCGGTTCGTCAATCACATCCATTCCAAACAATAACTACATGCTAACATCCACAGCCTTCCGTGACCAAGACTTCGCTTCCCTCCCCATCCAAGAAGCCGTCGACTATGCCGGCTACTTCGGCCGTCACCACATCCATCAGACGTCCGGCGCCCCGAAAGGCTTCCCCGAGATCCACCTCGTGTTCCGCGGCGCAGACGACCGCACTGGCGCGAAGTTCCTCGAACAGCGCACAAACACCATTACTTGGCACTCAGATGTCACTTTCGAGAAGCAGCCTCCTGGCACGACCTTCCTGTATGCTCTCGACGGGCCGTCCACCGGCGGAGACACGCTGTTCGGTGACATGGTACAGGCATACAAGCGCCTATCCCCCGAATTCCGCAAACGCCTGCACGGGCTGAAGGCTGTGCACTCCGGTTTCGAGCAGGTCAATGCGAGTTTGAACGGCGGTGGCATTGCGCGTCGTGATCCCATCACGTCCGAGCATCCCATTGTCCGCACTCACCCCGTGACGGGCGAGAAGGCTCTCTATGTGAACCCGCAATGTAAGATCTCAACATCCTCCTATTGGTACCTGTACAGCGATACTAACGTCTGATAGTCACCCGCTACATCGTCGGATACAAGAAAGAGGAGTCGGACTTTCTGCTCAAGTTCTTGTTTGATCATATCGCCTTGTCGCAGGATCTTCAGGCACGTATCCGCTGGAAGGCTGGTACCGTGGTTGTTTGGGATAATCGTCTAGCTTGTCACTCTGCGGTATTTGATTGGGAGGATGGACAAAGACGCCACATTGCGAGAATTACGCCTCAGGCTGAGCCTCCGTTTGAGACCCCGTTCGAGGGGTAGACGGGTGCTGGAACATTCGTAATGTATGGATGAGTTTGGATTTTAAGGACCATGAATTGAATCAAGAATACCATTTCATTTCTCAAGATCGGTCTAGCCATGGGTTGAGTATTGAAAGTTGCGAGTTGTGCCAGTTAATGCACGAAGAACGGCCGGTCATGTCAAGGTGTATGTGCTTGCTGCAATGTTGAAGTTGCCTTTTCACGACTAAACCGACTCAGCAGTCCAACCTGCCACTCATTGAACTTTCGTGCCGAGATGGGTAGCATCTGGCTACTCCGATGAAGCGTATCGGACAGCGCTTGGAAAATCATCGAAGGTAATTCCAGCTCCTCGACTGAGAGGGGGCTGGGTTGTCCGATCTCAGGAGCAAGCAGCTTATCAACGTCCTCCTTCTCCTGGTAGAAAACTTTCATTGCCTGCTGGTCATTCACGCTGTGACCAGAGCTGGAATTGGAGTATCGTAGATGTGGATTGAAGACCCAAAGCTAGAAAGAGATTAGCAGACGAAGAGGTTGGACTGACAGGATAAGCTTACTAGTAGTCCACTCGTTTTTCCGCAATGAACGACAAAGCGACGGGCGCTCTCTCGCTCTATCAGTTCCAGCAATTGTGCTGCAACGATCACCTCTATTGAGTGGGTTGTCCATGATTCCTCACTGTCTTTCCCCGTGTTCAGAGATACATTTGCTTTAAGGAGTCGCCATCCGTTTGCTGAAGGGTCTTCCATTCCGATGATTGAATTGCACTTTTCACACTCTAGGGTTCTTTGCCCAGATATTATGGAAGCCGATTTTGATTCCTCTTCACTGGACTGGAGTTGGAGGTTAGCGCACTGAAATCAAGAATACGATGTGTTGAGATTTGGATTCAAGTCAATTGGGAGGAGGCAAAAGTTGGTTTAAAATTCAATATGATACATCAGTGTGCGAATACCAAATGCCTGGGCAATTGCTTGACTCGTGATGTACCTCTTCTGATCACAGCAGTCCCACTGCATTGGGAAGGGCGAACCCAAGACTGTCGTCGAAATCGAAGAGGATGCGTTGAACAAAGCTCGAGCGAGATAGCAATCGGAACAACCCACACCATCAAGCAACGGAGGGCCAAATTCATCTGACGAGAGAGGATAACTGCCCCTCGAGACCTTCTGACCTGAATCGAACCTCTTATTGCCAAGCTCAAACCACAAAGGAGCACTGATATCGATCTAGGGCAATAGTATCGAAGGCCACCCCATTGAAAAGAAATGGTCTCCTTTTAAATTGCCCAGGTAAAGGGGCGAAAATGCAAAATGGAATTCAAATATGCGCGATAGTTTGGGAAACGTGATGAAGAGCAATAGCGATTGCGAAATCTCACCTTTTTCAATCCCGCACAGTCGGACTCTGCGAGTAAGAAGGTGGCCACGTCAATGAGGACATTTCCTGGTATCGCTTCTACTCGACTTGACGCTCCGTAGCCTTTGACTTGAGCATTTTGCTCCTCAATCCTGAGAGCTATGGTAGCTTCATCTTTCGTATCGTCCTCGTGGGGATCGGGCTTGTGGCAGTGCCAGAAGTCCATCATCTCGGCCCAGTTCCCACTTGGAAGGTCCTTCCAGACCCACCCTTGGTGGGTGTCCAATCCCTCGTTTACCGAGGATTCCTGGAGAATGGACTCATTTAGGAAGGCGGTGCCGCACGCACGGCATCGAATGCATGTTGAAGAAGACATGTCTGCTGCTGTCCAAGGCACGTGGTCATCAGTTAGTTCATCACGAGGCGCTGAGGCCTGTTCACTTGGATCAATCTGCATTCTGAATGAATAGTCATGGCCGGATGCGGTAGACTGCCCCGGCTTCGAAGGTGCCGATGGGGCTGTTTTGGCATTCAGCGTTCGCCAAGTCGCGTCACTGACGCGCGTCGGCAGCTTGATCGTCTCAGACACATGGTCAAATGGCTTATGTAAAGTTACGGTGACTGCTTTTCGCGACCCTGAGAGCTGAATCTCCGGCTGGATCCCAGTTAAAGCTGGAGTCTGAGGAAGTGAGATGTAAAGGGTAATTTGGCGGATGTTGGGGAGCAGCTCGGCATGCAGGTAAAGGGATACATCTGCATCCTCAGCAGCTGGTCCTCTGGACATCTCCTCTCTCGTAGATTTGAGAAGCCGAAGAACTCTGAATTCTCGGAGGGGGATGGTGGAGCTCGCGAAATGTGAAGGTGTGAAGCTACACGCGGGGTGGGGTATCCCTGCCTGAGGAGGGGTAGTCGAATGGAGAGCCGCAGAATCTGGACTACTTGCAGCAGATTCTGAATGTTTTGTTAATGGGTCTGGATGTTTATAGGGCTGATAATTGAATTGAAACTTACAAGTGTGACCTGTCCTGCAGTGATGGTAACAAGTGCTAAAGCTGTTGAGTAATCTTGTGGAGCAGGAAAACTTTAGTTGATGAGGTCTTCCCAAATTCTGGTATGAATAAAAGCTCAGTCTCAGTATCAGGACCAAAATCAGTATGCTTGCCACACGAGTGACGGCCACAGCGTCCGAATCGTGATATTTTTTGAAGCTGAGCGGAAACTAAGAGAAGTATTCACCAATATCCAAGTACAATATACTCTTCTTTAATGAATATCTCTACACATACGACCATAGGGTGTGGTTGGTTTATTCAAACGGGCCTGGAAATACGAATCCCTCATTACAGACATGCCTTACTCTGCAGACACTTGCCGAAAAATTCATCGTGCAGGAAAATTCAAAGTTAGAAGCTGCGCGGGCGCTTAAGCATCCGCGGGAACTTTTTAGATAGGGTGGTCCAAAAGAAAATTGAATGTGAATCAAAGATTTCTTTGGAATTCGCCGATCAACATCGTTCCTCTTAGCTTATACCTGTTCTCAGTGGCCCGGTTTTACTTCCAGTATATTCGGCTTCAATTTATTGGCTGTTCAAACCCTTTTTCTTGCCCACACCCTTTTGTTAGCATAGGGAATTGGAGCGTGGCTTTACTTCTAAGTCTCTGTCTTTATTTATTATTACATTTTGCTCGATAACTTTGAAGGCATACTAGTCATTTCAGAGCAAAACCTTCTATAAGTGGCCGCCTTTCAACAATTTTCACCACCAGACCACCTGCTGAAATGAACAAGATTGGCAGATAAGTCAGTTCAAGTTTGTTGTTCCACTTTGATCTTCAGCCTGCTGCCTCTCTTCCTCAGCCTGTCTCCGCAGCTTCATTTCTCTCTCGAACAGTTCTTTGTATTTCGTTGAGATTATCCGACCATGGAGCGTTCAACAAAGAGATATCGGCGCGGTGTTTTTTGTCGGCTCTTTATTCCACCATTGATGTTGTGAAAGGGTTTGGACTCGATTTCGGAACGGACAAACTGTCAGACCGGGACTTCGGCGATAAGTGGGGCTGTCTACAGGCGACCAGGTCGCGAACGACGGATCAAGGGCACCTGCTGAAGTTAGCTCAGGCCAGGATCCTGCATTTGGTCCCCCAAAAAAGTTAAATCAGCGGGAAGTCATCCAGGCATTCGAGGAAAGGAAGTAGCTTGTCTTTTCCTTATTCATGGCACGTGCAGTCGTGTTTCTGTTGGATGGTCCGGCCCATGAATTCAAAGTGTCTTCCCGTTTACGTCAACTGCCGAGTTACCTTTCGCCAACTTTCAAAATCAGAGTTATCTAAGCGCGGATTACTGTATTCTCTTGTCCCGAAAAAATTGGCCTGCGAAAGCTAGATCATGCCGATACTAATCGTATATCTTACGGCAAAATGAAAGTACTAACCGAGTGTTTACATTTCTCCGCAACCACCGCTTCTTTTCCCACAGAGGTTCACCTGAACGCTTCCTTAGTCCGAGTCTTAGTATCCTGGATCTAGGGTCACACAGAATATTGGGAGACAAGGAGCTAAGGTGTGATGGAGGCGAGGAGATCTATCTAGGTTATCTACCAAACATGGTCAGGTGACCGTCCTGAGACCAAATCTACGAACACTACGAAGTATGGAGTGTGCGCAAATGTCAAGCCAATGGGAAGTTGTCGAGGCATTGAGAAAGGATTGTAGCTCGTCTGTTCCAGATACATGTTACCGGTTCCTCACATTCAGTTGAATGATTCGGACGCTTTTATTCATGTCGTGATGGGTAGAGTTTCCGACAATTTCTGCTGAACGATTCATGAGGGCCCCCGCATGGAACGCACTTCGGAACCGTTTGGTCGCAGCTACTGTGGCGGTGGCCCTCCGCGGCGCACTTGGCCCATTTCTGGGTGTTCTTGCACTGGAATGCCTTGTGTCCAATTTCCTGGCAATTGTAACATTGCATCGGTCAAGGTCGATACTCGAAGGTACTTGTCACGCCAGATTCTCCTCCAGCGTGAAAGAACCCGTCAGCCAGGAGCCTCCGTGCGTCAGTGCCTTTAGTCAGGTAAACGACCATGGACGCCACTTTCTTGACCAGCTGGTGTTCATCTTCGTCGCGGCACGCTATTCTGATTCGGTTGATGTTCTTCGGGTCCACGGTGACAGCGCGACAGCGCCAGTGCGTGTGGCCTTCCGTCGTCCGAATCTCTGTCTCAACCGCCGTCCGGATTGGGCTTGCGGAAATCCTCTCGCTTTCATTTTCTGCCATCTTCGAGGTATCTATTGTGTAATACAACGTGTCGGTGAAAGTGGTCGGTGTTGTATTCGACGTCGAGAGCGTCCGTATGTTGCTCGGGCGACTGAGTGGAGGAGTACGGGCGACATCTGCATAGGACGGGAGCCAGTGGCAACGGAAGGGCTGATGGCATCGCGTAGGGATTGAATCTCGCGGAGGATCTCATCGTGGCTGTTCTGAGCGCATGCCTCGGCGTGGGATGGCGGTGTGGAAGGTCTATCTGTCAGGGTCTGTAGCTCGTGTCGGACTTCGGCAAGGGCAACGCTAAATTCTTCTTTAACCTTCTGAAGCTCTTTCTTGTGCAATTCATCGCGTCGCCTGATCTCTTGCCTGAGTTTAATGAGCTCCTTCACGAGTGTGGCGGCGATAAGGTCCTCGCTCTCCGTCGCGGAGTGGTCCGAAGTGACCGCGTCACGTTGGGTTACTGGCTTGTCTTGGGTTTTCTTTCTCAGTTGAGACCGTGTCGTTCTCTGCTGTTTGTCGATCTCTTGATCCTGAGCATGATTACTGGGTGGTCGGGTAGTGCGTCTCGGCCTCGACAATCGTGGCGGTGAGCCTTCGCGTTCGTCGTCACGGTCGGGCGGTTCAGGGGTTCGCATCGCGGTCTGTCCCGCCATTATTCAAAATCGATTCCGTCACCACGTGGCGCGCTCACACTCACACAATATCTCAACAGATACAGTAATCAATCCTGTTGTTGGTACAGTCACTGGACCGGAATACAGTCACTCTTGTTTTGTTCCAGTAGTCTGTTTAGGTACCATCCTATGATACTGTAACACTAACAAATTGAAGACACATTCTGGCATCAATTCTTACACGGCTCTGGGAGAAAAGAATTTGACGAAACTTTCTCGGTGAGTAGACTTTCGGCCTGCGCAGCAGTGAGTGCCTTGGTTCCATGGCCGCTGTATTCGGTTAGCAGCAGAGCCCACAACCAGGTGGGTCATGATCGTCGTTCGCTCCCACTGACAACCACCACGCGGCGTTCTTTTTTCTACAACAAGGGATCTTATGAAGTGGTAGACGGCATGCTCCGGGCACAATCATCGGGATTAAATTTGTTTGATAATGACAGACTTGTTCACGTATCACTCAATAGCCTGATTTAGACGCTGTCCTGCTCCGGCAATTCCACTGAAATTTACAGTTTGCTCCACGTTTCGCTCGACCAGAATCCTCTTGTTGCTTGGCAGGTAACAGACGATCGATCGGCCATAGTATAAACCCGTACTAGTCGCGGTCTGTCAGTGACCGAACCAAACTTAGCAAAAGTCAATTGGAAGGGTGCCCACGGATTATACGATTTACAATGCCCTGCCACAAGCGTCGACTGCCAAGGAACGTATTTCGGATCATTTTCTGCCTTGTCACTGCTTGCTGCGGTCATCTGCCTCGATTCACCGCTTAAAACTCTCCGAATAATTTCCCTTTGGTTGGTCTCAGACTCGGCAATCGACAGACCGAAATAGGGGTTGGGAAGAAGCGAGAGAAAGAGCAGCGGGTGGGTCAAAATAGAATGAACGGTCGGCGCTGAAAAGCTTAAATGGCACGTCGTATGGTGTCGGCTCGCGAGTTCTAGCCGGTTAAGGCAAGAGTCAATTTTAACACCGGAGACCGATTTCGGTGTTTTAGCAGCTAGAGAGTACAAGTCTACCCAAATTAAGCCACAACGTACAATGACGGGTTGCTTGAGCGAACAAAAGTTGACACAGGAATCTTATATTAAGATATCAAAGGTAATCGCGTTCTAGCTGAATAATTTCTAGGAACGACGCCTTCGTCCGGTCGTTTTACCCTCTACCGTAGTGTTCTTCTCCTCTTTGGCCGTCATCTCTATAGCTGCCTCCACAACCGCCAACCGACTTCGAATCTCTTCCAGATCACTGCGGATAGTTTCATTCCAGTTGGTTTGGTTGCTCAGTGAATTCTGCAGAGACCTGAAAATGATATTAGCGATATATTTGGCTTCCGAAGGCAGCATGACTGACTTCATTCGGGTGTCGAGTCTGATAATCGTAAGCAGGCAGAGCACAAGCTTCACCGGGGTGGGGAAGACTTTGACACTCACTCTGCGATGCATTGGAAGGCGATCATGTTGCAGTTCCCAGAGACATCACTCTGTCGCGGTATCTCCAGCTCCTTTTGTAGATCTCGCCCCGTATTCCAGTCGTGTGGCGCATCTTCCTCGATACTACCCACCGGGCTGTCCCCTCGCTGGTGACTGGGGAAGTCGTTCTCTTCCTGATGGTACTCTTCTTCTTCTGTGGTATCATCTGCAGCTGATCTTGACGGGCTTCGGTGACCTTCGGACTCGGAGGATGACAAGGATAACGCACGCTGCAGTCGACTTCGAAAGCTTTGTCGTCGATCGGGGTGGGGAAATTTTCGAATAGCACCCATACTTGCGCCTGAGTAATGCTGAGATCCTTCGACGAGTTTCCCTAACTATACTGCGATTTATGGGTGATACCTTACAGTCTTTATAGAATCTGGTTTGTACGACCGGAGCAGAGTGATCCGCTTGTTCGCAACAAAAGGTAACAAGGTCCACTATCTTCCACCCCTACTTTCCGCATTTGCCGCTTCATTTATTGGCCAATCACTTACGAGAGACATTGGAATCTTGAACCGTTGACGCTCTGTAGTGAGTCCAAGTAGAATTTTCAACGCAGGGAGAAGGCTTTATCCGAATTGTGTTGATGCTACATTATACACCACACGTTGAGGCTGGTCAGAAACTCATTGTTGTGTTCATTGAAAATCGTTAGATCTCAACAACCAAATTTTCAGGAGTACGCCAACAAAGTGATAGCCCGTTGATCATCAACACCAGGGCTTAGTTGAAATTATTGGAAATTGAAATAAGGAGCCGATATCTGAGCATCCAGGCTACCAAAATGGCTCACCAGACTGATCCATGGGTCATAATTGAGCTTTGGGAAATATCTTGCGAGGGAGCAGTATCACCTTCAGCTTTTAATTGAGACCAGGAGAGAGTTTAAACCTCACCGTACCCATCCAAGTGAAGTTCACTGGCGTGTCATCGTCTTATCCAGCCTCCTTACTGTCACTACTTCAAACAAACACCATGTCCCCGCGTAACACCATGGACTGGCCAGAGTGGGAAGAAAATAATCTTCCCACTCTGGCTGGATAGCAATCGGGTCCTGCTGTGGAAGGCCCTACCAGATGCATATTATGAACAATACGGGTTGGATCGAAGCGTTGAATCTCTACGAGGAAAAAAGTACCATATTTTGCGGAAGCAAGGCCACATTGGTACTGTACCAGATCTCCCAAAGACACTGCCCCCCGAAAACGATCAGGAGCTATTCGCCGCTCAGAGGTTGGCAGGAGTTCACTGTTGAAGCTTTCAAAGAAAACTCAGGTCCGACGCAACATCGACAAATGGTTTCAAACAGTCCTAACGGTTGATCCTCGCCATACAGACAGCAGCAAATCAGCTCAAACACGTCGGTCGACATCAGGTATGGAACCACCTTCTACAGTCATACCTCTCTCTGTGCATGCTGACTTTTTCCATAGACTGTGCGACGCCCGCGCCCGTCTATCATGTGCCTGACGAAAGCCAATTGTCCTCTTGGATTTGGGAATATGTACATCGTGTCTGCGCCACCAGGAAGCTGCGATTTTAGTGTTTATAGCATGAACCTGTTGTGAAAAGTCACAGGAGAGCAGCAGTTTTATGTCATTTGAGCTGCTTAAATACTGTACTGGGGACTGGCGTGGGAACACTAATGATCAACATTAATTAACACATTTTATTCCATCAAATATCCTCTACAGGCTTTTCTGGTCTAGCTGAGATCGTCTTGGAAAGACTCGTTTTCTCTTGTGTCGCTCAGACAGGAGTGGCTGTAGAGTGTTAACCTTCTTTTTGAGATCCTCCATCTCGCTTTTCAGAATCTCGATATCACCAGCCAGTCCTTTTTTGAGTTGTCGTTTAGTAGCCTTGTTTTCTGACTTTCTGTATCGTTCTATCTGCTCTTCTCTTTCGGATAGATTTTTGAAGGATCCTTGCTTCTCTCGCTCTAAAGGTCTGAACATAGTTGGTTAAAAGTGAACATGGAATTACATAGTGTTGGAGGTATTTTCTGACCGGCTTTTCGCACATTTTGTAGGCTGATACTGTCTGCATGGCGAAGAATCGACCAGTTCCGTTTCTCGGTCGAATTTTCGTAGAGCTTTGCTGCCGTGACGGCTTCTAGGTTGCTCATCCATGCCAGATGGTGCGCCTTCACGCTCCGTTTGCGTTGATAGAGGCGATTCGGATTGGCATATCGCACCTTCATGGCGAGAACTTTCTTTTTCCCTGGCTTCATCTTCGAGAAATTTGGCGAGCCAGGCAGTATACTTGCCAGGCCGAAGGACAGGGATCTCAGTAACGCGGTTCGACATTCCAAATCTTACTTCTATGAGAAGACCTGAAAGAGTAATTAATCATTTGCTTTCTCAGAGAGTAGGCGGGTAGAGAATCTTCGTACAAGGATGAAACTTGGCGCGATTCAATCACCCTACGTGATATAATTGCGGAAGGTTTGCAGAACCATGGATCCCTTGTCTTCTTGTTGGTGCTTTCGCAAAATATTGCTGGAAATACTCACCGCGGAGAACATAGGAATTCTAGACAGTTGACTCCCATGGAATGGAGGGGCGGTGCTTCTTAGCGAAGAGGGCCGACCACCGGTACAATTGAAGCGTGCCTCTCTCGGCCACAATCTCTCAAGAATACTATTTTAACGTCCGTTGAATCACTTCAACAACCTTCAACGACCCGGTGACTGTCACCGATATGTGCGCAAAAGGTCTCTATTGAAGAGATAGAGCCGAATTGACATAAAAGGAGCCAGTTTTCTAGCCCAGGAAAAGTCAGGACTTCAGTCCTCACACTGATCCATCAGTGTCCCTCTCTTGTCTGCAGGCTTGAGAGTCTCCGTGGCTATGGCTGTCGCTGCTCTGAGCCTAGTGATATAAGACTTGCGCTCCTTCACAGCCAATAAGCCCTGTGATTGTAAAAATGTGCTCCCTTACAGCCGATGAGCCCTGTGACTGTAAAAATGTGCTTCGCAGGATAAGCTCTGCGTGATCAACTGTGCTTCGCAGGATAGGCTCTGCGATAGCAACTGTGTTTCGCAGGGAAGAAGCTGCGTCAATAAGGCCACTCTAGCAACGTGCAGGCACCTCGTCGTGGTGCTAGAGTTTAGTATTCGAGTGTCCAGGACTACTCGAAGAAGCCAAGACCTGTACTGTTAACACTTGTACAACGAGAAGTCATTACTTCCCAGGGGGGATTGGAGGACTGGATGATTGAAGTGTAGCTAGATACAGTAATCCGCATTGAAACCGTAGTTCACAATAGAACCATGTCCATGACATACAATAATTCCGTCAATAATGTGAGCTCAGACGGCTTCTGCTATTCCGACGGAGATCCTCGTCTTTTAGCCATGACGGCAGTCGTTCTTGCGACGCGGTAAAAGTAGAACAAGTAGTAGAAAATCGATCTTACCGGGCTGTCACGGATGGGCTTTTTTGGTGAGCTTAGAGAGAGATTCTTGAAGAGAATTTAAAATTGACGTTGATATGAGTGTTGACTTTATTTTGACCGTCGTTGATGTTGACATTTGATGAGCTTGACGTGTCGCTTGTTGATGCTGGTTTTTGTTGTGTTGACGCTTGTTGAGTTTGATGTTGATGGTGACGAGGTTGATGATTGACCGAGCGGTCAAAGTGAGCGGTCTGGCGGCGGAACAAAGAGATTCTCTTCCTACCACTTCACCCGCATGAACTTGGTGAGATGCACTGGTTGTTGACATCTTGCTTGATTCGCTTGCATATACTAGAGGACTTAGAATGCTATAAAGAACAGTGAACGAACAGTGAACGAATGGTTGAGTGATTCAACGATGGCATTTCCAAAGGTTTTAACAATTATTTCAAAAACCACTTGGTCAAGACTGGTGAGCTATCTAGTATAGGAGCGTGGTTGGTTGACGGTGCCCTCGAACAAACGAATCATATACTATGGTGAAACTTGGTAGAACTGAGAAAGTTCAACCTCATGCGTAACCGAGGTCATCACTGGAGGGGGTGATGGTGAACTATTCGGTGATATAGGATACACTGCAGGATGTGTATGCAACCTACCAGAACAAGCCGCCAGACTTTAAGCGACACTTCAATTTCGAAACCAAGTCAATTGGATTTGCGTCAAGCATTGTCTCGAAGAGGTGCCTTTCCAGAACTACAGACTGGCTCCCCAGCTTCGAAGTAAAATCTCTTTGGCCGTGAATACATTCTTACAGTCGTTCTTCCTAGCCAGTCACTTGCATCGCTACTTCACAGTCACCAAAGCGGCTTCGAGCATATCGGTCCAAGGAGGACTGGATGTAATGTAGACGCGGCTAGTTTCCATGTTAGATGTAAGCGCAGTAGTTAACTCACAAGCGCCATCTGCTGTACGGACCATGCCCACCACATAAGGCACTTCACTGGACAAACCACCGAAAGTCACAAGAACCGGCGGTGCCATCCGTCATGGAAGAGCTAACAGCTGTGTTTTCCGAGTCAGTTATATGCAATGTAATTGTGTGTTAGAATAGTGACACGCGCTCTGAGGAAAGCTCGATTATGCCAGGAGAGACATCGGAAGACAAGTCGAATTCAAGATTCAAAAAATCCACAAGCAGTTTTTTGCAGGATTGAAAAATTCAACGAAGAGCCGATCTAGAGGAAACGGAACTCAGACTAGGCCCGAACAGCGTGCAATGCCCTTCATGGCAGGCATCTCGGAATTCCGTGCATCAATGACCGGCTCAGCTCCCGGAACTTATTTGGACTTTACATGGCAGACCAGTCCCCTCCATTGACCCCGTCGTCAACTCCAACAACCTCCGAATCATGGTGTAAAGATGCTCCCTGTCCTCTTTGAGCTGCTCTAGCATGACCAGGAGCCACTCGATATTTCTAAAGACGTCGGACGCTCGGGGCACCGGTCGCTTGGGTTGGACGAGTGTCATCTGGCGCTTTGGAGTTGATATGGTCATCAAAGTCGTCATTGATGTGGGGGATTTTCTGTTCTGCACTGGAATTTCATTGAGTCTTGGAGTTCGGCTTGCTTCGATCGCTGATTTTTCACAAGGCGCAGGCAGGGCCGTCCGATGCTATGAATCTCTACTACCAGTGAGCGGACCGTATGGCCAACAGGTAATAGGTGATAAGGTGTATCAGAGAAGCGAAGACAGAACTCGCGCCGCAAGAAGGCTGCCTAGCAGAGGTCGTTTTGTGTAGGTCGCTCAGCTCGCTGGCGGTGAGCCACTTGTCGTACGGCAAGATGTCACATGGTATCGATGCTGTGTGCCTGCTCAACACGGCCAATTGATTGAGACATCAAGTGGTGTCTCCGACGACGTCTAGGTCAAGACTGGCGCCAAGTCATCGGGAGCGAAAACTCGTCTCCGACGGAGCACAACCCACAAGCATGCTGTGTATTAGCTGAAAGGTGAATGATGGATGCCGGACCTTAAGCGTGACGTGATCAGCTAACACTGATTGGGCAGGATCCCTTGAGGCCAGTTACCTGATCCAGGCAAGATATCGATCGCGGTGCGCGGCAAAGGCAGTGAGGGTTTGCAAGACGCGTGCTGTACAATGTCCGAGAGTGTGCACACGATGTCCCGTAGAATTGGCAAATCCAACACCACTTGACGAGCGACTCCTCAAAATACCCTACTTTGCTTCGCGTGGTGTGAGGTTTCACTTACGATACTTCATCTTCGAACCTGTTGACCATTCCGCTCGCACACACCGTCGCTAGCAAATCTCTGAATCAACGCTCAGATATCGCTCTTGCTCGGGGCCAGACAGCGAACCACGGATTTTGCTTGGGCCCAACGGATGCGTCAGTGCGGCAGTATACAAGGTCATTCTAAGGTTTTATAACTCATGTCGAGGGCATTCATGATGGTCGGACGCTCGAGGTTTCACTCTGAGGCACGTTCTGCCAGACATCATTAGCAACTAAATCTGAGAGGGCGTTGCTGACTTAAATGTTATGGTGGCTGGCTGTTAGGCGAGTGGAAAATGTTTGTAGCGCTCATCTGACGCGGTTCAATGTATACAGACGGGGCTGGTCGCAGCATCTGTTACTGTATTTCAGCATAGTCTCAGATGTCAGATCGGCTCAGGCTAACAAGGGACATACCTGCCGCACGAAGAGCCTCTTGCATTCTAAAGATCAAGGAATCAAGCTAATGGGGGTTGACGTTGGATCAGCCCTGGTGGGCAATTGAATAGAGGCGCTTTTTCGTATAGAAGACATGTTGAAGCCACTTAGGCTAGGCAAAAGCTTTGCCTTTTTGATTGGCTGGCACGGGGTAACAGAAAAACAACGCGTCAATCGCCGGGCAAGGAGAGGTTGATCAGTATATCTATTCAGAGTGTGTTCTGTTCGCGTCAGTACAGTACCGGAAAGGGCTCGGAGAAATCGAAGGTGGAAGAACTTATCATGGGTCTGCTAGCGGGATAGCATCTGATGGCCCCTCAGGTTGAGAGAAATTTCCCCGGTGTAACAAAACCAGGCAGAGATTTAATACGACAGAGGACTGGGTAGCAGGAGGTATTTATAGACTTCTCGGCTTGTCTTGTCGCCCACCTGCTTAATTTAGCACCAACTTGGCCATGTCTATCCGTGGTAATTGTTGAAAGGCACTGGTGAGGATGTCTGTCCAAAGTGAGTCATTTTGGAACCTCTGCCTCAACTAACTTCATATTGAGCGACGATTCACTGCAAATTCTGGTAAGTCAACGAGAAAGACTTCCTACGGCCGTACTAGGATAGTGGTGTCAAGTCTATGGAAACGCTGTCGTTGGAGGAACGTTGATTGACGGAGAATTTGTGCGGGCATATCGAGGCTCAGCCAAAGACTACTCCGTCATCAACATTGCCCAAAATTCCGCGTTTCCACGTTTTCACAATGTGATCTGTTCACGGCCCAGCGTTAACGCAACATCTGACTTTCCAACACCCAGACACGAGCTGTAGCGTGATCACCGTAAATATCAGCATACGCCGTGCTGTCACGACCATCATTTTACTATCGACTATGATCGTGTACCTGAAGTCCAAACCAATTTGCTCATTTGAGGTTTGAGCTGTGAGGCTAGGATCTGGCCAAAGCGCCTTCAATTGCGCGAGTCACGGTCGCTCGCTAGGTACCTAGCCCGGATCGTAGCCCTCACTGAAGCGTGGCCGTATCACATTTAGACCTTGGCAAGGACCGGGTCCGGTCCTAAAAGTGAGGACCGGGACCGGACCATGCGGTCTTTGGTCTTTTTTCAAAGTAGTCAGGACCGCACCACGGTCCCCCGCGGTCCTTTGCGGTCCCCCGTGCGGTCCCCCGCAAATTCATAATTATGCCAAGACCTTCCTTTTCTGGCCGTATAAACCGATTATTCAGCTGCGTTTTTTACTGTTATTAAACACTGTTTTGGTATATACGCGAATACTAATAATAAATCAGGTCTACCAATTAACAAAATAGGTGAAATCACCTCGTATTTATTTTCTTGAAGCTTCGTATTAAGTTAATTACTAATGAAGTTTGAATTTCGGATCGTTGTGGTAAGTATTTTAGAATTTACTTGTGAGAATGCGAAGATATATATTTTATGGTAGGAGGACATATACGTTTACAAGTGTCGTGTCTACTACTATCCCCACTATATTTCTGACGGCTGTCAGAAAAGAAACTAGTCAGTGCGGATTGGGTTGCTTGTGGGTTCTAATAAGTTCTGACGGTCTTTGCGGTCCCTATGCGGTCCTTATACGGTCTTTGCGGTCTCCTGGCGGTCCTTGCGGTCTTAGACCACAGGGATCATAGCGGGGTAGGTTTTATCAGCCAATCACGGTCTATAATTTAGTTCGTTCTATCTCAAATTATTTACCTATCACTTTCTTCAGTATTGGTACCCCTATTATTTCTTTGTCTAGATAAAAAGAGAATTGTATGTCTTTCCTATAACTCTCAAGCCCTACTACCTACCTTCTCTTTTATATTATTTATTAATATGTCACAGAGCCACGCATCCCAATTCTCCGATAACTATCCCTTATCTATCTTTGAAGATAACCCTGTGGATACACTCTCCTTCCTTACATCTGATGGGCCGTTTAACCTAGACGGACATGAAACACTAACCTCTACTCCAAGTGTGACTTTCACACGGCCAGTAGTACCTATCCCGATTCCAGAAACCCTTAAGCGTGTTGGGCTATGTGGCGGGAAGAAGTATATCCTTTGGACAGAGATGTTTAACGAAGATTTTGTCGCCTGGTGGTTAAAAACTGAGTACGGAAGTGCAACAAAACGAAATATCTTTGAGGGTAAACGACAGGCAGGCTCTTAGGAGCACTTCCACCAGGTTGCTACGATCTCTGATGGATCCCCTAAGGTGATGTGTAAGCAGTGTGATCATATCCTTGCTCATCCTGCCGACCGGCACCGGGGAACGTCTACTATGAATAGGCATTTCTTACAGGCCGCTACCTGTCAAAAGCGAAAGACTAAAACACATGATATCAGAAAGATGATCTCGAATGGGGTATGAATATTATCTATATAGCTCATTTTATACTAACTAAGATGATTATTTCTAGGCAAACCTTCCGTCTCGCAAAAAGGTCTTTTCACCAGGAGCTTGGATGGATAGGTTAACTATCTTTATTGTTGCTTTACGCCTACTATTTCAGCTCGTTGAGCACCCTGAATTTCGCGCCCTTATCGAAATAGCTTCGTCTGCCCCAACTATCCCTGAAATTCCTAGTGCTAGGACTATCCGTCGGCATCTTCAGGAGACAGTCAGGGAACGTCAGGATTCTCTACTGCAAACATTCCTAGAGGGCGCCAAGCTTTCTATAGCATTAGATTGCTGGACCTCCCCTTTTCGCCAGGCTTTTATGGCAGTCACAGGCTACTTTATTGACCTTAAGTGGAACTACCGTGAGATCTTACTCGGCTTTGAACCTCTACGTAGCTCCTATATAGGCGCTTATCTAAGTAGTGTACTACTTGAGTTACTTGAGAAGCACCAAATTACCAACCGCGTGCTTACGATCACTACTGATAATGCATCGAATAACGATACATTACTGACTACTCTCGAAGAGGCAGTTTCGTCTCTTGAGCTGCCTAGTCATATACCGATTATTCGTATACTATGTATTGCACATGTTATATAGCTCAGTCTCAAGGAGCTCCTTGGTCAGATGGATGCGAACCTATTGAATGATAGGGAAGAGATGGAATAGGCCGATCAGAGATATAGCGCCCGGCAAGAGAACAGACAGATTGTGCAAACCCTAAATAAAGTATATTACCTCCCTCTTTCCACTATTATCTTTCTATCTAATACTAACTATTCATTCTCCTCTAGGTTCGGAAGATTGCAGTCTATATCAATAAAAGCCCCCAGCGCCGCGAGAGCTTTATCGGACTGTAGACAAAAGAACCGAAACTTATGCCAATCCAAGATGTCCGAACACGCTGGAATTCCACATTTCTTATGCTTCGGCGCGCACGTTGGCTACAGACTACATTTGATGGATTTTGTGCATAGTTCAATCTGACGGATATAAAGATGGATAAAGATGAATGGCGACAGGTTGACTATCTACTGTCAATTACCTATCCCTTCTTTAAATTCACTTCATCTTTATTAGCTATAACTGATGTGACTATCCATAATGTGTTTGGGATCTACAATGCCTTATTTACCCACGTTGACAAGGCAAAGGCGTAGCTAGCACGAAAGAAAGTCGGGTGGAAGAAGGTAATGAAGCTGGCGCTAGAGTATAGGCGCGATAAGCTTACGGAATATTACGGCAAGACTGATGATATTCCAAATGATCTCTATGCAATTGGAACTATCTTAGGTCCCCGCAATAAGCTTGAATTCTTCTTAACACCAGAATGGGAGACACACTGGGCACCGCGGTATAAGCAGTCCCTTGAGACTTATGTCCAGCCTTACCAGCAGCGTCATATAGAGGCACAGTCAATATCAACTATCCAGTCAATGAGTAACGATATTTCTGACATTGATATCCTTCTGAGACCTACTACATCTCTCCAGTCAAGACCGACCACTTCAGATAAACTCACAAGGTATCTTGGAAGTAGTAAGTTTAATATTTCTCCCTCCTATATGGTTACTTTTATTAATCTAATACTTTTCTAGGTACTGTCCAATCAACACCACTAGTATTCTGGAAGGCTCATGAGGCAGAGTATCCTATCCTCGCAAGCCTTGCCCGAGATATCCTTATAACTCCAGCTAGTGGCTCTGGGGTAGAGAGGCTTTTTAACTCTGCTCGCGATATATGCCACTATCGCCGGGGATCGTTAAGACCACAGACTATTCAAGATCTAATGATGTTTATGTATACAACAAGATTTGATATCCAGTCGGAGCAGCTTGCGCTAGTGGATGAGTTTCTCTCCACCTAAGAGAGGCATACAAAGAAGGAGCAGGATGATGCTGAGCAAGAGACTAAGGAGTATGATCCTATCAGCGATGATGAGGAAGATCCTATAATAGACGCTTCCGTTGAAGTATCTATTGAGCGACCTAGTTTACGCGCGCTAGGGAAAAGAAGGGCTGTTGATGATCCGCTTACTGAGCCAGATGATGATGAGATCCCTTTACCTGATTTTGATATCTAGAGGCGTTCATCAGGGCGGATTCCAAAGAGATTGAGATATGATAAGGATTTTGTATATAATTAGTAGAGACAAAGGGTCATTAGAGGTTAAAATCTTGTTTATTACATAAATCATGAATCATCTACACAAGTGATTTCTGCAAAAATCCTCTTCAATTTTTTCAGTAGGCATCAGCTATAACTATTCCTTATAAAGAATGAAAGTAAAATACTGAAAAATACCTATAGATTCTACATAAAATATGCATATCACGGGGTTTTCTATGTTTGTCCTGTTTACAGGACCGCAGGACCGCACCGGACCGCATTGGTGCGGTCCTTAAAAAGTTGGGACCGTGCCGGTCCTTGAAAAGTTAGGACCGGGCCCTGCATAGTGCGGTCCGGTCCGCGGTCTGGTCCGGTCCCTTGCGGTCCTTGCCGAGGTCTAATCACATTGACTATGGACATTGTGAAAGTGAAGTTTTACACACCTTGTCCTTGTCCTTTTCAGTCTGTTCAAGTCTGTCGACGATGGATCGTCTGTCGAATGTCACAGTCTCTTGAGATAAAGCCTCAATGCAGGGCACTAGGAGCGGCTCAGCTGTTGGAAAATGGAGCCCTCATCCTAAGGCGCCAACATCGGTCGGCCCATGAGGTTAACGTAATTCACAAGCGAGCCGGCCACCCAAGCGAGCCGGCCCCAAAACACCATATTAAATGCTGTTTTTTACAACCTTATATCTCAATAATCGGGGATCTTATAGATAGCAAACTCTAAGGCTATGCTCTATACAGTAAACATAGTACTTGGATGGAGTCTAGGGAATTTTGGTAGCGGAATATATATATTTTTGGTTTATTTAGCTACATTTTTAGTCCAGCGGTCAGATCTCCGACAGTTATGAGCCCGGTTCGCAGCCTATAAGCCTATCCTTTTGGTCCAGAGAGCAGCGTCATTCGCCGTAGACACAGAGATAGCCAGGGGAGCCACCGAGACGCCGAGTACTACCCCGGAGGGCGTAAAGACGGTCAAAACACAGAGATGGAGACAACATCCACACTCTCCACCTCAATGGGTGAAAAGCTAAAGGACGCATCCCAATGGAGGACGTGGTTTGCACGCGTTGAGCTGTATGCGAGCGAAAGGATGGTCTGGGAACTATGTGACCCAGATACGCCCGTCGACGACCTCCCGAGACCGATGAAGGAACCGCACGAGCCGGAATACCCTCAAGATGGCGATTCCAACGAGAAGAAGAAATGGAGAGACCGTCTCGACGTGTTCAGGATCAGATATAATAAGTAGGAGAGGCAGAAGAAGGCTCTAGTCGACGTAAATGAATAAATCATGACGCGTCTAGATGCCAATCACCATCTCTCCCTTCTTAGTTATAGGACCCCATATGAGCGCCTGGCCTATCTCCAGCGCTGTTTTGCTCGGTCGTCGGCCTATGAAGAGGAAATCCGGTACAAATGGAAGACATTTGTGTCGCAGAAGCCACCAAAAGGGGCTGATATCGATGCTTGGTTGACGGCATAGGAGAACCTAAGAGAACAAGCTATTAGCTTCGACCTCGAGGATCCCAAGAGCACCAGTAGAGACTTCTTGCGTGCAGTCAAGAATGTCCTACCTCTCTGGTGGCATGGCAGATTCCAGGAAATCCTCATGGATAAGAAGGTCTATGAGACCAAAGACCTGGTTGAATCTTTCCGTGCGACGTATCGTGAGATGGCACCGAAATCTGCCTCAACGACGACCGTCGGGGTTTTCTCCACCTGGCAGGATCATCAGGAGGCCAAACCGAAAGCAAAAGCAGAGCCGAAGCCCCAAGCAAAGCAGGAAAGTGCTCCACAACCTTTTGAGCGGCAAATATGCCCCTGCGGTGTCCGTGGACATAAGGTCATTGACTGCTTCACCCTGAATGAATCAGTACAACCAGATGGTTGGAAGGTCAGTCAGAAGGTCGCTAAGAGGGCCAAGAAGACCCTCAAAGCAGACCCAGCCTGGAAGCAGTGGGTCGAGGACGCCATTAAGGAGGCCAACAGCGCAAAGAGAACTGCAAATGCAGTTATGATGCTTTTCCACGCAGGTCCAGACTTATTCGGACTCGCAGGGCACGGAATTGCCGTTCCGAGGCCGTTGGATACTCGACACGGCCACGAGCGCCCATATCTGCAATGACTGAAGCCGGTTTATCACCTTTACGGAAGAGGATATCCGTTTAACGACCGGAGATAGCTGGACACCTGCGTACGGACGCGGAACCGCAAAGCTGACCAGACGGGACCCGTTGACGGGAAAATGAAGAGATATAACTCTGAGCGATGTTCTGTATTCGCCAACCTTCCATATCAACCTTGTCTCGTATGCGAAGCTGAAGAGCAAGGGCGGAACCTGGTATCAGGACAGAGACTGGATCGTGGACCTAAATGGGAACCCAGTGGTTAGCCTACATCTCAAGGAACCAGAGAACCTATGGTTCTTCGACGAACCTGACACGGTCCATGCACATGCCGTACGGCGCTCGGAGCAGCCCATCGAGGCCGTAGCCACGAAAGAGCTATGGCATCGCCGATTCGGGCACGTCAACGACCGAGTGGTCAAGCAGCTTGGTAATCTAGTCCAGGGCATCAAGATCAAGGACCCGGAGGTCCAGGACGCTTCAGAGAATGGTCCGGAGCTATGCGAAACGTGTCAGCTAGGTCGAGCACCCCGGCAGATATCGAGAGGGCCTATCGGACAGTCTTTTGGCCGGTTTGGGCGCGTCCACTTCGACCTAATCCAAATTCCGCTCGCAAATAACCTCCATCGATGGATATCGCATTTCTATGTCGAGGGCATTAGGTTCCACTGGGTAGCGACGCATGCACACAAGACAGAGTGTCAGCTTGCCATCCAGCAGTTTGTACAGCTCGCTAAGAACTGGTGGAACTTGCCAATCAAAGCATTCCACTATGATAACGAGGTATCGGCTGGAAAACTAGCTGAAAGCTACCTCGCAGGGGGTTGAATAGTCGTTTATCACAGCCCGCCAGCGCATCTGGAGATGAACGGCTACGCCGAGAGAGCAGGGGGTGTGATCATCCTCCGATTGCGTATACTGATGCTAGAAGGAAAGCTTCCGAAAGAGCTATGGCCGGAGGCCGCGCGTGCTGCGTGCTGGTTGCTGAATCGGACACCAACCTACATCGACGCTGAGGGCCGATGGATTGTTCCGTGGGATGAGGTCCGAAGGGAATTCACAGGAGACAGGATGCCAAGGGTCAACCTATCCTGGGTGAGGCTATACGGATGCCTCGCCTACTGTCGCAATCAAAAGCTCGCGAAATCGGACAAGATGCATCTGCGTGCAGAGGTCGGTTTCCTGGTTGGTTATATGGCCTCGAATATATGGAAAATCTGGTTTCCGCAGCGAGGAAAGGTCGAGCACGTCAGGGACGCTATCTTCGATGAATCTCGACGGTATATACCTGATTACCAACCATTTCAGCCAGTTCCACTGCCTCTAGTGACAGAGCCAGAGATCCTGAACAAGGAACAGACGCGGCAGGCGATAGAGGACTCGATTAGCACTGGCACGATGCCAGCGACCCCAGAACGCCCCGGAGAGGGTGATGAGGGCCCGGTACAACCCGTGGAACATCAGAGAGCGCAGGAAGCGATAGTTCCTACGACTTTCGTCGAGAAACAGACCACTGCCGAGCGGGCGTTGCTATCGCCCGGACGTGCCCGAGAGCCACTTCTAGAGGATATCCCTCTGCCCCCAACACCTCCGCGAGAGGATTACGCTACTGCTGCTGGTCAGGGGGTGGGATCTGCCGAACTAGAGTTCGTCGAGCAGCAAGACCAGCCACCAGAAGCTGAAGAAGGTGCTGATATTGAGGCTGATGACGCTAATACCCCACGATCCGAGCCAGACCGTACAGAATCTGAGCCATCGGACGTACGGACAGAGCCATTTCGTACGGAATCTGAGGCAGCTAACGTACAGGACGCGTCGAACGAGGAACCGATTGACGAGCCGGAACCGGTCTTGAGCGACATCTTCAGGCTGAGCTTACAACGCCGTCCCGAGAGATAATTGGCGCCGTGGACACTGGGAACATCGTTAGCGGGCCTAGGAAGCGGAAGACGACAGGACGACGGTTATGCGGCCTATGGGACCCTCATCGACGAGGAGGATACCCAGCGATGCTGCAGGCTTTTGCAACAGGCCTATACGCAGAAAAACCAGACACGCGACACCATCGCGATGATTTGCCTGAACCACCTAGGCACTGGAAGGACGTGGTGAATCACCCGTTTCATCAGGGCTTCCTAGCAGCGATGACGAAGGAGTTAGACTCTCTACGTCAGAAGGAGACGTATGAGGTCGTGGAAAAGCCGAAGGATAGAGGCAAGCGTTCCTCCCACTCCTTTGGGTGTTTACCTATAAATTTGATCAAGATGGCTACCTTTTGAAGCTCAAGGCCCGAATCTGCGTGCGCGGAGACCTCCAAAACCATCTCACTGGAAGAAAACCGAGCAGCTACACTAGCTGCGCGGACAGCACGGATGATCTTCGCCTTGGTCGCTGCATTTGACCTCGATCTGCGCCAACGAGACGCCGTCACGGCATTCCTGAACAGCAGGCTGAACAAGGAGATATACGCAGGGATGCCAGAGGGCTTTACCATCCCAGGGATGTGCTGGAAGCTAGTGCGAGCGTTATATGGGCTGAGAATGTCGCCGCGCCTGTGGCAGCAGGAAGCGGCAGCAGTTCTCAGCAAGCTCGGGCTACAGCCAGTTCCTGAGGACCCATGTATCTTCGTGGGTAAAGAAATCATCGTCTTCTTTTATGTGCACGATATCCTGATAGCATGCCATTGGACTGCGAGAGAGCGGGCTCGGCAGCTAGAACGAGACCTCGAGGCACACTGGGAGCTCACTGATCATGGAGAAGCGGAATGGTTCTTGAATATCCTAGGCGGACGTATACATTGGAAAGTAGCATATCACATCTTCTTCATCAAGACGGAGCTATGATGCAAGAAATAGGCTAACAGACACGGGCTAGACCTTCATACCTGTGCTAGTTGCGGTATATTATACATCATGTGGCACATTTGCTACAGTCGTGCTCGAAATCGCCTTGACCAATATACACTGAGACACTCTTTCCTGGACCCACTGCCAAGGCGTTAGCGCGGATCATTTATTGATCTGGCCGTGTTAAATTGAGGGCGAAATAAAATGTGCTGTGTACTGTATGTACCCTGACGAAAAATTACACCATGCGCGTAAAACGTCCGTGGAGTTCCATGGAATCGTAAAGTGGATCTGCAAATCATGTGGGGAGTGCTGCCTAGTGCCGGGTAACCTGATGATCTTCCAAGCGACTTCAGTTCTCCTTCTCATGCTGTGCGGCGTGTGCTGGTCATCACCTGTGAGGCTGTCTCTTTAGCCCAGAGAACCTCAACAAGTGATCCTAGCGGCCAACAACCATTCTGACCACTTGGCGGTTGTTGCAAACGAACAACACCCTCAACCGCTCCTGATGGTGTAAGCCTCAACTAATAATCACTCACCTTTAGTCTGTCGTTACAGTAGGCCCAAGAAAATGACTCCCAGTTCTCTTATTAGCCATGATGATAATGGCGTTCAACAAAGCATCATGCTTGACCCATGGGGTGATACGTCACAATATGCACCAACACCTGGCAACTTCTGTTGGTCACCCACCTCCCCGTCCAACATAAGCTGCATCAATGTCGATCACATATCCCCTGTTCTCTCAATAACAGGACGGTGGCGAAAGATACAGAACAAGATCTGGTTCTAGCCCCTCGATTTCACTGGAGGCTCTTTTTGCAACCAAAGCTAAAGGAGCTAGTTGTACGAAAGTATCCACATCGAAAACTTGAATCGGATGACACATCTGTTGTCGTATCCGCCACTCGGCAGAAGGGCCTCACTCTGAGGTTTGATGGAATCGACATTGATTGGACCTCTATAGAAAAACAGCTTTCGGATTGGGGAGACCTCTTTCTTGCTGGGAAGAAACTGAGACTGGTCATCTCATTCAATTACATGGAGAACTCTTCGAGCTCAAACGGAAGTGGCAGGACTACTGATAAACGAGGCACTTCGTCTGCTACCCAGCGGATGCTTCAGGAGCGAGATCGACAGATCTATGCTGAGGAAGCAGCTTCCGGAGAGCCGCCTGCCTGGAAAGAGGTATATGCTTTGATGCGTTGTCCTGGGTCCTGTGAACTAGGCCCGCACTGCTGGCAGGATCCCTATGGGAAAAAGCACTATAAGCTCTACCGGGATCAACTGGAGAGCTTGGTTAAATATGTGCAGAGCGGCGGGATTTTACAGTCACATGAAGATGTGCCTGGTATGATTCGCGAGCAAATCTATAGGGCAGAGAGGCAACGGCTTGATCGACCGCGGGCCAATAATCGCCCTGCCGCCGAGGCAAGCTGCCCTCCCATTACTATCACAAATGTGCTTCCAACGCAAGCCCCACAAGCAGCCGGGTCGTCAGCATCCCCATTTCCAGAGGACACTGTTGCTTCGATCAACATTCCTGTCCTTCATATCCCAGGCCTTCTCGATGTTGCCGTGAGAGAATACAGTACCTGGCAACAGTCACTTTTGAGTGATGAGGCATTAAAAGCCGAGGTAAGAAAGGCGTGCGATGTAGCCCTAGATGATGGACTGGACCTAGCGCAGATTGATGAGGATAAAGATCCTAATTACTTCAAGACACGCGGTGTCAAGTGGGGAATTGCTCGGCGTTTTGTCAAGGATATTAGGTACTGGGCGGAAAACTATAATTGTTGTGTGACAAGGGGAAGAGATTTTTAATGCGAGCATTTGGTAATTCTTGTCTTTTCTTTTGAGTGTCTATGTAATTTGCGATATATCTTCTACGCGACTAGGCAAGAGAATTAGAGCTCATCGATCATCAAACCTGCATTTCGGAAATGACCCTCCGCACTTGATACCCTTGAACCAATCACGTCAACGCACCACTCGAAAAAGGCATCGAAACCTTGATTTGGGTTCACCTCATACTCATTCCACCTTCGCTTGATGAACTGCTTAAGCTCGGAGAAGAACTCCTCGATAGGATTCAAATCCGGCGAATAAGGCGGCAGATATACCAGCTTTACGCCGGAATCTGAGCACATGCGCTGAATCTTCTCCGTGTGATGGAAAGAAGCGTTGTCCATGATAAGAACAGACTTCGGCTCTGGCCATCTATTGCAGTGCTGAAGAAGTTGTTCGATGAAATCCTCGAAAACATTCGTGTCGGTAGACCCTTGAAATATACGCCTTAGGACGATCCCATCTTGAGCATACGCAGGTAGAACCTGATAGCGCCTATCCCGGTGGAACTTGGATATTTGAACCGGTGTCACACCGAGAGGGGACCAACCTGTTCGTCGAAACCCAGCCCTTTTATCACAACCCGACTCATCCACGAAGACCAAATGGTATGGTCGAAAGGTAGATAGGTTGTGGAGGTAGAAGTCCCGTAAATCTGCATTTTGTTCCTTCGCGATCTGTCGAGCAGCCTTCTTCGACCACCCCACCGAAGCAAGCGCTCTGCTGATGCTTTGAATCGTCACATGCTTCCCGAATTCGTCCCAGAAAAAGAGTGCCATCTCGTCTCGGTATACAGTCATTCTCGAAATCGGCTTGACCGATATACACTGGATGACTCTTTTCTGGACCCACCGCCAAGGCCTTAGAGCAGATCTTTTATTGAGCGGGCCGCGTTAATTTGAGGGGCGCAGTAAAATTTGCTTTTGTATAGTATGTTATGTAGCACCTAGCTACGTAATTTTACATGATACATACGAAAGGTCCGTGGAATTTCATGGAAAAAGTATAGTGGATCTGCAAATCATATGGAGAGGATGGCCTGGCACTGAGCTTCTGGACGATCTGCTAGGTGGCTAGTGGCTTTAACTTTCCTTCCCAGGCTGCACGTGTCGACTTTTCGCGTACATCCGGGAGACTTTGCACATTATTTTGAACACAACGAGCGGGAAGAGCTGTGTTCAGTTCTGCAGCTATCTCAATTTCTTCCAATCAATATCAGTATTCTCGCGTTGTATGCACCGTATCTACGAATATGGATCTTAGGGTTGCCCGCCAATTTGTTTCTTGACATCAGCAGTTGAGAAACAGCACCAGGCAGGACAGTGTGAGAGCTACTGAATTGAGATCATCCTTGAAAGTGGCAAGTAGCAGTATTCATCTTCTTCTTCCCAGTTAGCGCCTACATCTGCGCTGCCTGGTCCATCTTTCCTTGGTCCCGATATAGATTCCCGAGATTTCCGGCAGTGCGGAGGGTCAACATATGGTCCGCTCCGAGCGCTTTCTCGAACCCAGCTAGTGCCCGCTTGTACATCTGCTCTGCCTGGTCCAGCTCTCCTTGGGCTCGATATAGAACACCGAGATTGTTGACAATGCTGAGCGTCAACGTGTGGTCCGCTCCGAGCACTTTCTCGAACCCAGCTAGCGCCTGCTCGTACATCTGCGCTGCCTGGTCCATCTTTCCTTGGTCCCGATATAGATTCCCGAGATTATTGAAAATGCGGAAGGTCGACATATGGTCCGCTCCGAGCACTTTCTCGAACCCAACTAGCGCCCGCTGGTGCATCGGCTCTGCCTGGTCCAGTTTTCCTTGGGCTCGATATAGAACACCCAGATTGTTGACAATGCTGAGCGTCGACATATGGTCCGCTCCGAGTACTTTCTCGAACCCAGCTAGCGCCTGCTCGTACATCCGCGCTGCCTGGTCCAGCTTTCCTTGGGCTCGATATAGATGCCCTAGATTGTTGACAATGCGGAGGGTCGACATATGGTCCGCTCCGAGCACTTTCTCGAACCCAGCTAGCGCCCGCTGGTGCATCGGCTCTGCCTGGGTTAGCTTCCCTTGGTCTTGATATAGTACCCCGAGATTATTGATAGTGTCGAGGGTCGACGTGTGATCCGCTCCGAGCACTTTCTCGAACCCAACTAGCGCCTGTTCGTACATCCGCGCTGCCTGGTCCATCTTTCCTTGGTCCCGATATAGATTCCCGAGATTGTTGACAATGCTGAGCGTCGACATATGGTCCGCTCCGAGCACTTTCTCGAACCCAGCTAGCGCTTGTTCGTACATCTGCTCTGCCTGGTCAAGCTTTCCTTGGGCTCGATATAGAGCCCCGAGATTGTTGACAATGCTGAGCGTCGACATATGTTCCGCTCCAAGCACTTTCTCGAACCCAGCTAGCGCTTGTTCGTACATCTGCTCTGCCTGGTCAAGCTTTCCTTGGGCTCGATATAGAGCCCCGAGATTGTTGACAATGCGGAGGGTCGACATATGGTCCACTCCGAGCACTCTCTCGAACCTAGCTAGCACCCGCTGATACATCTGCTCTGCAGGAAGTAGCAGTACTTAGTGTCGAAGTAGAGATGCAATCAGTGAAGCTTGGCCTAGTCGACGAGGTGCAATAATATGTATGACGTCACTCTGACATGCTCGCTGTTGTAGTAGACCGTGTCGCATGAGCAGCCAAAGGAGAGTAAGAGAGCTTTGCCAAATCATTCACGTTATCATCAATTATAGACGCAGAAATGCAGTCAAAAGCATACCAGTAATGCTTTGCGTCAATATCCTTGTTGAGTGCTGCCAGTTGCCATCACTCTTCAATGATTTCGACATCATCTGTGATCACTTCACAAAGCCACTTGGGAGGACTATTGGTAAGTCCGGCATGAAAAAGCTTCTACCAAATCTCTGGTTATCGAAGTAGGCTAGTAACTTGAGTATTTTCGCTGCGCCTGGATCTTCCTTTTCTAGGCGAGAGTATGACAGACCCCAAGTTGCGTAACGCCGTCAGGGGCCATTGAGGGTGTCGTTCGCCTGGAAGCAATCGACAACTGGCCAGGACGGTCGTTTGCCGATGATATCGCTCGTTGAAATTCTCCGAGCCAAAGAGACATCTTCAGGAGTGATGACAAGCCCCCGCTGGATAGGAAGAGGAGACTCTCTCCTGGCAGATCATCGATTATTTAGCGCCAGATGGCCTTTCCCACATGATTTGCAGAGATCCCCCCAAAGGTTTCCATGGAACTCCATGAGCTTTCTTTTCATACGCGAAATGTAATATTACGTCCGGTATGACTGTAACATACACAGCGCCTTATATTGCGCCCCTCAGTTTAATGCGGCTCGCTTAATAAATGGTCTGCGCTAAGGCCTTGGCGGCGGGGCCGGGAAAGAGTTTCTCAGTGTATGTTGGTCAAGGCGATTTTGGGAATCACTGTAGCGAAATATAATCGCAATCTACTCCTGGAGCGGTGACTTCTGTTCCCATCTAAGACATAGCCGGTGTTGGGATCACATGGACTGGTCCTGGGGACTGTCGCGCTCCTAGAGCCCTCGTCCAAGATTCCAGGATCAGCTATCTGCTTCCGAGGACGCTAGTGGGGTATCCCCGGGACTGGCATAGCGCCGGTTCTGGCTCAGAATATTCTTCTTGTTGTGGGGAAACTGGTCCCTGGGCCTCAATTAACGTTCCTGTTGATGACAAAACCGGAGCTGGGAATGCAATCACTGGCCCCGTCAGTCGACACGGTCCTAGGGCTCTTGACCTATATTCTGGAGCCAACTATAGATTCCTAGGATCGAAGAAAAGAGGCTGTGGCTAGTTTCGGGGCTCAAGCGCTTCTGGGATTGCAATTTGCTCTCAACAGCTGAATAATGAGGCAGTAATAGGTTCCAGCTCTGCATCAACCTTTACAGCAATCCTTTTTCCTCCCAAAACAACCAATGCGACCTTGGGATTCTTACAAAGGAGATGCCTCAATATCAAAATTGAAAAAAAAAAAAAAATTTCCAAAATTCGGAACAGGGATATTTGAGCAACAAACCAAAACCAAGAATGGCCGTCAGAAAATCCCAAAGGGATGAAGAAAAATTTCAGCAAACCCGCATCGCAAATCCAACTGCAGCAGTCCAAACCCTCCTCAAAAACGGTGGACGGAAACCTGACCAACTTTGGAATTAAGAGTGCACATTCTAGGTGGAAAGAAGCTTACGTACCTAAATTTCAGGTATCCGAGTTTTTTTCAGACTAACGTTTTATAAAAAGGAAAATCCAAGGGAGACTTCTAAGAGAATAAAAGTCGGTCGCATAGGCGGAGTGGTGTAATCGTTTTGATGCAAGTTGCAACTATATCCCGAGGGCAGGCGGCCTTGGTTGCGGGCAATGTATCCGATCATGTGATCACATCTCTGTGTGTGGGAAGCCTAGTCTACGGGTGAAGCCCAAGTTGCAAGTGTTTCGGCTTCTAAGCGGCGTAACCTTTCCATTTCCACAATGAGATCAGGATCGGGAGAGAAGCGGAGGTTATCAAGAGAAATCTTTTGGAGTAAATGGAGACCTCGGAAAGATCGCAGTCTGGAAAGCTGCACGTAGAGTGAGCAGTATTTTCGATGGGAGTCTTGTCCTCGTCGAGCCGTATCGTTCTTTAGGTCTAGGATCGCGGCAGAGATGGTCGAGCCTTGCACTTTGTAATCGGTGAGACAAAAAGCGGGGCAGATCGGGATCTGTTTCCTTCTAACGGACAAGCCCTTCACTGTGATAGAACGTTCAATTGGGAAGATTGGCATGGTTAGAGGTGGGAGGTGGTCAAAATGTGTTGTTAAGGCTCTGTCGGGTTTGAATATAGCGGAAGTAGGTGGTCTTGTGCAAAAAATGTAAAGATCATCCAAATCAAAAAGTTCGGCTGTGCAATTACATTAGTGAGGTTTGGGGATCTCAAATGTCGAACGGTAACTTTCCAGCTGCGTCTAAAACAATCCCTACCGCGGTACCCGTGGCACCGTTGACCTGACCGAGAGGGGTGCAGGCGTTAGTAAGCATTACGGAAGGCATGTCTCTAGTATAAAGAAGAGGCCCTGGAAATGGGATCTGGGCACTGTGATCTGGTTGGAGTAGCAAGTTATGAGCCTGAAGGCGAAGGTTCGTTGGACCAGTTGACTTAGTCCGAGTGTGGATTGCGGTAAAAACATAAATTCTCTGAGATCTCCGCCAAGCAAAATTCTCGATATGGATCCGGTTAATCGGGTGACGTATGGCGTTTAATTTGATAATGATAGAGGCATCCTCCGAGGTTGGATCTATAAGCGAGGCAATATATTTGGAATTAAGGCGGATAACGTCGTCCTCGGTCAATGCCGCTTGCCTCGCGCGCGTCAAAAACTCGCGAAACTAAGGGTCTTCTGATTGTCTCATTTGTTCGTTGAGAATGATGACGTTTTGGAATCTACGCTAGATAAGTCTACCGGCGGCATCGTCGTCAACTCTATATCTTGGTTTCTTCCAAAGTGGTGGGCCGCGAACAGGAGGGAACTGGAAAAAATCGCCTATAAGAATCACGATATGAAAGCTGCCAAAGAGGTCGGGAGAGGATCTTGGCAGTGAGCGAGCGAGTTTGCATTGGTTGTTGATCACGCTTAGCATTCTCAAATCGACCATGCTCATTTCGTCAATAACCAAGATAGTCTTTTTTGCCTATAGCCTTCTAACGCGAGTGCTGATGGCTGCTTTATGGGAAAGATTGATGCCAAGGGAAGTATGATAGGTGTTGCCTCCTAAAATGTCTGCTGCAGCGCCTGTGGGGGCAGTGAGGATGACCTCGTGTTTTCGACCAAGAAGTTCTAGAGCGGCCTCAATAGCTCTAGGTATCTGGGTCTTACCAGTGCCACCTTCGCCCGCTATGCAGAGGAGTTGCTTGCGCCTTGATGGATCAAATGACTGATCAGGCCACGTCATAATTTCAGACAATAACCTTCGCACGACAAGGGATTGCTTCGTATTCAGGTGGATGTGTCTGGCAACCAGCGCCAACAGAGAAGCCGGTGTTGGATTTTCAAGGAGCGTTGGTCGAGCTTGTGTATCGTCAGGAATGTCTGCATTGGTTAATGCAGGTTGCAGCACGCCGTCTCCATCTGTTAGATCAAAGTCGTGCAGTGGCGCGGTAGCAGGTTCGGACGGTTCACCGTCCTGAACGGGTTTCTTACGGTTGGCAAGGTGGCTCTCCCAGTCTTGAAGGATTGCGGATGGAACGAATCTTAAATCCAAGGCGTGATCAGGTCGGAGTGAATGAGTACTTGAAGGAAGCGTGTTTATCGGTGCAGAACCATGTGCTCGGATTCGACGGGAAACAAGGGGCTTGAGGGGCATGCTCGTGACGTCCCGGTGAATCGTACAAGGGTGGAGGAAAAGCACAAGGGCGCGGGACCGGTGAGGAAGGTGGAAGGTATATGTAGGGTAAAGAAGTAGGAGGTCCAGGAGCGTGGGGAAGATTATTTGGAGAATTTTGTAAAGGCAATTGGAAAGAATTCCGAAAGTAGTCAAACTTCATGCTTGGACATCTCCCTGAGGAGACTGATAGAAAGATAACGGGATCATGAAGACTAGGAGGCGTATACCCAACCAGAAGAAGAGCTCATAGAAGTGCGTAGCAAAAGAATGCAAGTAATGGAAGTGAGGTTATAACGAATGAACAGCAAGTATGAAGTACAGACACTAGGGCTGAGGAGTCAGCTGCTAAGGTTATGGATGTAAGAGCCAGTTAGCGAGGATAAAAACCGCCAACGCTAAACTAAGATGATATATTTCTGAAAAGCAATCAGAAGGGGGCGTGGAATGAGAAGAAAGGTGGAATTAGCGAATCAGAGGCGAGCAGTGGGTCGGACTAGCGAATAAGCAAGTAGAATTTGCCTAACAGCAACATCATAGATTAAAGTTTTGTCTATACAAGGGTCTTCCCTGCGCGCGGTAGTAAACTGGAAGACGCGCGCTGTGGCACGCTGTAAGCCCTGAAACGACGTGGAATTAGTGGAATTTGGTATATAGAGTGTGGCAATAAAAGTATGAAGCTTTTGAGGCAAAGAGGCTTTACCGGACAGTTCAAGCCTAGGCCGCAAGTGTCTTCGCTTCTAGAGCACGCAATCTATCCATCTCCATGATAAGGTCGGGGTCGGGAGAAAAGCGGAGATCATCAAGAGTAACCTTCTCGAGTAAATGTAGACCTTGAAAGGACCGTAGCCTAGAAAGCTGAACGTAAAGGGAGCAGTACTTCCGATGAGAATCATGTCCTCGCCGAGATGAGCCATTCTTTAGGTCTAGGATCGCGACAGAGAGAGTCGATCCTTGCACTTTGTAATCGGTGAGACAGAAAGCGGGGCAGATCGGGACCTGTTTCCTTCTCACGGAGACGTCTTTCACTGCGATGGAACGTTCTATTGGGAAGATTGGCATAGTCGAAGGTGGAAGATGGTCAAAACGCATTTGCAAAATTCGATCTGGTTTGAATATTACGGAGGCAGGCGGTCTTGTACAGAGCGTGTAAAGGTCATCTAGGTCAAATAATTCGGCTGTGCGAGTATATTAGTGATGTTTTAGGATCTCGCATGTTAAATAGAAACTTTCCAGCTGGATCCAAAACAACCCCCACTGCGGTGCCCGTGGCACCGTTAACCTGACTAAGAGGGGTGCAGGTATTGGTGAGCATAACGGTCGGCATATCCCTTGTGTAAAGAAGAAGGCCTGGGAATGGAATCTAGGCACTGTGATCTGGCTGGAGCAGCAAGTTATGGGCTTGAAGCCGAAGGTTCACTTGGCCAGTTGACTTAGTCCAAGTGTGAATGGCGGGAAAGACATAAATTCTCTGAGACCTCCGCCGAGCGAAATTCTTAATACGGATCCGATTGATTGGGTGTCGTATGGCGTTTAACTTAATAATGATAGTGGCATCCTCTGATGTTGGATCTGTGAGTGAGGAAATAGCTTTGGAATTCAGGCGGGCAACATCGTCCTCGGTCAATGCTACCTGCCTCGTGCGCGTTAAGAACCTACGAAACGATGGATCCTCGGATTGTCTCATTTGCTCATCGAGAATGATAACGTGTTCAAATCTACGCCAAATGAGCCGGCCGGCGGCATCATCGTCGACTCTATACCTTGGTCTTTTCTATAATGGTGGACCGCGAACAGGAGGGAACTGGAAGAAATCGCCTATAAGAATCACGACTAGAAGGCCGCCAAAGAGATCGGGAGAGGATCTCGGCAATGACCGAGCGACTTTGCATTGGTTGTTGATCACACTCAACATTTTTAGATCCACCATGCTTATTTCGTCAATCACCAGGATTGTCTTTCGTGCCCATAACCGTCGAACGCGGGTGCTTATAGTAGCTTTATAGGAAAGATTGATACTAAGGGAAGTATGATAGGTGTTCCCTCCTAAATTGTCTGCTGCGGCTCCGGTAGGGGCTGTGAGGATAATTTTGTGCTTCCGGCTAATAATACACAGGGCGGCTTCGATGGCCTTTGGTATCTGCGTCTTACCTGTGCCACCTTCGCCCGTAATATATAGAAGTAGTTGTCCGCGCCGTGATGAGTCGTGTGGATGTTTAGTCCACGACATAATTTTAGTTAATAACTTTCGCACTACGAGTAATTGCTTCGTATTTAGTGGGATATCTTTGACGATCAGCCTGAGGAGAGAATCCGGTGTCGGATTTTCGAGATCCAGCCTTACTAGTGAATCACTAGGCATGCTTGCGTTGATCAGTATAGGCTGCAGCATACTATCTTCATCTACTAGATTAAAGTTAGGCAGGTGTGGGGTAATATTGGAAAGGTCACCGTCCTGAAAAGGCTTTTTATGGCTGGAAAGTTGCTTTTCCTAGTCTTGTAGGACTGTGGGTGCAACGATTTCTAAATCTAAAGCGTGATTAGGTCGGAGAGAATGGGTACTGGATGGAAGTGGATTTATCTGTGTGAGACTGTGTGCCCGGCAGAAAGTGGCTAAGACCGGTGCTCTCTTTGCTGCGATGAAACAATCTTGGCCCTAGGTTTTGGTTACTATATTGTAAGCGGCGATCAAAGTCTCCGCCGTGAGCCGCTCATCTTCGGGGGCCATGATATTATCACAATCGGGTACGTCTATATGCCCATAGTCGGCCAGATCTATGTTATTAATATGACGGTCGTATAGCTCAGCGCGGTCGTTCAATGAATGCCGTAATCTAGCGTCGATTTGGCAGTCGTCTTTCGATTTCCGAAGAAGTTCGATATTGGTGGTAAATTCCTAGATATATGGCACTAGTGTGGGCTTGACCGACGACTAGATATGCGACAAGATATTGGATTCAGGGGGTCTATAAAGAAACCTCTCGCGTAGCTTGTCCTAGGGAACAAAAAGACCGAGAAGTATCTCACCGAGATCATTCGTAATGGCATCGGTCTTTGGATGCCCTTCGCGGATGGAGTCTTCCGCCATTTGATACTGTGTGAGTTGTCCACTGAATGCGACGGTGGCTACCTAGGATGGTGAGCGAGCGATATGCTAGACGCAAGCGCCACATCTCGGGTGGCGTGGGTTAAAGTCGAAGTGATCGTGATGATTTCTCCGCTTCCTTCCTATTTGGACTAGTATGCAGTACTTAAAGAATGAAAAGGTAGCAAGGTCGACCCCCCGCCATTTATAGTTGTCGAACAAACTCACTGGAGCTATGTCCCCAGCCTAGAATGTATAGGGTTCGTTAGTAGTTCTAGGAGAATCATCAACGTTTGTACTAGGCTCACGTTGAATATCACGTATATACTGCCTTAGCCACTATAGGTTGACACGGACGAATTTGGTGTCGACTGTGTAGTAGTTAGGGAGATGGAGTAAGGTACTAGCGACCTGAACACTACTTACTTCCCGGTCGTGCGCTAGGCTATTAAAGCAACGGAGCGCGAAATTATCTATGTTCCTTTCCCGAAGCCGTAGATTATTAGCAGTGGGTGGGTCGGTAGCTTTTGCTTTTTTAATTGCTTGCTTCAAGAGTGCTCCCTTCGCTATTAGCTGCTATGGAGAAACGTCGTCTTTCGTGGCGTAGTTGGTGATGTAGTAGACTAGGGCCAGCGATTTTGAGACGGTTGGGAGCCAGGAGATATCGTGGTTTGAACGGAGATAGCTGGCAATGGCGGGATTCTATGGATTTATCTAGGGATGATTCCGAGCTAGGTGAGTCACCCCAAGATCATCGATCTTAGACGAGGGTACGATTTCACGGGGCATACCAAAGCGACAAATTTTTTTAGACCGGTCTGTTGGGCGGTTTTTAAAATAGGTGGCGAAGTGCCTTTTGGAGTGCAATTACTTAGATCGAGCGACGAGGTTGCTATCATCGGCTAGCCTGATGTGGAAATCATGATCCGATTCTGGGTCGGAAGCAGAAGGGCTTATCGGCACAAGATTGACTTCCGGATCAACGAGGCTACTCTTATTAATGCTCTGGATGATGACACTTTCGAGGTAGTGGAGCACACGCGTAGTAAATTTAGCGTCGGCGAGAACGCGGCTTCGTAGATTGGTAAATGAGAGGTTGCCTTTGAGCCACATTATTGCGTGTAAATGTAGCATTCCTCTGCTATTGGTCTCAACCACGCCATAATGATTTGAAACATCCCCAAGAATCCCGGTGCGATCGCGTCCGCTAGCGAACAACCCGTCTAGAATAGCGGTACAAACACTATGGAAAAATGAGGCAACCGCCACTGGGTTGGATGTGGCGGTCGCACCTCGAATAGCGGAGCTCGAGGCCGACAATATGTCGTCGGAATACTCAACACTAGCCAGGATGATGATAAGTGGACTCCGTAAATCTGAGGGGTTGATGGTAACCTAAAAAGTAGGCATTCTAAAATGGACGATGAGACCTCGGATTTCAGACCGCATTCTCAATTTTTGAACGAAAGAGCCGGGGACCTATATGGTAATTGCTTTTATAATATATAGCAGACGGGAAATTGCTGGGTCTTTGATTTCATGATGGATCTCTAGATCTTGTAGTGCATTACGAAGTCGATCCTTAGTAAGAGAAGAAATGTCGTTAGCGGTTGTTGATTAGTGCCGACGTTGAAGGACCAATTTATTCGCGAGGGAAGATTTTCGAATCAGAAGCACGTCATATATCAGATATATGAAGATTCTGTGGCGCGCAAACCTGCTCTAGTTAGAGACGGAAGTTCATAAACTAATAGCATTTAGTAAACTATACCTCCTGCTATGGTGCTTTAATGCCCACTCCGCAAAGGAAGACAAAGAGACGTCGAATGAACGCTCGTCTAGATGGCCGCTAATGCCGAGGGGAAATAAAGTTGGAAATGCGCCAGTAAAATACGATGGGTCATGCCAATGGTCAGTAAGGGTTGCCTGGCCCCAAATCCTGTAAGAAAGGCTAGGGATCTGCTGCTGGCTACGTGGAACTGTATTTTGGATGGATGCGGCGAGAGGGTTCGAATTTTGAGATAGAGACTTGAGGCAGGTTAAACATATATCCTACTCGTCGCTATGTTTGCCGCAATAGTCAAGGTGGGTAGCTAGTGGCAGGAGCAAAGGGTCACTGTCCTCCATTTCTATAATCTCCAGAATCGGCACAAACCTCCCGCAGGATAAGCAGACGCCTTGCTTTGATGAATCTTCTATGTGACTTTGATATTGGGCAATGGAAGCTCTTATTTGAGCTTCAGTGAGCACCGGTGGAAACGTCGTAGATGCTGAACTTCTCGACTTAAGTTCATTACGTAGTAACTTTAGAGCCTTATTGATGATGTAGCTAGAGTCCGTATCGGTGTCCAGCATGCGTCGTTTAGGCTGTAGAAGCGTCTGAGACGGGCCCGACCTCTTGCTGGGGCGGCGGACTGAAGCGAGCTAGGTAAGTGCGGAATTGATTGATGGCTGTAGGAATCCGGTCCTGGGAATCCATCGGTCGGAGCTCTCGGCATAGACTGGGACTGTGGGGCTGGAGATATCCTATCCCGAACCAACGGATCTATAGCAACGGTAATTGAAGTTGGAACAACTCGACCTCTAGCTGCCGAGACTGTGGGCAGACAGGGTCTTGTAGTCGTATCTAGGGTTGGTCTTGGAGCAAGAAGACGAGGACTTGATGAAACACCTTGGCTGCAAGGGCCGGCGCGGACGCCGGAGGTGACTTTGGGTGGGAGTATCGTCTGCGAGAAGCCAGGTGCAACCAAGGTGGAATGGACACTCGACGGGGTCATATAGGATGGGGGAGGGAAGTGAGGATAGGGTGGGGTCAATTGAGATGGTAGCGCCGGAGCCGGGGAAAAGCTAGTAACATGATTGCGACGAATTGGTGAATCGTACGACGGAGGAGGGAAAGGACATGGACGTGAGGCCGACGGAGTGGGTGGAAGGAATGTAAGAGGTGGGGAGTCGGGCTGTACAGCACTAGGCCGGTAACCCGATGGTGAAGGACGAGATGGTGAGGAGAAAGAATTCCGGAAGTAGTCGAAGGGCATGCCTGGGTTGAATCGCAGAAAAGGACATATCGATATCAAATAAGAATGTGTTTATGTCTCCGTCATATCCATATGCATAGCAGGCAAGCACTTCAAGAATACAAAGTGGATAATAGAATGTTTCAAACAGTCCCGAAGACTTTGATGGGTAAAAACAGTAAACCCCAAAACACAAGAGTATATATAAAACGAAGCGGTGTATCTGGACACGTCAGAGTCACCTAACCAACCAGATGAAGCTCTTAAAGAAGTGCGTAGCAAAACCATGCACATAATGAGCATGAGGATATAACGAATGAATAGGAAGCACAAGGCACGGATACCAGGGTTAGAGAGTCAGCTGTTAGGGTTATAGTAGAAAGAGCCAATGATTAAGGTTAAAACCCGCCAACACTAAACTGAACCGGACATTGCTCGAACAGCAATCAAAAGAGAGCGTGGAATGAAAAGGTAGCAAATCAGAGAAAGGCAGTGGATCGAAGTAGCGAATGAGAAGCCGTAATCTGGCTAACAACAGCGAAAAAAATAAAGTTTCCAGTAACAGGGGTATCCCCGCCCGCGGAGAATCCCTTTCTCTCACTTCGTTCGTTTCAGGGCATTCTCTCACTTCGTTCGTTTCAGGGCATTCTCTCACTTCGTTCGTTTCAGGGCATCTTTCACTTCGTTCGTTTCAGGGCAACCACGTTGATTAGTTCCCTTTCTCTCACTACGTTCGTTTCGGGGCATTCTTACAGATATTATTGAACACCGTAGCGGGGTGTACTCCTCCACCATTGCCCGATCAATACTTATGCTCTCAAATGGCTTGGTGAGATATCGTTGGGAAACGATCATTAACATAAATGACGACAGTAGTATCGTCTGGTCTGACCCGTCGGTTACAGTGGAATTTCTTATCAGTTTACCCCCCGAAGACTGACGCTTTGTTTCTCAGCTTGTACCCGAAACAACGCTAGCTTGATAGGGAACTCCATTTGGCCGTAATATGGTATGGCGTATGTGACTTTCGTGGCACGTATATTGCCAAGCGCAGTCTAGGCCGGGGGTTTGAAAAGGGACGCGGAGATTCTAGGGATCAAGTTCTCTCACGCTCACATACCTTCTTCCTGTTCCGCTGTCTCACTCGCGTTGCGAAGAAACTTACGATTGTGCACGACTGCACACAAGCTTTTTATTATCCAATCACCAGGTATTGCAGATTTATACAACACCATATCGTTGCTGAGCTCATTCTAACCTCATTACTGAATATGAAAGGCCTTTGGGCCGCGAGGACAAGATGGCCGGTGACCACCTCCAGCCTCAACAGTACGAAGTGCAACGATGCCGTCGTGCCGTACTTGCTTTGATTGCAAAGATACGTCACTGCAATGAGGTGGAGCTCCAGGAGCTACTGAAGTCCATACGAAACGCGAACAGTCTGGCCGAGGCCAAGCAGCAAGCTTTGGATCTCGACTACTGCTGATAGGCGGCTACGCAGCGTGATGAGTTGAACCACTGGAAAAGACTGTAAGATGGTTCTTGATGCTTTTCCTATAAATGCATTTCGCACACTACAATTCACACGGCGCGTGGATGCAAATCGTCGATGAGGCGGTTGTGTTGAGAAGATATGACGTCGGTATGGAGGGCAGGTGTGTAAAGTAATTCTGTGGTATACTGTATTTTAAGTAAAGTTGTTGTCCTGGATTTTCAAGACGCATATGCCCAGGAAAACATTATATACGGGAGCCCGTCTTCATCGAGTATAGTGTCGTTTCGGTTATGAGCCGAGAAACAGTGTGAGTGCCCATGTGGTAATCTGTCTTTTACCTCAATTTCAATTATCAACCATTACTGCATGATGCGCCCGCTAGACGATATCCGGTATTTCTAAGTAAACGATGTAACCCATCGATTTGAGCACGGCTCTTTATAAATACCACAACATCACACTGTATATTATTTCCGGCGTTAAAAAATGGACCTAGCGGTCTCAATCTCTTGTCGGCAACGGTCGCGTCTTGATGCCAGACTGGGGCACAATGTTCGTAGATTTGCCTCTGCCCAGCTCCCTAGACATTCGAGTCCACCATAGACAACAGAAGCTCCTCTATAGTAGCTTCTGCTGGCCGTGAAATGTAATCAGCCATGTAAGAATCAGGATCAAGTAAAGAGACAGAGTCACGCTCCCAGGTCGGGACTGTATGCCTTTCTTGCAAACAATCAAATAACGAACCATCCACGCCTGTTTCTAATTGACCAGAACTATGATCCTGGAGTTTGCTTTGGCTTTCGTTGGTGTAGGTACCGCTTCCACTGTGTTGCTGCTGCGCAGATGGAACTGCTTTACCACCCGCTGTATCCTTCACCGGTTGTTGCCAGAAATGCCATTCGTTCTGCTCGGAAGATGATCTTTCCCGGTAAGGTAGCCCGGAAGTATCCAGACCTTGCTTCTCAGCTATGCGGCAGAAACAATGATGGCAGAACTGAAAACCTCTTCTCGAAGATTCTTCGCTCTCTCCGAGTACATAAAGCCAACGGAGTGCCTTTTTTGTAGCAGCGAGAACATTATTTGGTGACTCAGGTGTACCGGCAGCGCTCTCGCTGTTCTCAGAAACCCCCCTTCCCCAGTACTCACTGAGACCAAGCCTATGGAGAGACGGAGAAGCAGTACGACTGTAGCCTGCATCATGAAATGAAGAAGAGCCCAAGACGGGGCGACCGTGTTTGCCCAATTTGTATCCAACTGATCTGGTATTATTTCGAAAAGAGCTAACGAAGCACGCAAGCATTGCTTGGCAGTGTCGTTGCCGAACCTGGATCGAGGAAAGCGGATCCCGGTTGGCTCGTGAGTCTCCGGACGAGTAAGACAAGGTCGGTTGATAACAATGCAAGCACTATAATAATGGAGAGCCAAAGAAATTTGCGAAGGTGACATGTCCACTTGGCGGCGATTGAACACCAGAGAATGCGGCAAATTGGCCAGCCATTGCCCTAATTTTCCGTTATAAAATTTAATCCGATCTTCAATATGCGCCCAACCGCGGTTGACAACGTCAGCATTGTATACCTGGTCGGTGATCCGGTGGGTAATAAGAGCAAGATCAACCAGATAGAAGAAATACAGAGACTCGCTAAACGGCAGTGTCTTCACCCACGTTGGCCGATCGTCAATTTGATTGGATCTCTCGGTCCACCCTAAATCGAACGTTGAAAACGACCGCTCATGTGACGATTTGTTGTTTTGATGCTTCGTTGCGGTAACATCGAACGGCAGAGGTAAAGAGGCGGAGCATGACCCATCCCCTAGGCAAGAAATTCGGCCAGTAATGGCCGAGAGAAGGTGTTCCAAGTAGAAGATAGACCACCACAACCGGACCCTCGCTTCGTGCGATGCCCTGTCAAACTTGTTGTGCGTCCTCCGAAAATTGAGCCCTAATGCAATGCCTGCACGCGCAGCTATGCCAATCATTTTCCAAGACCTACAGGGGTGTCAGTAACGCAGATCATGCCTGATCATATAAGGAATTTGTTGAGGAATTAGGCTACCATACCTACTAATTTGGGACCCCGTGAGAAAATAAAATGCCATGAGAGTCAGAAATTGAACTTTCTGCAGGCTATCATGGTTATAAATAAGGTCATCTGAAGTGGAGAGACACCTTGCACGACTAAAGAACATCTTCTCATCGGCATAACCAGCGTGGTCAGAACGATAGAGACTATGCAGCCTGCAACTGATTGTGAAAATCATGTTCAGGAGGCTCAGCCATCGTTTGCCAGGATTGGCCTGGGAGTCGGAAAAGACCTGTCTGTACTGTTCCAAGAAGAGATCCCGCCGGATTACCGGTAAAGAAGGATGCACCTTATTAAAGTAAACTTGAACCAATCGGTCTGCCAGAGGTTTGTCTGGAAGTACAAACACATCCGGTACTGTCGAGTCATCGATGTTCAAATCATCCAAATGATAGTTCACTGAAGAAAGAGAGTCCCCATCTGGGAGTTGATGATGAGGTATATTCGCTGCAGATCCATCGTCGTGAGAATACTTTCTGGACTCAGCCTCCAATCTTTGCATCCATGCTACTTCGGAATTTTTGCCCCTGTATCCTGTGGCCCTACTCTGCTCATGCCGATCAAGATCTTCGTCAACAGTGTCGATGGCGTCGAGGGACCCGGCAGATGAGGGCAAGGACGAGGACGAGGAAGAGGAACTGCTCGACCGTCTTGTCGCATGGTGGCGGTTGTCAGCGGATGGGTCCTGAGGGAATGATTTTTAGTAGCCGCCGGCTTATGTCTGAACTGTAGTAAACTAACCTTGAGAGCTTCCCTTATTCTTTTTTTGTCCTTGTTTCCCGCTCTAGCGGATATGCCACGGAGCAAGTCCTCATACAGCTCAATCGTCTTTCGAGCCGAGGCTAAGGCTTTTCGCTCGGCCTTTATCCTGCCTTCTGAATAAACACAAGACGACAATCCTTCTGATTCACATTGAGAGCATATTGGCTTTTTCCCGTCGCATTTTATCTTGCGTTGTCGGCAAGGATTGCAGGCACGGGACGTGCGGCCCGAGCGACCTTCAGCACCTTCACGACGTAGTCGTGGAATGGCGACTTTGCTGGACATCTCTAGAAAAGGTGCAGAGTACCTGCATCGGACTCATCATATTGCAAGTTACTGAAGGAAAAGACTCACGGTGAGGGTACTGTTTTGTGGCAAAAAGCATCACTAATCAGGCAAGCCTACGTCATATGTGGGGCTACATAGCACATAAGACTTGCCCGGATCAAACCGAGTTTAGCGCGATCCGGGGGGCGCTGGGAAAGAAACCGTAAACAGTTTTCGAATTCTACTGTACTGTACGTGCTAGCTTCCGACGTGACACTTCCAGCAGTCTCTGTTATCTGCTGCCAGTAGGGACAGGGAGGCAGAGCCAGGTCTTGATCCGTATCCTTTGCCACCACCCGATTATTCGGCGTAATTCTCTACTCGATCCGGTAGTGAATACAGTTTGGAGATTGTCCATCCCACGTCTCTTCGTCCCAGTCAACTTCTGGAAGAAAATTCAGTGGGTCGAACTGTGATTGGTGCAGGGGGATGAACCGCTACCGACTACTTTTTTTGAAGTCGGGTGAAGGGCAGATTACAGATGGCGTGCATTCACGGTCCAAGTAGTGACCAAGACTGGGGACATACGAGGGAGTCCGGTCCCAAAGGTTAGGCAGTTCATGTCGGTAGGAACCATCATCTTCAAAAGGAGTGTAAATCATGTCCCCAAGGCAGAATATACCACTGTGAAGCCTAGTAACATCATTGCGTGTTAGCTTATACCAGGAATGTCGCGAAGCGTCCAGTAAGAAAAGCTGTAGCTGACAGGCTGAACATTGTGATGAGCGGCGGTAGCCCTGGGCGAAGAGAATGAAACCACGGTCGCCAAGATCGCATGGCTCAGCAGCAAAGAAGCCACGAAGCCTTATGGATCGATGGTCGTGTACCTAACGAAATCAACTGACGCGCGGAGACTCCTGGCTGATGGGTACTTCCACGTCGGAGGAGAATCCGGGACAACCAGCATCTTCGAGTATCGGCCGCGGCCAATGCAATGCTACAACTGCCAAGAGATTGGCCATAAGGCTTTCCAGTGCAGGAATGTCTAGAGATGCGCGAAGTGCGCCGCAGAAGGCCATCGCCACAGTAGCTGCGACCAGACAGTTCCGAAGTGCGTTCTATGTGGGGGCCCTCACGAATCGTTCAGCAGGAATTGTCGGAAGCTCTACCCGCCTCGCAATGAATAAAACGCTCCGAGTGATGCAGCTGAATGTGAGGAAACAGGGTGCAGTGCATGACAGTTTGATGAACGATGAAGAGACACAGGACGCAGTGGCACTAGCAATCCAGGAACCCTAGGCGAGGAGGATTTAAGGACGGCTCTTGACTACCCCGATGGGGCATCATAAATGGACTAAGATGGTTCCCTCCACGTGGAGGGAAGCGAGATAGGCGGTCCGAAGCATGCTGTGGGTGAATAAGGATGTGGAAGCGGAGCAAGTGCGGATTGATTCGGCGGACCTAATAGCGGCCGTCATTCGGCTTCCTGAGCGACGAATTTTCATAGTATCAGTTTATGTGGAGGGAGGAGATGCCTCTGCGTTGAATGATGCGTGCGATCACCTCAGAAAAGTAATCACAAAGGTACGGCGAGACGCGGGGACAGTGGTGGAGCTCATTATTATGGGAGACTTCAATCGCCATGATCAACTGTAGGGAGGAGACGAGGTGTCCTCGGCCAGATAAGGCGAAGCGGATGCAATCATCGACCTCATGAATGAATTTGGACTCAGCAGCCTGCTTAAACGAGGCACCAAGACGTGGCACGGCGGAGGATATTCGGGGGACTGCGAGTCGATGATCGACCTCGTTCTCGGCTCGGAAAACTTAACGGACTCGATGATTAAATGTGCGGTCCATAGAACGGAGCACGGTTTAGATTACGGCACTATTGAGACCGTTTTTGATGCGCCTTGGATAGCTCCAACGTAGACAGATAGACTGCTACTGAAGAATGCACCGTGGAAAGAGATCAATGCTAGCATTGCAAGGACTTTATAGAACACCCTGTGGGAAGGCTCCGTGTAGCAGAAGACCGATCGGCTTATGTGCGCGGTGTCGGAAGCGGTTTGTGCGTTGACGCTGAAGGCCAAACCGTCACCGCACGCAAAGCGATGGTGGACGGCGGACTTGACACAACATCGTCAAATATATATATATTGGAGAAACCACGCCCACTCGGAGCGACGGGCAGGGCGAAAGGTGCCATAGCTGGAGGATATGGCTGCAAGCACCGCGAAGCAATACTATGACGCGATTCGGAAACAGAAGAAGAAACACTGGAACGAGTTTCTGGCCGACAACGACAACATCTAGAAAGCTACTAAGTATCTGAAGTCAGGGGAAGACGTAGCCTTCGGGAACGTACCGCAGCTCCTCAAAGCAGATGGAACGGTTACCACCGATCATGAGGAACAGGCGGAAGAACTACTGACTAAATTCTTCCCACCGCTGCCGGACAACATTAACGATGAGGGAACCAGGCCACAAAGAGCGCCGGTAGAGATGCCGACCATCACTATGGAAGAGGTAGAGCGGCAGTTGCTCGCAACGAAGTCATGGAAGGCGCCAGGTGAGGATGGCCTGCCGGCCATAGTGTGGAAGATGACCTGGCCTATAGTCAAACACTGGGTCCTCGATCTCTTCCAGGCGTCACTGGAAGAAGGCACGGTGCTGAAACAGTGGAGACACGCAAAGATTATTCCGCTGAGAAAACCGAACAAGGAAGACTACACCATTGCCAAGGCATGGAGGCCAATTTCACTGCTCGCGACGCTAGGCAAGATCCTGGAGTCCGTGGTGGCAGAAAGGATCTCGCACGCAGTGGAGACCCACGGCCTGCTCCCGACTAGCCACTTTGGGGCCCGAAAGCAGCGGTCCGCGGAGTAAGCACTCTTACTCCTACAGGAGCAAATCTACGCAGCGTGGCGAGGACGATAGGTGCTGAGCCTGATCAGCTTCGATGTCAAGGGGGCCTACAATGGGGTCTGTAAAGAACGATTGATCTAGAGGATGAAGGCGCGAGGTATACCGGAGATTCTGCTTCGATGGGTTGAGGCGTTCTGCTCAGGACGAACGGCGACCATCCAGATCAATGGGCAAATATCTAAGATCCAGAACCTACCACAGGCTGGACTGCCTTAGGGCTCACCCCTATCTCCAATCCTCTTTCTCTTCTTCAACGCAGACCTTGTGCAGAGACCGATCGACGGCCAAGGAGGAGTAATTGCCTTCGTGGATGACTTTACCGCATGGGTTACAGGGCTAACCGTGCAGAGTAATCGGGAAGGTATCACAACCATTATCAATGAAGCCCTCGACTGGGAGAGGAGGAGCGGAGCGACTTTTGAAGCAGACAAAACGGCGATTATACATTTCGCACCCAAGGCTCGCAAAGTGGATCAAGAGCCGTTCACTGTCAAGGGACAGACGGTCGAGCCTAAAAGCAAGGTCAAAATCCTAGGGGTCCTGATGGACACGCGACTAAAGTACAAGGAGCATATTGCGAGGGCAGCATCTAAGGGCCTAGAGGCCGCGATGGAGCTACGACGGCTCCGAGGCCTCTCCCCAGCGACCGCACGACAGCTCTTCACAGCGACCGTGGCTCCGGTGGTCGACTATGCGTCTAATATTTGGATGCACGCATTCAAGAATAAGAACATCGGACCGATCAACTGAGTGCAAAGGGTAGGAGCTCAAGCAATTGTGGGGACATTCCTCACAGTTGCGACCAGCGTAGCGGAGGCCGAGGCCCACATTGCTACGGCATAACACCGATTCTGGAGACGAGCCGTGAAGACGTGGGCAGACCTCTATACACTACCAGAAACCAATCCTCTTCGCAGAAACACAGATCGAATCCGGAAGTTTAGGAGATACCACCGCTCGCCACTATATCAAGTAGCGGACGCGCTTAAGAATATCGACATGGAATCACTGGAAACCATCAACCCGTTTACACTGGCACCATAGGAAGCACGCATGTAGACTGATGAGCCCATTACCGAGGGATCGAATGTACCAGGCGGATCAATGTAAATCGCGTTTAGTAGCTCGGCGCGGAATGAGCTAGTCGGGTTTGGAGTGGCGGTCGAGAAATAACCACCCCGCTATCGGAAAGTGAGACTGAAGACCTTGTCCGTCACGTTGAGCGCGAGAACAGAGCAAAATCTATTTTCCGCGGAGCTGGCGGCAATGGCGCATACACTCAAGACACTCGTGGGATTGAAAGACTATAGGATCACACTGATTACGACTAACAAAGCGGCGGCTCTCACGTTGAAGAACCCGCGACAACAGTCGGGCCAGGAATTTGTCTATCAAATCTACAAGCTTATGAGCAAACTGCAGAGGCATGGAAATTAGATCAGCGTCCGGTGGATCCCCATTAGCGAAGACAACAAACTACTAGGGCTGGCGAAAGAGTAGGCGAGAGCCGCGACGCAAGAAGATGCCATCCTGCAAGGACAGGTCCCCAGAATGAAATCGACGACTCTAAAGATTGCACGTGCCCAAGCAATCCCCAGCAGTAAACTGCCCGAGAACGTAGGGAGACACTCCCGACGAGTGGACACAGCACTCCCAGGGAAACACACGCGACAGCTATATGACCGATTATCGTGGAAAGAGGCGAGCGTACTGGCCCAGCTCCGCACGGGTATAGTAAGACTCAATGGATATCTCTTTCGAATCAATGCCGCCGAGACAGATCAATGTGCATATGGACAAGCAAGAGAGACCGTGGACCACTTTCTGTTTCGATGCCGGAAGTGGACCGCGCACCGGACGGAAATACTGTAATGCACTCACACTCACCGATGTAACATGCCCTTCTTCTTGGGAGGGAAGTCACCCTCTGATGATCAAAAGTGGAAGCCGAATTTGGAAGCAGTGCGAGCCTCAATACGATTTGCGATCGCTACGGGCCGACTTGAGGCCACTTGACCTAGCCAACGAACGCGCATAAAATACCTTCCCCCCTACCTACCCCCATTACCTTGTGACAGACAGTAGATGCGCTTCAACTGCCGAGGATAGGATGTTGAACACTTGAAGAAGCGCCTTCAAGCCAGTCTACTAACCAATACTAACCACAGGGACCAACTATGAGAGTGAAAGCTGAGAAGTCAATGCGGAAGGAAATACTGTATGGGCTCCAAGGAGACACGGCGTATACCCAAACATGCATGTACTGGTAGATTAGTGATAGTTGCCCTCTCGGCTCAGCCGCCGGGCGTTAATGAATTGTGTGTGTGTGTGTGTGTACCGTTGGCTCGCAGACTGCCCTCGCGCCAATAGCCTTGTTTACAGGCACGTCCAAATCTAACGATGACCTTACAGCCCAACAAAGCACTATTTTAGGTACTTCAAAACTTACTGGAGGCTCAAAACATTCTCCAGCTGGGAATTCTCTATGCTCGCTGAACAATCCTTGCACCGGCGACCTCACTTACTTCGATACTGCAACAGATTCATCTTCGCCGGGCGCTTGTGGCACAACAAATGATGGAGAAGTAGATCTTGTCCTTGCATTGCCTCATGGTATTATGGACGCTTCTTATTGTGGAAAGACTGTCCGTATAGAGTTTAGTGGGAAGACAGAATTTGGAAAGGTGGTCGACAAGTGTATGGGGTGTACTGATCAATCAATCGATCTGTCTCGGGCCCTATTTCAGAAATTTTCTGAATTAGAAGCAGGCCGTCTTTCTGGGGCCCATTGATTTATTGAGAAGTAATTAAGTCGAACCATTGGTATGCTTGTAGGTTAATCTTGTTCCCTCTGCTGGATTGGTTTGAATATATTATTTAATTTTTGGGACTGTCTTCGACACGATATATTATACGTCTTTTTGGTGATAAGCATTCACATCCGCTGTTTTTCTATCTTTGTTTTCATTTCTTTATAACTGGGACCGGTAACTGCACCGAACTGTCTTGGATTTGTGTTTATATTGATAATTTTATATATTACCCCTACCCTCGTTCTCAAAGCCACACTTTGCGCTGTCACTCCGGATTGGTCCACCGACTACACGGAGTACTGTCTATTACCCGTTGTATGCACTTTGGAGGTCGACTGTCAATCTGCGTGAATTGCGAGCAAAATATCTCCAACTTCCAATATCAAGCAAGCGCTTCGACCTCAATATCTGAAACCAAATGGAATACCGAGTACGTCAGTTACACGGAAATCACCCAGTTTCTCAGGGATCCAGTGCTCCCACACATCCTTGGCAAGTTTGTCTCAGGGCAGTTTCGTTGGGTGTCTTCATTCTCGGTGCAACTTTGGCGGCGCTTGTGGGTGGGGGACATATCCCTCTGTTTGGCCACTGGTCAAATACTATTTTTTGAAAGAGTCCTGGATCATCTTATAACAACTCTGTAATAGACCTAAAATTTTGCAGAAGCATTCTTACGGTTCCTATACATTATTAAAGATTATACCAGCCCGTTATCTCACTTTCAAAAAAACTTGGTGGCACTTCACAAGCGATTCAGTGCGCCTATTGAACCCAAAATAATCAACCGAAGTTTGAATTTCTTTTAATTACTATGCAGGGCAATACCGTACTGTGATCAAATCCACTTTAGTTGTCCGATTCCCTATGAACTACACTATCTCAACATATATTAACCAATGCAGTAGACCGAGCCATATTCACATCATTTGGCACATAAATCTAATAAATGCATACGTCACGTATTCTAAAAGGCTCCAATAGCTACTCATGACGTGATTTTTGGACAAGGTCTTTTGACGATATAGTATTCCGCCGATGTCAAGCGGAAATCGAATTCGAACACAAATGGGAAAAAGGAGGAGTGTCCATTTTGGATGCCAATCTCTAGGCCTTTGGTCGAATAAACAGGGCTTCAGCCTGAATAGCATCCAACCACTCATTAGGCACTTGTCCAGGGATTTGAATACAACCCTTCAAAAATATCTTCCGCCCTTCAATTTTATCCGGCCACGCGCGTAGCAATATGGGAACAGTTGGCGGCACAGGAAGCAAAAATGACGTGTTAAGGCTGGCCGTAAAGGCTGGCTCGCAGCCATCAGGGAGAACCCAGGTAGGTGGTTTGCAGCAATCTGCAAGAATACGGTCCATCAAAAAGGTAGCGTATCCGCCAAACAACTTGCCCTCATAATAACACATACGCTGTGCGGGGCCAAGGCTCAAAAGAGATTCTACCTCCCATCCCAGATGGTGGGCTTTGAATATAGGACTATAGCCCTCGAGTAGAGAACACATCATCTCATCTGAAGCATTGGTAAAACATGGTTTGTTGTAAGGCTTTAACAGTCAGCACCATGCGTTACAGGTTCTTGGTGGTGAAACTCACTAGAGAAGGCTTAAGTACTTGAGCACTTCCAGCAGGAGATGGGTTCGCTCGGTATGTCTCTGCTGAACAGTGGTAACCGCGGAAAGATCGAATGAATAAAGAGGTCACAAAGCGAGGATTCATTGTTCATAAGCAGCCACCGATAAGTATTAGGAAACCCGTAGCATGAAAGTGTTTCTGAAAGGCAATGTTCCGTGGGTCTTGTCCTCAAATAAATAAATGTTGGTGGTAAGGCTCTCACCTATGGCTTAGCAAACGCCAATACTTTTAGTCTCATTTCCTATATCTCTTTGTAAAAGACATTAATCTGGGATTCATGGACGATGAGAATCTAGAAATTGCATCAACGGCGAATTACACCTCATTAGTCCCGAATCCATCAATCTGAAGCGGACAACTAATCTCATATAACACATTCGTTTTAAGTATTAAGCCAATAATTGCTTGTGCTTCCAGCATGAAATTGAAATTAATTGAAGTTCAAACCTTCTAACAGCAAAAACGATGACAAACATTGAGTTTACATCATTCGAAGAGTTTCGACTTGTTTACCGATTTGTAGGTTTAAGATCATGCATAGAGACGAAGCTCATATTATGTAGGTGGGATCCTAATGATGCTGTATCAGTTGCATTCCTGTGATGTGAAAATAAGTGAATCAAAATGTTTTATGAGTGAGCTCTTCGGTTTTTCAATGGAAATAGCCACAAATGCTTTCAATTGATACTGTAAGAACGGTTATATTCGTCGCGTTTGTTGTAGCAGTTTAGTCCAATTATTCTTCAAGTATTACACAGGCATATATTCAGTGAAAAAGGTTAATTTTATGCAAGGACCGGCATGCAATCTCAAGCAAGCTGGTTTAGATACAAATGCCAAGAAGTATCTCATCTTCCCCTTGGTTGCAATACAAGCTACGATTGGCATTCATTCCCCTTAGCTTTCAATAAAGAAACAAGAATAATTGATGCGCTGATCTAATGATATTTCAAATAACTTCACAAGTGATCTTCTCTAGGCTCTTGGTCTGTCTGTGGGCGCTGCTGGCTGAGCCACTGAAAGTCACTTAAGCTGGGGAATATGTCTCGGATGGGTGGCAGGCTGATTTTTTGCTTTCGTGGTGGACCTTGGCCTCCATCAATACCTGGCAGAGGCACTCCTAAGGTTGTCATAGTTTGTGAAGTCTGACAGCGGATTATATCTCTCTCGGCGCTGGCCCTAGGAGATCTCGAGGCTGTAGTTTGATCGACCACCTGTTGTTCCACGTTCCGCCATGGTAGAGTATCTGTTGCTTGCCATGGAATAGCAGACTGCCTAGGCACCGTTGACCACAATCGTTGTCTTTGCCTGTTCAGCGACGCAATAATGAGTATGAAGATTATCCAATTTGATCTAGGGGGAAATACTTCTCATAGTGTCCCGCTACAGGGGCCTGTCTGTCGCCATTCCACTGGTATGGGCGCGATAGAAAGTTTTGGAACCGCAGCCGACAGGCAAAATATGTCCGGCCAGGAAGTCTCTTACTGATGGCTGTCCATGCAAGACCCTTGCTTCGAAGTGCCACGAGTGTGTTGTCTTCTTCCACTGTCCAGTCCGCGGCCATAAATTTTCGGCCCTGCCGTTGCTTTTGATCACTAAAGCTCCGGCATGCACCGCCATTAGCTTGCGGTATTTGACTGTGGCTTGTTTGTTGTGTTATCTCGGAGGAGGTAGGAAGAACGACGTATTGAGGTACTCCCAAGCCTGGTTGTCCGAGGTAATGGGCTTGGTAGGACCCGCAGGGTATGAGATGCATTCTAATGGAACTCTAACAAAAGAGCAGACCAAAAGGGAAGATTGGGTTGATGGTTCAGATGTCAATTCTTCCGATAATAAAATATAGCAAGAAATTCCTCCAGCTAAATAGTGCCGTCCAGATTAGATGAGATCATACCCGAGCCTAACTGGAATAATCAATTGATGAATTGATCACTGGGATAAATTGCTTGGTCAAAATTACTCATGATATTCCGTTGTATAAAACCGCAAGATTACGACTAACCACTTTGGATTAATTGCCCTCGAGTGTTAACGATGAATGCTTTCAACATTGTGCATTTATGTAACCTCTAAAATGCAATCAGTTTGCTTTTTTCACTTCCATCCACCCGAAAGTTTGTCTTTTAACTGTCTGCATTATGGCTCTGATTCTCTTTCACACACTCGCAATGAAAAATGATTCTTCCTCTCTTTTGATATCCGAGAGCACTGTAGGGCATTTATGAAAGGAATAATTTCCCGTTTTGCTTGGTTTAGCTCCACTTTAAGCTGAGTGGCAGAAAACCTGTACTATAATGTCTAAGCTCCTCAAAGAGAGAATAAATTGTTGCCTGTCATCCAGTAATATTGCTGAGCAGTCGTCTTACCGAGATCTGGTGCATCTTAGCTCGATGAAAGAATCCTTTATTGGTGACCTCACGCAGTCAAGGAGAGCAAGAAGAGTTTAGTTTGGCCGTAACAGGTCACCCGTCGCTGCGGTCGTAGACCGTAGCGTCAGATAGGCCCCATCCGCGCTCCCTTGTAGGGAGGCAATGTGTCTGTATTGTAGTGGATTCTATATACAGAGGCAAGGTGGTAGGGACAAAATTGACACTTGACTGCGTGAGAGATGATGAGCTACCCGCAGAGGCCAGCAACTGACTCTCGTGAGGCAGCCGTAGGAGGAAGGGGCCCTCAGAAATGTCGGTGTAGATATCACGTGAGGATAACTACGGACATGGTGAGGCTACAGGCATTGTGAGGCAACCCCAATAAAACCACTCCCTCTATGCCGTTCCTTTAGCCGGCCCGGTTACTCGTAAACGATGCTGAACCGGGTACTGAAGCTTTAGACTCCTTTCGTTAGCGATCATTTCAGTATATCATCATTTCTGGATCTTAACTCCTAGTGCTCTTCACTCACACATACTTTTTATTGAGGTGCCGTTTTTAGTAAAGACTAACGTTGTAGTACTGTAGCAATTTAACGCGCGGGATTGAGAAGTGGCCACACCTTGAGAAAATACGTTTCTTTTACTGAAATGATACAGTGCGAACTGTCGCGTTTCCTTTGTTGGCGGCATGAACTTCAGGATACCTGTCCATTGAACGACATCATGTGTTGGAAGAGAAATGAGAATGCCATTCACGCCACGCAAGCGAAATGAGCTTGAGATCTTACGTCGCTAGAGAAGAAATTCAATTGTGAAAGATGCATGCTTTCAGTAGGTCCTCTTTGTAAGAATAAGATAGACTTTGCCACCGTTAATCGACTCCTTTACGGAACATGATTGGGCCGGCGATCACGAAAAACCACGATGGGTCCGCTTTGAGAGCGCTCTTCGTCCCAAGTACGCTG